GGGCGTGGGGTTTGGTCTGATCCAAGTGGGGATCCCGCAGGTGGGAGAGCATTAGACGGAGGAGAAGGAGGGTTAGAAGGCACCGGTGGAACGAACTCATCTCCTTGAATTGATCCCCCCACACTATCCTCCACTCCAAGGTCCTGCCCCATTGCTCTGCTAAGCTCCTCCAATGCTCTCCTCTCGTTCTCCTCCATCCTGTCTCCATCCCTACTCATCCCTCGTGTAATTCTTCTTTCTGGTTCCATATTATCTTTGTACTTCTCCGAGGTTCGCACGGGTCGTCGGTAAGAGCGATCCTTGATACTGTCACGGCCGTCGAGCAACTTCTTCCTTATAGACCGACGGTCGACGAACCTCGGCTAACTTCACGCTTCTGAGTCGATGTCTCACCCAACCAGGGGGGCGCAGACGTCGAAAGGAGTGTAACTACGGCGTACTTCGGCGTAGTTACTCTAACTAAGGCTTTGTTCTATTGATGGCGATGTATCTCGATGTATAGCTATCTCTATTTGTCTTTTACTACTGACAACAATCAAGGATCGCTGAAGAACTTCAGCGATCTTCTCAGCTAATATTATCTACTCCTCCTAGACGTTCATCCAACCCTCTCGCGCTTTGACGTACTTCAACGCACTTCGTCCAACTTCCCCGAGCCCTCGGCCATCCTCTTCCTCCTTCGACTAACTCCGCCTAACATCGCCGCACTTCTGCTCCCATTGTCCCTACTTAGCCTAACTCCGCCTAACATCGCCGCACTTCTGCTCCCATTGTCCCTACTTAGCCTAACCCCGTCTAACTTCGCCGTACTTCTGCTCCCATTGTTCCTACTTAGCCTAACTCCGCCTAACATCGCCGCACTTCTGCTCCCATTGTCCCTACTTAGCCTAACTCCGTCTAACTTCGCCGTACTTGGTGTCAGAAGTCCTGAGTTACGTGTAGAGTAAAGAGGTTAAGGCGTGATGGGGTTTTGATGGCCAAAGGAGGGTCATTGTTGGTGGAGTAATCGAGGTGTCACGACGTAGTTCGTGACAGTCCAGGACTTTGGTGATTTCTTTGGGGCTATGAACCGGGCATGGAATGCTTCCCTCTCGACTGTTTTCCCCCCTGACAGTCTCGATCTACCTTCGGCCATCGGTACTCTCCACACCAATCTCGCGGGGCCGAGTAGCGCGAAGGAGAAAGGAAAAGGAAAGGGTAAGGGTAAGGGCAAGTGAGCGGTACGTAGCTGTAATCCTATGTTGTATGCAGTACGTTCTACCTCCTAGCCCTCCGCAGTCGCCCTTCCTTCGGCTTAGTAGGGTGAAGTTCGTGGAACTTCGCCAATATGTCATCAGCTCCGTCGACGTTCTCTACTGGTTCCCATGATACCGAATTGTCTGTTCCTTCGTAACCTAACCATTCTACTAAGTACTCTAACTTTCCTGATCTTTTATTTACTCTAGAGTCCACAATGTCCTTTACTTCCCACGATTCTCCTACGTTATCTACTTCTACTGGGCCAGGTGGTTCAGCTTGCTGACCAGGGAATACTGGAGGATGATAGGGACGAAGCAATGAAACATGGAATACATCATGGATACCTGCCATCGTTCCTGGTAATTCCAATTTACGAGCATGAGAACCTACCTGCCGTACTACCTTGTACGGCCCACCTTGCTTCACATCTAACTTCTTCATTGGTCTTTTAGTCTTGATGTTCTCTAACGACAGCATTACTAGGTCACCTTCCACGAAGTTCGGCGTAGTCCGGTGTTTCCTATTGTATCCTTCAGCGTACTTCTCGTTAGCTCTCTCAATTCCCTCAATACATTCTTTATGTATTTCGGTTAGGTCTTTTACCACCACTGTAGCAGCAGGTACCTCGACCTCACTGGCCTTAATCTCTTCAGCCCACCGAGGGTGGTACCCGTAGTTCGCATAGAATGGGGTCTTGTTTATCGCTGAATGATGGGTGTTGTTGTAAGCAAAGCTAGCTCGAGCAAGCAGCTTCGACCAGTCGTTCTGCTGGTAGGAAGTGAAGATTCGAAGGTATAATTCGAGGGACTGGTTGGTTCGTTCGGTCTGTCCATCAGTCTGTGGATGATACGCGGTAGAAAGATGTAGTCTTATGCCGAGACTATCGGTCAAGTTCTTCCAAAACTTCGAGGTAAACTTCGATCCTCTGTCCGATACTATACTCTCTGGTAACCCATGCTGGGCCACCACATAGTCCATTATCAGCTCAGATAGTCCAGCTGCGGTTAACTTCGTCGTGGTTGGGATAAAAATGCCCCATTTGGTCAATCGGTCCACCACTACCAGGATGGAATTATATCCATGGGAATTCGGAAGCTCTTCGATGAAATCCATCGAGATGCTTGACCAGGGTTTAATAGCCACTTGCAATGGTTTGAGCTCTCCATGGGGTTTCTGTCTGTTAGTCTTTGCTCTCTGACATACCACACAGCCAGCGATATAATCTTCGACATCCTTCCTTACTCCAACCCAAACGTAATCCCTCAGGACAAGCTCGAGGGTCTTCGCTGAGCCTGGGTGACCAGCTAGGGCCGAATCGTGTCGCATCTTCATGATCTTTAGTCGAGCCTCGGCGTAGTTCGGCACATAAGTGCGATCGTCGAATGTGAGGAAACCCCTTGAGTTCCATCCTCCCCGAAGTATTAGAGGGGATCGCGAACTACGGCGTAGTTCGGTGATTGATCCTGGTTCCTGTACGTCATCGTGACACGTTGGATGGGAACACTCAGCGCAAATGACTCCTAATAGCTCTTTTCTAACCTCCTCCACTTCTCCATCTTCCTGTACCCCAACAATCAGATCCATGGGATCAATAAGGTCATTCTCTCTTACTTCCTTTGTCCCTTGCAAAGCACGAAGTAGGTGTTGTAACCCAGAGCTAGTGCCGTCGAGTTCGTCGAACTTCGGCAACCCTTGAATAAGATTGCTCTCCTGCACCATAGTACTTCCTTTTCCAGAGTGGTAGTCTGCTCTTCTCGATAGTCCATCCGGCAGTGTAGCTTGTTTCCCAGGTCGATACACCATTTTAAACCTAAAGTTAGAAAGCTCTTCGACCCACCTGCCCTGCCTCGGGCTTAACTGCTTCGGTTCCATCCAGTATGTCAAGTTCAAGTGGTCCGTGAGAACTGTAGTCTCTACCTGTAATAGTAAGTGCCTCCTTCTTCTAAAAGCCTCAACGATAGCTAGTAGTTCCTTCTCGCCTACCGTATAGTTTAACTGCGCCGCTTGAAACGCTCCTGACTCGATCGCTACCGGATGTTCTTGTCCTAACTCGTTTACCTGCGATATTATGAAGCCCCACCCGAAGAACGACGCATCTGTCTGTAGTAATGTCTTCAACGAAGGATCAAAGTGAGCCAATACCGGGGCCCTACAGATTCTATCCTTCAACTCTTTAAAAGCTCTTTCCTGCTCCATACCCCAGACAAACGGTACATCTTTTCTTGTGAGATCATTGATCGGTTTAGCAATCCTGGAGAAGTTGGGGACGAAGCGCCGATAATAACTAACGACTCCCATAAATCCTCTGCTCTCTCTTAGGTTTTTGGGACGGGGAAAAGATACAACAGCGTCGATGTACTCTGGATTACTAGAAACTCCCTCCCGTGAGACCACGAAACCCAAGAAGACTACCGAACCCTTTTCAAACTCGCACTTACTAGCCTTGACGAACAGATTCGACCTTCGAAGAACTTCGAACACCTTCGCCGTAGTTCCTCTCAATTCTTCCAACGTCTGACCATAGATGAGTATATCATCTATGTAGACAACCACTCCCTTCCCCAACAGTTCTCTGAAGCTTTCATTCAGAAAATGCTGGAATACAGCAGGAGCATTTCGCAGACCATCTCGAACAACAAGAGACTCGAACATACCGTACTGAGTCCTGAACGCCGTCAGGTGCTCGTGTCCTTCCTTTACCCGTAGGAGTTGATAAGCTCCAATCAGATCTAACTTGCTGAAGTACCTCGCTTTTCCTAGCTCTTCGGTTATCTGACCGATCAGAGGCAGTGGATAGGCATCGGGTATCGTTGCCTCGTTTAACTTTCGGTAGTCAATGACCATTCGCCATTGACCCTTTGCTTTCTTCGGTACCAAGAACATCGGTGATCCGTAGGGCGAATTACTGGGTCGGATTCTTCCGGCCGATATTTCGCGATCTAGGATGTCTCTCAGCGCACTTCTCTGATCTTCTCCGAGTGAGTAGAGTGGAGCAACCTTCAGGTTCGCCCCCTCCTTAAGCTCAAATTCCAGATCATACTCCCTTGAGGGAGGTAGTTCTTCACCTCCCTTCCTCGGGTTAAACACATCAATGAACGGATGATATTGTTCAGGAACCACCTGATACAATTCCTCCTGTTCCTCCGGACTCAGTTCATCCTGGTCATCTTTGTCTCGGAGATCTATCGCGTCCGTCGGAGTTGGCAGCCCTATGGCCGCTAACTTCGCCGCACTCGGTGGGGTTGGGATGGGGAACTTCATCGAGTTGTCTCTTCCATCTAGAACAACCCCTTCCTTCCTCATCCAATCCCACCCTATCACAACATCTGCATCGCAGAGTGTTGTTACATCTAGACGAACAGATCGCACTTCGGCGCCCTTCGTCAAACTAAAACCAACTTCGACAAACTCGGTGATAGGTCCAGCGACACTAACCGAGCCATCAAACATGTGAACGGGTACGCTCACCTGATATCGTCTCCTTCCTACACCTATCTTCGCCGCTGCTCTAGGGCTTATATACGAACATGTAGCCCCAGTGTCCCAGAGCGTAGTTAGCCTAATTCCATTAATAAAGATGTCCGATTTAGGTTGATCCCTAGAAGTGGAAGAAATGAGTAGATGATTATCGACATTGCATGAACAGGGGGTACTGAGTGGTGTATTTTTGTAAGCACAATCCTCTGACTCCATCAGCTGTGTCTCTTTTATAGGTTTGGGAATGGTGGCCGAGAGAATATGGCGGACCCGCCGAGCCTCGCCTACTGCGACAGGTCCTCCTCTTTTCCCTGGTCCTCTTCCATCTCCCCATCTCCCCCGACTGCGTTCAAGTTCCTCCTCTGTCCTAGAGGTACTGCGTTCCCCCCCGATCCTCCACCACGTTCGCCGAACTTCTCCCCCCACGGCGGCAACCATCCGACCTTGACCTTCGCTGCCCTCACCGGGCAGTCCCTCAACCAATGTCCCTTCTCCCCGCACTCAATACACTTCCCTTCCTTCCTCCTTGCCTCCCGCAGATCGGGAGGTGGCCTAGGCCATTGTCGGCGAAGTTCGTAGGCATTGAACGGAATGTTCTTGACCTGCGTCGACGTAATAGTCCCTTGTACCGCAGACTGCGCCGAAGTTTGCCTCCCTTCCCCTCTTTTCTCCTCTTTTCTCTCCATCCTCTGCCCATCCACAACTAACACTTCTTTTACCCCCGTCTCCTTCTTCTTCTCCGAATCCTTCTCCACTTTCCTTCTCCACAACCTGTTGTCCATGGGAATAACAAACTCCAATAACTCCTTGACCGTCCCAAAAGATTTACCATGTCTAGCAATTTCATCTAGGAGGTGTGGTTTCAACCCTTTCTTGGCTCGGTCAACCAGGTTTCCGTCATCAGACCACTTGAGTATCGCCACATGTCGTTGAAAGGCGGAGAAGTACTCCGAAGCTGACCCAGTCTGCCTTAGATCGTTAAGCAATCGGGCTGCGGTTCCTTCTTCATCCGGGTCACCAAAGTTCGTCTTGAGATATTTAACGAATTGATCATACTCCACAAGGTAGTCAGGAAGAGGTCGTTTAGCAAGATCAGGTTGAACGGCGAGAAGAGGTGTTTCGCGTAAATGAGAGATCATGAAGAAAACTTTCTTAGTGTCGTTGGGGAAAAGATGAGAGTTCAGTTCGTAATGGATTTCACATTCCGACAGAAATGCGGTCAACTTGTTCCTCTCTCCTCTCCAGAAGTCCGGATTAGGCAGTTTTATTCCCTTCCGTGATTCGCCAACTACGCTTGGGGTCGCCGAAGTTTGCCGTCCCATGGCGTACCTCACCCCTTCTGATATCCCTTCCGCAATACCGCCCACCGTCTCCCTTTCTCTTCTCTGCTCCCACTCCTCCCTACGCCTTCTCTCTTCCATCATGTCTTTGTTCATATTCGCCACCATCTGCATCAAGGCCAATATCACCCCTTGTGTACCTTCTTCTCTCAAGTCCGCCGTACTTCCAGTGTTTTCTGGCCGCGGGGTCTGATCCGATCCAACTGGGGATCCTATAGGTGGGAGGGCATTACCCGAAGGTGTAGGAGGATTAGAAGGTAATGGTGGAGCGAACTCATCTCCTTGAATTGATCCCCCCACACTATCCTCCACTCCAAGCTGCTGCCCCATCGCTCTGCTAAGCTCCTCCAGTGCCCTCCTCTCGTTCTCCTCCATCCTGTCTCCGTCCCTACTCATACCTCGCGTAACTCTCCTATCTGGTTCCATAGAATCTTCGTACTTCTCCGAGGTTCGCACGGGTCGTCGGTAAGAGCGATCCTTGATACTGTCACGCCCGTCGAACAACTATCTTCTGGCAGACCGACGGTCGACGAACCTCGGCTAACTTGATGCTCCTGAGTTGAAGTCTCACCCAACCGAGAGGGCGCAGACGTCGAAAGGAGTGTAACTACGGCGTACTTCGGCGTAGTTACTCTAACTGGGGTTTTGTTCTACTGATGGCGATGTATCTCGAATTGTATATAGCTATCTCTATCTGTCTTTCTCTACTGACAACAATCAAGGATCGCTGAAGAACTTCAGCGATCTTCTCAGCTAATATTATCTACTCCTCCTAGACGTTCATCCAACCCTCTCGCGCTTTGACGTACTTCAACGCACTTCGTCCAACTTCCCCGAGCCCTCAGCCATCCTCTTCCTCCTTCGACTAATTCCGCCTAACATCGCCGCACTTCTGCTCCCATTGTCCCTACTTAGCCTAGCTCCGTCTAACTTCGCCGTACTTCTGCTCCCATTGTCCCTACTTAGACTAACTCCGCCTAACATCGCCGCACTTCTGCTCCCATTGTCCCTACTTAGCCTAACTCCGTCTAACTTCGCCGTACTTCTGCTCCCATTGTTCCTACTTAGCCTAACTCCGTCTAACTTCGCCGTACTTGGTGTCAGAAGTCCTGAGTTACGTGTAGAGTAAAGAGGTTAAGGCGTGATGGGGTTTTGATGGCCAAAGGAGGGTCATTGTTGGTGGAGTAATCGAGGTGTCGCGACGTAGTTCGTGACACCATTATACCATTTATTCCCAAAAAGACAGTATCAGGAACCACGGAAGATCAGGTTCCTCGATGGAACAACCGCGACGTTAGTGACCGAGTATGTAGAAGCTGAATTGGATTTAGGAGAAGGACTCAAGATTGCGACTCGATTGGATGTGATGGCATACGAAGGCCCCGAGGTACTGGTGGGATTGGATTTCTTAAAACAGTTTAGGGCAAGGATCAATTGTGGAAAGGGATTGATCGAGTTCGACGGAATCGGACAAGATAACGGTTGGAAGTATCCGAGGTTGGAGGAAGGATTGGTAAGAGGAACAGCATTGGAAAAAGGAGAAGATGAGATGAGCGAAGAAGAGTTACGACAAGTCATACCGACTCAATGGCACCAATACCTGGAGCTATTCAAAGTGGAACGAGCCAGAAAACTACCACCAAGAAGAGAATGTGATCACGAGATCGAATTGACCCCCGGAGCAGAACTAAAACGAGGACCAATCTACCAACTGGATGAACATGTGTCACGCCTGCGGGTAGACTGCGGTTGCAAAGTACTGCCTTGGGTACTGAAGGGTTTTAGTCTCTGGCTCGTAGAGCTTGATGACTGCCTTAGGTACTGAGGGTACTGAGGTGTTGGGTTAGAACCAACTAGGTGACTTTCAAAGATGAAGTTCAACTTCAAGATGAAGATACATTGCTGAAGAAAGAGGGGGGAGATGTGCTCCTTTTATACCCTTCAAAACTAAAGTAGGTGTACTAAATAAAAAGCGTGTGAGGGATTTTCTAGCCAATCACATAAATGCCTCAAAGTGAGTGCACCGCGGGAAACTAATTCCAGCCAATCACATAAATGCCTCACTGCTAAACTGCTGAACCTTCCAGGCTTCAGCCAATCACGTAAATGCCTCACTGCTGAACTGCTAAATACCATGACTCATATTTTCCTTCAATCCTTATCACAGTTCCTAGCATGAGTCATATTTCCTTATCACTATTCTGAGCATGAGTCAGAATTCCTTATCACTATTCATGACAACATGGGGATGCATTCCTAAAGCAGTGGATCAACGACGGTTTGGCCAGCGGCCATCTACGAAGAAGTAAATCACCTTATGGATCTCCTGTATTCCTGGTTCCAAAAAAAGGAGTGATTCCCTATTGAGTGGTAACGGATTATGGGGCGCTTAACAAGGTAACCGTTAAGGATTCATACCCAATGCCACTCATCTCGACACTACTCGATCGACTCCAACTGGGAAGGATCTTCACTAAACTCGATTTGAAAGGGGCTTACCAGTTAGTCAGAATAAAGGAAGGAGATGAACATAAAGCTGCCTTACGAACAAGATACGGCAGTTTCGAGAGCACAGTCCTAAGGGATGGGCTGTGTAATGCACCAGCCACCTTTCAGAACTCCCTACAAGACATGTTTCACGATCTACTTGACGAAGGGGTAGTAGTTTATATCGACGACATCACGGTATACTCCGACACGATCGAAAACCATCAGATAATTGTCCAAAAGGTGTTAGATCGACTACTGGAAAACGATTTGGTCGTCAGTCCGAGGAAATGCGAATGGAGTTCAAATGAAGTGAAGTTCCTGGGGTACGTAATAGGACACGAACGGATCGAAATGGATCAAGAAAAGGTGAAAGCTATTCTGGAATGGGGAGAACCCATGACAGTCCGGGATACTCAAGTGTTCTTGGGCTTTGCGAATTTCTATCGAAGGTTTATCAAGGGGTTTTTGCATATTGTGGGACCCCTCACACGATTGACCAGGAAGGATCAAGCTTGGAACTGGACACAAGAATGCCAAAAGGCTTTTGACGATCTAAAGAAAACATTCACCACAGCACCAGTACTTCGACATTTTGATAGGACCCGACCGACTTGGATCGAAACCGATGGATCCGACTGCGCGATAGGTGCGATAGCGTCTCAAAGATTCCCTCACCCATCAATAAAAGGAACCACCGAACTTCACCCAGTTGCGTATTGGTCTAGAGCAATGACACCCTGTGAACTAAACTACACGGTAGGAGAGAAAGAATTACTAGCCATCGTGGACTGCTTGGTCGCCTGGAGGCCCTACTTGGCTAACAGTAGTGATGTTATAAAAGTCATTACAGATCACAAGAACCTAGAATACTTCCAAAGCAAACGACAACTAAATCGAAGGCAGATGAGATGGTTGGAAATATTGGGAGACTTCAACATAGAGATCACTTACCGACCAGGTAGCAAAAATGGGGGAGCAGATGCTCTGACTAGACGAGGAGATTATCATCCGGGAAGGGGTAGTAGCAAGGACCCAGACCTAAACAAAGGTAACTGGCTACAATTGCTACCGACACACGAACAAATTGGATCGAATTCGATGGACTCAGAACACAAAGGACCAAGACACATAGTAAGAGGAGCAATCCGGGAAGACTCATTATTCGGACTCATCAAGAACGGACTGAAAGACTCAGAAGACATAGCAAACATACGACAACTAGGACTACAGATGACACAGACACATAGCACACAGAGCACACAGAGCACACAGGACACACAGGACACACAGAAGACACAGGCTAGCAGCGAGACACCAATAGTATCATGGACACAGAGCGGATTACTCTTGTACAAAAACAGAGTAGTCATACCAGAGGGACAGGCAAGATTGGAAGTAATGAAAGCAAGACACGATTCGATACTAGTAGGTCATCCAGGAAGAGACAAAACTATCACCATGGTCAAAGAGGACTATTACTGGCCACATTTGGACGAGTATATTGCGAAATACGTAAAAGGATGCGAGATCTGTAACCGACATAAGACTCATCGACATCAGCCGTATGGACATCTAGTCTCTTTACCAGTACCCACACTCCCCTGGACAGATATCTCTATGGATATGGTGGGACCCCTACCAAAATCGACCGAGTTCGACGCGATACTAGTGATAGTCGATCGACTAACCAAGATGGCTAGATTTATTCCATGTACAACTGGACTAACAGCGAACAAAGTGGCCGACATCTACATCAAGGAAATCTTTTCAAAACATGGAGTGCCTCGAACAATTGTATCAGATAGGGGAACTCAGTTTACAGCGGAAATTTGGAAGGAAATATGTCAGTTCTTAGGAATAAAGAACTTATATTCGACTGCATATCACCCTCAAACAGATGGACAAACTGAGCGAGTAAATCAACAGATGGAAATCCTGCTCGGAATGTATGTAAACTACAACATGGACAATTGGGATCAACTTCTACCAATTGCTGAGTTCGCTTATAACTGTTCGCCACATAGTAGCCACGGTCTGTGTCCCTTTGAAACCTGTTACGGCTATGTGCCACACTACGACATCCATTCGCACGACATTCGATCGAAGTCAAACAAGTTGGAGAAGAAATGGAGAGATATGGGGGAATTACATGCGACTGTTCAAGAACAGGTCAGGATGGCTAATGAGATTAGTGAAGCAATTGTGGATAGCAGAATTCGACGAGGAAAGGAGGAATTCAAGGTAAAATGGTTAGGATACACAGGAAATGCGGCCTATGACTGGGAACCACGAGAAAATGTAGAAGAGTTGGCCGATTTTGGTGAATTTTTGGAAAAAAGGAAGAGGGACCCCAGAAGAAAGTGAGAATTCGATCAAGATCAACAAGACTGGGTCAGAAATGAATGCATACACAGGAAATATAGCTACAAATAGAGAGATATAAACACACTACAAATTGGAGGTGGTAGAATTGGCTCGGGGACGACGGGCCGAAGCGGGAATACGAATGACATTGCGAGGGAGAGGAGTATGGGGAGAAGAGGAGGGACCAGCGACTGGCTGAGAGGAACTCAATCCTGTAGGATCACCAGTAGAAGTGAGATGATCCAGAGTCTCATCGACGGTAGGAGGAGCATAGTTGGCAGGAATAAGATGGAGAGACTTGTAAAGATCCAGATGTTGAGAGGGGAGAGGAAGGAGAAGGGAGGTAAAGAGATGGATGTAACCCGAAAGTTGGGTCAGACAGGCGGGTTGATCATGGGCAGGAAGGGATCGATAACGGACCGAAGCCGCACAAAGATCGTGCTCCAGTACGAAGGTAACCTTGGAAGTGACGGTTCTTGCTCCCACAACGATACCCTATACATCAACATCGACCAAGTTCGAAGGAAATAGACAGGTACCTCACGAAATTTGGACTCGGGATTGTTGGTTTTCACCGAACATTTTGAAGTACCCTTAGCAGAACATTCACCACACACACCACCGACTGAATTGCATCAGCATCGAACGAGTCGCAACAAGAACTTACAAGGGCCAATACAACCAACACGAAAGTCTTCACCACCATCGAGACGACGTTGACAATCGGTACAGAGCTCACCCTCTAGCCGAACAACAGCACCATTTTTGTTGCGGAGGCGCCAACCTTGGGCCAAACGATCGAGCTAATGATTAGAATCGATGAAACTCAAGAGAATTCAAGGCTTACAGCGTTCTTAAACCACTTTACAGTGGGCTTGATGGCGTTGGTTTCGCGGAAACAATTCAGAGCTTCGTTCTTCAACGCGAGACGAACAGAGGAGAAGGTCATGCTGGACCAAAGGGTAGCTAACAAGTCAGAACCAAACAGAACTCGGTGGAATTCTCACCAATCTCGGAGTCTTTTCGATCCTCGAGCAACTTAACCAGTTCCTTGTTGACGGGAACCTTGCGAGGGGCGTGAAAGATGTCACCAAGCTCGTCGGGAACCTCCACAAGTTCGTCGGAAGCCTCAGAAGGAGGACCAGTGGGTTGCTTACCGGGAGAATTTTCATGCTCGACGACGGTGCCGTATTCGGATTCGACAGACTTGGCGGGAGATAGGTTCTCACCAGTGGCAGATGGCCCAGCACCCCCTTCGAAGTCGATATATTGCGCAATGACCTGGTCATCAAGGGACGATTGTGGTTCGCGAGAAGGACCGGATTGATACTTCTCCTTAATGGTGTCGAGAGCTCGTCGAGACGCATCAACCAATGGGGGTTGAGAGGAAGCGGCTTCGGAAGTAATTCTCATTCTTTTCGTTTTACGCATGAGGAGTTTGGGGTCGACGTCAGGCAGGATTGCCAAGGTAGAAGCTCGAGTTTGACGGGAGGAGGTGGAAGGAGACAACTAATCTCGTCAGCCAGTGAGAGATAGGAGGATATACATCGAATTCGAAGGGAATTGCTTACAATACGCTTAGACATGCTCACGGAAAGGTCAGAATTGGAAGGATACTCTAAGATATGAGTAGGATATGGATGGATAATGATAGATAAGTAAAAAGAACGACGAACAAGAGGTAAAGAAGGAATGAGGAGGAAAGAAGAAAAAGATGACGGGAGGTAACTTGGTCAGTAATTTCTCGATCACATTGGAGGTCTGTGCGGGTGACGCGTTTCATGGCAACCGTCACACTAGCGTAGGTGTGACGTCAGGGCGCACCAAAGGTGCTCAGAACAATCCATGTGAATCACTTGGTTACAGGATTCAGGATCCTCGGCGAGGATCCTTCAGACAGGGGGGGAAACTTGTTACGGGGTAACAACGAATCGAGAGAACTCTATCGAGTTCGACGGATTAGGATGGAGGAAAGCGGGAGCTGGAGGCAGTGCTGCAGTAGGTAGGGACGGGTTTTCCCCTTTCGAGATTTTCCCCACTGGGTTTGCTCAAAGCGGTTTTTCACCTGTCCAATTATGTACGTAGACGCTTGCAGCAGGAGGACAAGGACGAGGATATTCGTAGACAGTATATAGTACAATCAGCAAAGTACCAACTTTGCTGATTCTTCAATATCATTCTTTGGCTACATCAATTGCAGAGGAGACACGATTCATTAGCACCAGAGCCCCTGGATTTCCACGAGACATCCATCGAGTTCGACCCAACCTGCGACTTAGTCGTCGTGTTTCCAGTACCGTTACACCAACTAGGGACAATGGGAGTAGAAGTATGGCAAAGTTAGACGGAGTTAGGCTGAGTAGGGACGATGGGGGCAGAAGTGCAGCGATGTTAGGCGGAGTTATTCAAAGGAGGAAAAGGATGGCCGGGGACTCGGGGAAGTTGGATGAAGTGCGTTGAAGTACGTCTGAGCGCAAGAGGGTTGGGTGAACTTCTAGGGAGGGTAGATAATATTAGCTGAGAAGATCGCTGAAGTTCTTCAGCAATCCTTGATTGTTGTCAGTAGTGAAAGACTGATAGAGATAGCTACATTCAAATCGAAATACATCACCATGAGTAAAAACCCTACTTACAGTAACTACGTCAAAGTACGCCGTAGTAACACTCCTTTTGACATCTGCGCCCTCCTGGTTGGGTGAGACATCAACTCTGAAGTGTCAAGTTCGCCGAGGTTCGTCGACCGTTGGTCCGTTAGAGAGAAATTATTTGACAGCCGTGACATTGGGTGAGACATTGAACCCAAAGTGTTAAGTTAGCCAAGGTTTGTTAACTGTCGGTCCAATAGAGCGTAGTTATTCGTCGGCTGTGACAAGTTCCCTCAGTACCTTGTCACCCTCTGTATACTCCTCAAGCTCTACGAGCCAGAGACAAGTATTGGGTTACAGCCCCATCTCAGTCACCTTGCCTACCCATTGGGGATTAGACCCCACCGGTGACATGTTACGATCTTTCTAAGCTGGGAGGCTTGGATGTCAGTCATGTGATCTGGCTTTGTTATGACCTGGTCATAACACAAGTCATGTGACCCCACACCCCTCATTGTGGAATTGTGCTAGTCATGTGACCCCACACACCTCATTGTGGAATTGTGCTAGTCATGTGACCCCACACACCTCATTGTGGAATTGTGCTAGTCATGTGACTCCACACACCTCATTGTGGAATTGTGCAAGTCATGTGACTCCACACGCCACATTGTGGATTGTGGGAATCATTGTGAAAACGTGTAATTCTGAAAGGTATATAAAGGCGGCGGAATGGGTATCTACTTTAACGGCGAAAACTATCTCAAAACACCTCACTTTTCCTCATTACCTCTCCGCTCTCCCCAAAGTCATCTTTGACCATAGACAGTGCAAGATCATCCTACGGGTGGCACTCCATCTATCATCAAGCCTGACTTTGGGTCTTCACTCCGAAGTCCCACCTTCCTTTGTATATAGTTCTAACTACTAGACACTCTTATACTTGATCTATATTTATTACCTCCTTCCTACTCGATACATCTTCTGTCGACCTTTGCACCAGCACTACGGTCTACCCCCGCCAGTCGTAGACCAAGCTTGCGGTAAACGTCTGCTGTCCACCCTGTCTCCACATCCCGACAACCTCTCGTTGGGGACAGGTCTTAACAGGCTTGCTCACAAAGACAATGAGATAAGCCAGAAAGTTGGAGCCAGTCTTGGCTTTGCGGGTATGTGTCAATACAGAACACCTGCTTTCTCCTCTGCCGCCTACATCAGGTGTCTGAGTGCTAGGGCTCGTCTTACAACTGCATATACACATCACTGTCACAAAGTGTGTGACAAGTCGAGCAAAAGTCGGGGAAGGGTATTTGACCAGCGATCGGCGATAGTATTAACCGCCGATTAATAGGCCTTTTCGTCACAGTGGTACCAAGGGGTTTTCTCCGGGCACTCCGGTTCCCCTTGTACATGAGTCTGTGCAAGCCATTCATGCTATAGTTCTTATAGTAGGCTTGTTTTAGCACTGGGCTTGATGCCTTGTGCACAGCAGCCTCCTCCCAAATCAGGTTTAGATCACTGTTCCGTTGGGCACTGTTATATCGAGCCAATGCTGGTTAGTTGGTCCTCGTGACAGATTAATCGGCGGTTACGGGTAGGGTCCTGGGTTCGACTCCCGGACGGCGCCGGGGGTAATTCAGCCCCTACTTGGAAAACCCCCCTCTTGGAGTAAGTTTTCGGTCTGTCGTACCCTTCCCAGTGTGGGGGCCCAAAGCGGGGTCCCCTTGTCGGGGCCCCACGCGGGGCCCAAAAGAGTGTATAATGTCACAAAGTGTGTGACAAGTTGAGCGAAAGTCGGGGAAGGGTATTTAACCAGTGATCGGCGGTAGTGTTAACCGCCGATTAATAGGCCTTTTCGTCACAGTGGTTTAGATCACTGTTCCGTTGGGCACTGTTATATCGAGCCAATGCTGGTTAGTTGGTCCTCGTGACAATCACTCAGCTGATGCTTCAGACCCCGTCCCAATTGTTATGACACTACACATTGCGTCATAACTTCAGGAACAACCTAAATCCGTGGATCACGGTTCACGTCTGTGGATCACGGTTCACATCCATGGATCACGGTCCACATCCGTGACTCACGGATTTGGTGAGGCATTTACGTGATTGGTTGAGATATGATCACCAAAGTGATACCGGTTAGAGAATGCTGTCTATATAAACCCCCTTCATGAGGGCTCTTTCTTTGTCGATGAATTCTCATAAGTTACTCTCACAAACTTTGCCACCCACTTCACATATCCCAATTGCTTAAGTGACTTACGCCATAAAGCGTCTACACTGAGGTGTCCTTCATCATCGTCCAATCCACTCTACGCTATCACTTCGTGTCTTATTGCTGTCGTCCACTGAAGTTAGGTTAGGTCACTGCTGTAACGGTACTGGAAACACGACGACTAGGTCGCAGGTTGGGTCGAACTCGATGGATGTCTCGTGGAAATCTAGGGGCTCTGGTGCTAATGGATCGTGTCTCCTCTGCAATCGATGTAGCCAAAGAATGATATTGAAGAATCAGCAAAGTTGGTACTTTGCTGATTGTACTATATACTGTCTACGGCTATCCTTGTCCTCGTCTCCTTCCTGCTGCAAGCGTCTACGTACATACTCGGACAGGTGAAAAACCGCTTTGAGCAAACCCAGTGGGAAAATCTCGAAAGGGGAAAACCCGTCCCTACCTACTGCAGCACTGCCTCCAACTCCCGCTCTTCTCTGTCCTAATCCGTCGAACTCGATAGAGTCCTCTCGATTCGTTGTTACTCCGTAACAAGTTTCCCCCCCTGTCTCAAGGATCCTCGCCGAGGATCCTGAACCCTGTAACCAGGTGATGCACATGGATTGTTCTTAGACACCTTTGGTGCGCCCTGACATCATACCCACGCTAGTGTGACGGTTGCCATGAAAACGTGTCACCCGCACGGACCTCCAATGTGATCGAGAAATTACTGACCAAGTTACCTCCCCGTCTTTTTTCTCTTCTTTCCTCCTCATTCTCTCTTTACCTCTTGTTTGTCATTCTTTTTACTTATCTATCATTATCCATCCATATCTTACTCATATCTTAGAGCATCCTTCCAACTCTGACCTGTCTGTGAGCATGTCTAAGCGTACTGTAAGCAATTCCTTTCGAATTCGATGTATATCCTCATATTTCTCGCTGGCTGACGAGACTAGTTGTCCTCTTCCACTCCTTCCCGTCAAACTCGAGCCTCTACCTTGGCAACTTTACCCGACGTCGACCCCGAACTTCTCATGCGTCAAACGAAAAGAATGAGAATTACTTCCCAAGCCGCCTCCTCTCAACCCCCATTGGTCGATGCGTCTCGACGAGCTCTCGATACCATTAAGGAGAAGTATCAATCCGGTCCTTCTCGCGAAGCACAATCGTTCCTTGATGACCATGTCATCGAGCAATATTTCGACTTCGAAGGGGGTGCTGGGCCATCTGCCACTGGTGAGAACCTATCTCCCGCCAAATCCGTTGAATCCGAACACCCTACCGTCGTCGAAAATGCAAATTCTCCCGGTAAGCAACTTACTGGTCCTCCTTCTGAGGCTTCCGACGAACTTGTGGAGGTTCCCGACGAGCTTGGTGGCATCTTTCACGCCCCTCGCAAGGTTCCCGTCAACAAGGAACTGGTTAAGTTGCTCGAGGATAGAAAAGACTCCGAAATCGGTGAGAATTCCACCGAGTTCTGTTCGCTTCTGACCTGTTAGCTACCCTTTGGGCCGGCATGACCTTCTCCTCTGTTCGTCTCGCGTTGAAGAACGAAGCTCTGGGCCGTTTCCGCGAAACCAACGCCATCAAGCCCACTGTAAAGTGGTTTAAGAATGCTGTAAGCCTCGAATTCTCTTGAGTTTCATCGATTCTAATCATTAGCTCGATCGTTTGGCCCAAGGTTGGCGCCTCCGCAACAAAAATGGTGCTGTTGTTCGGCTAGAGGGTGAGCTCTGTACCGATTGTCAACGTCGTCTCGATGGTGGTGAAGACTTTCGTGTTGGTTGTATTGGCCCTCGTAAGTTCTTGCTGCGACTCGTTCGATGTTGATGCAATTCAGTCGGTGGTGTGTGTGGTGAATGCTCTGCTAAGGGTACTTCGAAATGTTCGGTGAAGACCAACAATCCTGAGTCCAAATTCCGTGAGGTACCTGTCTATTTCCTTCGAACTTGGTCGATGTTGATGTATAGGGTATCGTTGTGGGAGCAAGAACTGTCACTTCCAAGGTTACCTTTGTACTGGAGCACGAACTTTGTGCGGCTTCGGTCCGTTATCGATCCCTTCCTGCCCATGACCAACCCGCCTGTCTGACCCAACTTTCGGGTTACATCCATCTCTTTACCTCCCTTCTCCTTCCTCTCCCTTCTCAACATCTGGATCTTTACAAATCCCTTCATCTTATTTCCGCCAACTACGCTCCTCCTTCTGCCGATGAAACTCTGGATCATCTTACCTCTACTGGTGATCCTACAGGATTGAGTTCCTCTCAGCCAGTCGCCGGTCCCTCCTCTTCTCCCCGTACTCCTCTTCCTCGCAACGTCATTCGTATTCCCGCTTTGGCCCGTCGTCCCCGAGCCGATTCTAACGCCTCCATTGAGTAGTGTGTTTATATCTCTCTATTTGTAGCTATATTTCCTGTGTATGCATTTATTTCTGACCCAGTTTTGTTGATCTTGATCGAATTCTCACTTTCTTCTGGGGTCCCTCTTCCTCTTTTCCAAAAATTCACCAAAAACGGCCAACTCTTCTACATTTTCTCGTGGTTCCCAGTCATAGGCCGCATTTCCTGTGTATCCTAACCATTTTACCTTGAATTCTTCCTTTCCTCGTCGAATTCTGCTGTCCACGATTGCTTCCACATGGAATTCATCCTGGCCGTTAATTACTACAGGCGGTGGGGGTTGTATCTGTCGACCTGGTATCATGTCCTTAGGATATGGTTCCAACAGCGTGACATTGAAGACATTGTGCACTTTCATTGATGGAGGTAGATCTAATTCGAAAGCATTTTTTCCAACTTTCCTTATGATCTTGAAGGGGCCAACGTATTTTGCTTCTAATTTTCGACTGGGTCTTTCCGTCGTAAGATACTTCGTACTCAGTAGTACCTGTTCTCCCTCTCTGAATTCTTCTGGTATACTCTTGTGTCTCCTGTTGTAGTATTCTGCACTAATCTCATTAGCCATCCTGACCTGTTCTTGAACAGCCGCATGTAATTCTCCCATATCTCTCCATTTCCTCTCCAACTTGTTTGACTTTGATCGAATGTCGTGCGAATGGATGTCGTAGTGTGGCACATAGCCGTAACAGGCTTCAAAGGGACACAGACCGTGGCTACTATGTGGCGAACAGTTATAAGCGAACTCAGCAATTGGTAGAAGTTGATCCCAATTGTCCATGTTGTAGTTTACATACATTCCGAGCAGGATTTCCATCTGTTGATTTACTCGCTCAGTTTGTCCATCTGTTTGAGGGTGATACGCAGTCGAGTATAAGTTCTTTATTCCCAGGAACTGACATATTTCCTTCCAAATTTCCGCTGTAAACTGAGTTCCCCTATCTGATACGATTGTTCGAGGTACTCCATGTTTTGAAAAGATCTCCTTGATGTAGATGTCGGCCACTTTGTTCGCTGTTAGTCCAGTTGTACATGGAATAAATCTAGCCATCTTGGTTAGTCGATCGACTATCACTAGTATCGCGTCAAACTCGGTCGATTTTGGTAGGGGTCCCACCATATCCATAGAGATATCTGTCCACGGGAGCGTGGGTACTGGTAAAGAGACTAGATGTCCATACGGTTGATGTCGATGAGTCTTATGTCGGTTACAGATCTCACATCCTTTTACGTACTTCGCAATATACTCGTCCAAATGTGGCCAGTAATAATCCTCTTTGACTAAGGTGATGGTTTTATCTCTTCCTGGGTGTCCTATTAATATCGAATCGTGTCTTGCTTTCATTACTTCTAATCTTGCTTGTCCTTCTGGTATGACTACTCTGTTTTTGTACAAGAGTAATCCGCTTTGTGTCCAAGATACTATTGGTGTCTCGTTGCTAATCTGTGTCTTCTGTGTGTCCTGTGTGCTCTGTGTGTCCTGTGTGCTCTGTGTGTCCTGTGTGCTATGTATCTGTGTCATTTGTAGTCCTAGTCGTCGTATGTTTGCTATGTCTTCTGAGTCTTTCAGTCCATTCTTGATGAGTCCGAATAATGAGTCTTCTCGGATTGCTCCTCTTACTATGTGTCTTGGTCCTTTGTGTTCTGAGTCCATTGAATTCGATCCAACTTGTTTGTGTGTCGGTAGCAATTGTAGCCAGTTGCCTTTGTTTAGATCCGGGTCCTTGCTACTCCCTCTTCCCGGATGATAATCTCCTCGTCTTGTCAGAGCATCTGCTCCCCCATTTTTGCTACCTGGTCGGTAAGTGATCTCTATGTTGAAGTCTCCCAATATTTCCAACCATCTCATTTGCCTTCGATTTAGTTGTCGCTTGCTTTGGAAGTACTCTAAGTTCTTGTGATCTGTAATGATTTTTATAACATCACTACTGTTAGCCAAGTAGGGCCTCCAGGCGACCAGGCAGTCCACGATGGCTAGTAATTCTTTCTCTCCTACCGTGTAGTTTAGTTCACAGGGTGTCATTGCTCGAGACCAATACGCAACTGGGTGAAGTTCGGTGGTTCCCTTTATTGATGGGTGAGGGAATCTTTGAGACGCTATCGCACCTATCGCGCAGTCGGATCCATCGGTTTCGATCCAAGTCGGTCGGGTTCTATCAAAATGTCGAAGTACCGGTGCTGTGGTGAATGTTTTCTTTAGATCGTCAAAAGCCTTTTGGCAATCTTGTGTCCAGTTCCAAGCTTGATCTTTCCTGGTCAATCGTGTGAGAGGTCCTACAATATGCGAAAACCCCTTGATAAACCTCCGATAGAAATTCGCAAAACCCAAGAACACTTGAGTATCCCGGACTGTCATGGGTTCTCCCCATTCTAGAATAGCTTTCACCTTTTCTTGATCCATTTCGATCCGTTCGTGTCCTATTACATACCCCAGGAACTTTACTTCACTTGAACTCCATTCGCATTTCCTCGGACTGACGACCAAATCGTTTTCAAGTAGTCGATCTAACACCTTTTGGACAATTATCTGATGGTTTTCGATCGTGTCGGAGTATACCGTGATGTCGTCGATATAAACTACTACCCCTTCGTCAAGTAGATCGTGAAACATGTCTTGTAGAAAGTTCTGAAAGGTGGCTGGTGCATTACACAACCCGTCCCTTAGGACTGTGCTCTCGAAACTGCCGTATCTTGTTCGTAAGGCAGCTTTATGTTCATCTCCTTCCTTTATTCTGACTAACTGGTAAGCCCCTTTCAAATCGAGTTTAGTGAAGATCCTTCCTAATTGAAGTCGATCGAGTAGTGTCGAGATGAGTGGCATTGGGTATGAATCCTTAACGGTTACCTTGTTAAGCGCCCGATAATCTGTTACCACTCGATAGGGAATCACTCCTTTTTTCGGAACCAGGAATACAGGAGATCCATAAGGTGATTTACTCCTTCGTAAATGGCCGCTGGCCAAACCGTCATTGATCCACTGCTTTAGGAATGCGTCCCCATGTTCATCCAGTTGGTAGATTGGACCTGGTTTTAGTTCTGCTCCGGGGGTCAATTCGATCTCGTGATCACATTCTCTTTTTGGTGGTAGTTTTCTGGCCCGTTCCACCTTAAATAACTCCAGGTATTGGTGCCATTGTGTCGGTATGACTTGTCGTAACTCTTCTTCGCTCATTTCATCTTCTCCTTTTTCCAACGCCGTTCCTCTTACCAATCCTTCCTCCAATCTTGGATACTTCCAACCGTTATCCTGTCCGATTCCGTCGAACTCGATCAATCCCTTTCCACAATCGATCCTTGCCCGAAACTGTTTTAAGAAGTCCAATCCCACCAGTACCTCGGGTCCTTCGTATGCCATCACATCCAGTCGAGTCGCAATTTTGAGTCCTTCTCCTAAATCCAATTCAGCTTCTACATACTCGGTCACTAACGTCGCGGTTGTTCCATCGAGGAATCTGATCTTCCGTGGTTTCTGATACTGTCTCTTTGGAAACAAATGGTATAATGGACAGGCCGGCTGTACATATCTTCCGGTAGCTCCGGTATCAATTAACATTCCAAATCGTAGGGTATCTTTTTCTGTCTGTATCTTTATGTATATTATAGCCGAGTCATTACTGAGATCTATTGGTAGTTGAATTTTGTGCGATTCTGTTAGATCCTGGCCGCAAGTGGTCGCATCACTTAGGCCAGGTATTCGTTTCCCTCTTCTTCAAAGGTCACCGCCATTCCTCGAACTAGTGGCCCTTTGGATCCAGTTGGGATCGAGTTCGATCCACTAGGAATTGGTGAGTTATGCGGGTTTGGGGATCCCCTGATGTTGTTCCTCGTATTTCCTCCATTTGGGCAGTTGTTGGCGTAATGTTCTGGACTTCTACATTTGAGACAACGTCGGTTCTCCCTCCTCCAAGTCATTTCGTTCTCGCTGAGACGTCCTCCGTCCTCTGTCCAAGTGACCGGAGGGTCATTTGGTAGACCATAATTCATCATCCCTGGTTTTCCACCAGGCAAGGGTCCTCTACCAGTCGATTGTGAGTGGCGTTCTACCGGGTTGGGCGGACTAGTATCCACTCGCATCGAATTCGATCGAGGGGGAAGCCAGGTCGTCTCATTTTTGCGTCTAGCAGCCCATCGATTCGCCGCAATCATCGTTTCAGCCATCCGTTGGTTCTCCTCAGTCCCTATCACATGTTGTTTGAAATAGATCCAGTCCGATTTGGTTCGAGGGTCGGTGTTATTTACCACTACCACTTTCAATAGCTCTTCCTTCAGGCCCTGTATGGCTGAGGCGATTTTCATGGCATCGGGTACCTTTCCAAGGTGTGTGGACCAAAGTTCAAAGTTGGCAAAATACTCGGCGGCCGTATCAGTCTGTCTTAACTCCTGCAATTTCCTCATAGCCGTACCTGCCATGTTACTGTCTCCAAATTGAGTTTGTAAATGCTGGATGAATTTGTCGTAGCTCTCTAGCCATTCGGTCGAATTCCATATACTTGGATTGGTTATGGCCGGGGTTATAAGCATTTGAGGGGTGCCTCGAAGATACCCGTACATGAACAGGATCTTTCTGCGATCGGTGGCGTACTCTGCCCCTTTGAATTCGAAGTTCATGTGACATGCTGCAAGGAAGTTGTCCAATTCTCCTCGTTCTCCACTGAAGGTAGGTGGATCCCCACACCTGGTTCTTCCTGTTCGTTCGTTATTGGTAAGTTTTGGCTCCAAACACGGCTTGTTTTCTTCGACTTCGATCGAACTTGCCCCTTTCGATGTGAGTATCTGTTGGTTCTGTCGGTCAGCTTTCATCGTAGCCAGTTCTTCCCTTAATGCAGTTTGTTCCTTTTGTTGCATCGTCATAATGGCTAACAATTGTGCCAACTGCTGCGATAATTCATTTAGCGGATCTGGGGTAGTGGTGGTAGAAGTGAGATCATGTGAAATGGTACTTCTCGAAGAACTTGTTGGTATTTCTTCCTCTGGGACCAGCCCTTGTTCCAACTCCTCTTTTTCTGGTATCATTTTCCGCGCTTTCCCTCTGGTGAGCATACAGTACTCTCCAATTCGACCCAAGGTGCGTAAGGCTGATTCTTCAACTTGTAACGGTACTGGAAACACGACGACTAGGTCGTAGGTTGGGTCGAACTCGATGGATGTCTCGTGGAAATCTAGGGGCTCTGGTGCTAATGGATCGTGTCTCCTCTGCAATCGATGTAGCCAAAGAATGATATTGAAGAATCAGCAAAGTTGGTACTTTGCTGATTGTACTATATACTGTCTACGGCTATCCTTGTCCTCGTCTCCTTCCTGCTGCAAGCGTCTACGTACATACTCGGACAGGTGAAAAACCGCTTTGAGCAAACCCAGTGGGAAAATCTCGAAAGGGGAAAACCCGTCCCTACCTACTGCAGCACTGCCTCCAACTCTTCTCTGTCCTAATCCGTCGAACTCGATAGAGTCCTCTCGATTCGTTGTTACTCCGTAACAACTGCCTAGCTCTCAGGTTGTAACACCAATCACCTTTTGTGGTGCAGAGGTCTTGCAATACACCATGACCAGGGAGTATTGGGAAAACAGGGGTGAGCAGATATTGCGGACAAAAATGGAACGTTACATTGCCCAGGAAAGTGAACAGGCAATTAAAACTTTTCAGTCCGACATGATTTCCACTAGTAACCCCTTGAGTGTCAAGAACTACGTTGTGACACCTCCATTATTCCACCAACAATGACCCTCCTTTGACCATCAAAACCCCCATCACGCCTTAACCTCTTTACTCTACACGTAACTCAGGACATCTGAGACCAAGTACGGCGAAGTTAGACGGAGTTAGGCTAGGTAGGGACAATGGGAGCAGAAGTACGGCGAAGTTAGACGGAGTTAGGCTAAGTAGGGACAATGGGAGCAGAAGTACGGCGAAGTTAGACGGAGTTAGGCTAGGTAGGGACAATGGGAGCAGAAGTACGGCGACGTTAGGCGGAGTTAGTCGGAGGAGGAAGAGGATGGCCGGGGATTCGGGGAAGTTGGACGAAGTGCATTGAAGTACGTCCAAGCGCGAGAGGGTTGGATGAACGTCTAGGAGGAATAGATAATATTAGCTGAGAAGATTGCTGAAGTTCTTCAGCGATCCTTGATTGTTGTCAGTAGTGAAAGACAGATAGAGATAGCTATTTACAAATCGAGATACATCGCCATCAGTAGAACAAAACCCCAGTTAGAGTAACTACGCCGAAGTACGCCGTAGTTACACCCCTTTTGACGTCTGCGCCCTCCCGGTTGGGTGAGACATCGTTCTAGAAGGACCAAGTTAGCCGAGGTTCGTCGACCGTCGGTCTGTTAGAAGGTAGTTGTTCGACGGGCGTGACATTGAGTCTCCCTCCCTGCGGTTCTGCCACAACACTTCCTACTGAAGGTGTGTCTGATACACCAGCTTGATGATGGTGACAGAGTGGACAGCAGATACTTGCAGAAGTTGATAGTTAGGAATGGAATCATGCAGAGCTGAGAGTATTGACTCAAAGGCTATTTATTGATTTGAACCCTGACCAAAAGCGGATTGCAAAACCGCCAGAAGGTAAAGTGCCACATGCCACTTACACCTTGCCCCACTTTCCCCCACCTTTGACACTCAATCTCACCACGTTACAGCTTCTCTCCTACTCTAAGTCCTCTACTCTACAGAAGCATTGCCAATTGCATACCAGGACAACTAGCTAGTCATCAACATGGATCAAGTATACCTCAACCTATACAGCCCCGTAACGATCGCAAAGTCGAAGCTAAACGACCTTCATCTCACCACAGAGCGAGAAGAATACGATCATAACTTTGTCTTCGAGGTACGACCTCTAACATCAGATCGAGTGGAACTTGTGCCGTTCATTGTGAGTGTATCTTCATCTACTCCATTCTATTCTTATTATTCGACGTAACTTGCGGAAGGGCTTGGGGGCACATGGGTACATGGGTACATCGATTGACGAATTTTTCCCAAGAGAGTTGAACTGGGGATGCTAGAAGGATTGTTTATTTCTAGCCGTCACAACATGCTGTACCCTTGCTCCATATGCACCTGCAGGAGCCAACTATCAAAAGATGGTTAGGGATGGATTTTTGCACCTTGGAAGATGTGGGGGAATGGGTGGAGAAGACGATCCGTCAAGAGCCCGTAAGTCATCTCCTGTCCACCACTGTGATGCTCTTCGTCTTCTCAATTCCCATCATTCGGGGGACCCTCCTTGACAAATTAGCTCTTAGAGAGAGATAGAAACACATGTCATTTAATCTGTCTGAGTTAATATCAGTCCGCAATGTTCTTCGCCATCTATTCCGACGCTCCCGGTTCTCATAAGCCCACACCCAGGAAAGAATGGGAGTTCGCAGGAGTCATTGCATTGATCAATGTTCACAAAGCGGATATGATCGCTGAGCCAGGGCATATCCAGATTGCTAAGCCATATCAGGTGAGTTGTCTCGACCTGTCCTCAACAGGTAGCCTTCACTCTTCCATCACTGCCCCCCCCCCCCTTCATTTCAGTGTCCTTGAGTCTTCTGGTCACACTATCCCACATACCTGGGACCTTAGAGGCTCGGGCTTCTCAGATGTTTAAGCAAGCCAATCACGGGTCCTCGTACTTGAACACACATGTCCTGCATTTCAGGCGCAGGCCAAATCAGACCATATGACCAAGAAGCTGATCATAGCGCACACACGTCCTGACTCATGCAGTCGGTCTCATCCTCCACCATATCCTCGACTCACCAATCGTCATGACATCATATAGACCAGAGGTCATTGAGGCAGGGGGCTGTTTGGACATTTCGATGGACGGAGCTGGTAAGAAGGAGTTAGGAGTGACAAAGAAAACACTTTCGGGGAGCTTAGGATTGAGAAGATGCCAATGGTTCACCAATTCGCTGAACGACAAATCTCGCGCCGCCGCACTTCGTCTTGGCTTTACATTCGAAGGCTTGATCAGGAATCATCGATTACTGCCTGATGGGAAAGAAGGGTCAAGGGGTAGGTCAATATCCTCCCCCGCACTATGCCAAGGTCCCCTAAGCAGCTGATCCTGTTTCCTTCTCCTCCCTTCTCTTGTTCTGTGTGGTACTATCAGAATCTTTCTCAATGAACTCTCCTCGACACAACCACCCCGCTCCCGTTTTGCAGACCAGAAGAGCGCTGAGACTTTGAAAACGATATTCCATAAGAAACTAGCTGACGTCAGATCCACGTCCGGATTCGTACAACCCCAACACCAGAGGAAGAGATTCGTGGCTCGCCTCTATCATCTGGGAAGATTGGGAAGGAGCAGATGGCAAAAGAGCGCACATCGATTCTCTTATGTCTCGGCGATAATGATCTAGCGGAAGATCTACGTTTCTCTCGCTACACATCACATCGCCCGACTCGCTCGATTATCCTTCATTATATGAACGTTTTCATCCTTTGTTCATGCATACCTCTCCCTCTCCTTTTCCTTGTCAAGACTTCAAAGCGCTCATACTCATAGCTCGACGGCTGCACGGCTATGTCTCAGTTTCCCCACCAGTCTGATCTGGCCAAAAGTGTAACGACATCCTGTTTGCATGTTTCCCGGGGCAAATCATCGCTTATGAACCAAATCGTCGTCTCTTCTCGTTTGGGGTTGTTTGGTCGCTGAAAGCATGAAAGGTAGTTGTCGAACTCGAAGATCACACCCGATACGATCCGAAACCCTCTTTTGTTAGACTTCATGTCTTCCATCGTGCGTGGGAAGATGGTGCAAGCTTTCTTCGCCACCATCGACTACTTATAGGCGGCTTCCGTCGCGGCCACTCTAACGAGAACACTCATTCCAGCATCAACTTAGAATATGAGCGAAAGCGACAATTCTTGTGCGCACAACACGGAAGTAGCTCCACTGAAAGAAGATGACCAAGACTCGATTCCCCTGGACGATAGTCGCTGGTCCAGCCTTTCGCGCCTCTCTTCACAGCGGGGGATCCAAATATGGCCTTTTGTCGTGAGTTCCACATGATGCCCCAACTCTTGAATCTTTTCACCCCTTCCTGGTGCTTCGCAGGTGCACGGACTGATCTCTCCAACACGGGTCCCCTAGTCCATCACTTGCGTATCGACTCTCCGAGGCATGACTGGAAACCTCAAGAACTCTGATGTAGAAGGAAGTGCAGACATTGTACTGACATTAGTTTTCAAGAGACACTCCTCCATTACGTGACGCGCTGAAAAACGATCCAACCTACTGGGGTGAGGCCCAGAGCGAACAGGACGCAACGGACTGGCTTCAAGACATAAGCAAGAATACTGTAAGTAATTTGCTTGTATTTCTCATCATACCTGTTCAAGGATGTTGTTTCTCCTGTATGAAGTGAAGAGTTGTTTCTGTAGAAATATCAGATGTGTTGGATTCATGGCACAGTCAGATATCAATTTGAGAATGCTTACAGCAGCACGCATTTGTATGGGCAGTTTATAGCCTACCTGTTGCAAGCCATGTGGCCACTGATGTAACTGTCTCTGATAGTGCTTATGTCTTTACGGGTACGGTGACAGTGTACGTGGACAGATTGAATGCAACAAAGTGTCACTTTGGGATGTCAATACGGGAAGCATTCCGGGTGAGTGCTACAGGACATAACCGTCCACCATCAGCCCCCCCATCCTTTCCACCCTTATCTTGCCTGCTGTCACAAGTTGTGTCTAGACTTCCTTCATGGACTCAACTATGTTCTTCCGTTTGCAAGTATAGCGTAAACGTCTGCTCAATCTCAGAGAGAGAAAATTGCCACTCAGGTGGTATACTTGATGTTGAATTATCTATTCCACCTATCTACCGGTACAGGGGGGCCAGGGGGACTGAACACAGGTTCTAGCTCTGCTGTGCTACTCCCTGTTTTTGAACTTCCAATGGCCGAAGTATTCTGGGAGACACAAAGCACCAATTCCATCTCTATACATGCGGCAATATCATGGGGCTTTGTAGGTGAGTGTAGAGAACACTTTTTGCTGTCCCCATTGTCTGAGGCATACATGATACAGATCACAGAGGTAGTTGCTGGTCAAAGAGGACACACACACTGTCATTATGCGCGCATCAATGAAACTTGTGGCGGAATAATATCGGAGCCTGCAACTATGCCAAGGAGCACGCTATCTGCTGACACCTCAGAAGTGCGTCATTTCTTCTCAGAGGGTCAGGTATGGCGGGAATACGTGATGACAGAGCAAAGTTGGAAGGCCGGGAAGCAGTATCACATGGCTTCTCGACTGAGCGGAATAGCGAGTCAATCGTTGAAGAACCTAGAGGTGTGATAATGGTTCTGACCACATTTACAGTATGAGTTCTGTGTATATCATGAGCTTCTACCGGAATCACTCTTTTGTTAGTTATTGTAACTTCGTGACCTTGCGATCAGGTTCCTTTCTGACAGTCACCAGGTGTGGCCATACCTCATCATCACTGATGGAAGTAGTGAGGCAATGAATGGAATATGTGAATGAACCCAAAGTGAGAATCTTTGGGTTTACACCCTCAGGAAGATTGGGTGTTTATGTCATGACCAAATAGCAAGCCCGTAATTATAAACCGTCCTAAAAGCCCCAATATTGACTCTGCTGGTGAGAGCTAATCTTGCTACACAAACGGGTTGTGACAGTTTAGTCTGGACTCTGTGCATGTCCTTGTGCAACGGTTTCAAGTCTGAATGACAAAGAAAACAGAATCAGATCTGCTATCAATTGCTGACATACCCATGGAAAGGTGGATTGGACAGAAAGTTCAGAGTGAAGCACAATTGAACATTGATTGTTCAAAGAAAAGGGTCATTTGACAACAGCAGTTAGGTGCAGTGAGATTAACAAGAGGTCTAAAGATTGATGAGGATTTGATCTTCCCTTGTGGCTGTTCAATAAGCATCCAGCACTTTAGACTGGCAGGCTGATCCTGAGTCAGAACTTCGTTGCACAAACCCTTCTTACATGTATGTGATGACTACGGTCATGGGCCCCGAAGGCCAATTGAACTCTGCAAATGATGATCCGCGCGACTGACTTTTCTATACCCTCCCGCTTTGTGACATCCTTGTAAGATAGTCAAGCAACAAAGCAGGGTAGAAGAAGTCTTTTGACTCATCTGTACTTTCAAGGCAGAGAGGGGACATTGTCTGTGTGGCTGAAACAATCAGCCAGGGTATGGTGATTGGAACTTGGGAAAGCGTTAGAGGAACAGGGTTTCAGAAGGACTGAGGGAGACTGGGGAATGTACGTCCAACCAGCAGGAAAATATGGTGGACTGGTGATTCTCCTGGCGTATGTTGATGACCTGGTCATAACTGCGCAGACAAATAAGGAGATTGATGGGGTAATGGAGAAGCTGAAGAGGAAATGGGTAATGACGGAAATGGGAGAAATGAAGCAGATTCTTGGTCTCAAGGTTACACGAGATCGTCCAAAAAGAAGAATCCATCTTTCTCAACCAGCGTACATCGATAAAGTCGCTTCTCGATTTCCAGGTCATTCACAACATCGTCCAATGACAGCTCCTCTCCCCACTCAACATCACGATGAACCAGCAGTCAGTGAAACTGATGAACTCGCACCTCTTTCCCCTTTCCAAGCAGCCATTGGAAGCTTAATGTGGACAGCGGCGTGTACACGGCCAGACATTTGCTTTGCAACAAACTTTCTAGCATGGTTCAGTGCAGCTCCCCTGGAAACACATTGGCAACTATCTTTACGAGTAGTTGCTTATCTCCTCAAGACACGAGAGTACGGTTTAGTTCTTGGTGGAGATGTGGGGAAAGGTTTAGAAGGTTGGGAAGATGCAGACTTTGCAGGGTGTAAAGTGACAAGACGGTCTACTACGGGATATATTTCAAGCTCTGTGATTCAGTGATTAGTTGGATGTCAAAACGACAAGGTTCAGTCACAACATCAACATTAGAAGCAGAGTATGTGGCGATGGCTGAAGCAGCAAAGGAAGCAAGATGGTTATCTGGGCTTGTGAAGGAATTGGTTAATTTGAAGGGAACGGTTACTCTGAATTGTGACAACAAGGGAGCTTTAGCGCTGGCTAATAACCCAGGTGTTCATACTTGAACAAAACACATTGAGTATTGACATCATTTCATTCGTGAACAAGTGTCAAATGGTCAAATTCAACTTGTATACGTCCCAACAAATGATCGACAAGCAGATATTCTCACCAAAGCTTTGCCAGGTGAACGTCATTTGAAGAATATGGAAGATCTAAGGAGAGAGGATAAAAGAGAAGGAACGAGAGGTAGTAAAGGGAGTTTAAAGGTTAGGACAGTGGGGAAGCTGTCTTAGGTAGTGATCAGAGACTCAGTGATGATGGCAGAGGGAGTGTTGATTGTACCGCCACCACGAGTTGTATGTAGAATCCCGAGAAACTCCGCGAGATCAGACTCGCAACATCTCTCTCTCTTTTATGCATCCTCTCTCGTCTCACCAACCAACACAAGGGCCACGCACGGGTCCCGTGACTGGGGAGGATTACACGTACTGTACGCCTATCTTGTTGGGCGCAACACTTCTCATTGAGAATTAGTCACTACTCCCACTTTCTCACCTTCCCACTAGCCAGTCTACAAGGTATGGGAGGTGGTCTCATCTATACCCGCTAAACTCCCTATTTGACGACGAGAGCATTGGACTTGGCGTATTGTCCTACGGTTTTTACACCCTCTTTGTTTCTTCCCTTCCTTCCTCCTTCCACCCATATTGATATTGTGAAAGGAAAGCAAGAAGCCCTCAACATGAACCTCTTTTGATGAAGAAAAATTGCTTCTTCAACCTTGAATTATATGTACATGTAGGCCAGTACAAACCAAATCTTGACCTGTCTTACAGCACAATCTGCGCTCAACAGGAGATGATTTCCACTGTCGTTCAACTTGTTTCGGACGTCTTAGAATGGAGGGGGGAAGAAACAAGACAACAATCATACAAATATAATCTCCGTGACCCACGGAAACTCGAATCTGACCGAGTGGAGCTGATCCCGTATATCGTCAGTCTAACGATTTTGCTTTGGCCACTTCCATCCTTCAGAGATCTCACGTATGAACCCGTGGCTGTACGTAGTAGATTCCAAACTGAACCAAAGTCATACTCTCTGAATAAAAACCCCTTGATCTTGTGGGGAGAATGCTGATGGATAGCCAGACAGTCACTCCCACCTGATAGTAAATATGTCACGGGAAGATAGCTCTGTGCGGGAGCATTTGCGGTTTGACACTCAGAACTAGGAGCTGCTGAATGAGTGGGCAGAATCTCTTAGCAAACGTGCAGTGAGTCTTTCTTTCCTTCTCATCCTACATCTTTCTTTTGATGTCTTGCCTCTTGTGCATGTACATCTCTACGTCAACGGAGGGCGCCCTGGACGGTTTTGCAATCGACCACACACTTGTTGGTTGGTGCTACAAGGACTTCTTCCTCTCCTCACCAGCCCGTATTCCACCTCCAAAACCCTGATTGTCAGACATCTCAGCTCACAACACAACCTCAGATCAGTTGAGTTTATGTACAAGTGAGTGATGCAGATTCATCCCCAGGACCGCATGTTGTATGCAGCTTTTGCCAAGACCCAACCATCACAAACTGAGGGTGAATTTTCCGCTCTGGTAATCTTGTACACAGTGTCGAAGCCTTGCTGGGGAGTGTTTATCAGAAAGAAGTGGAGGGTGAGCCTTCTCCCGGTCATGTACCCAGTGTGGTACCCCTACCAAATCTATTCTCCCGGGGTAGATCAGTCAACTATATATCCTTCTTTCCTCCCAGCTTTGACATGCTCTTATATCCTAATCACTCATCCAATCCACCATACTTACCGGTTTGCGCATGGATCCTGTTGACATCAGGGTACAGGAGTCTGTTCACATATCGCTGGTCTCTTGAGTGCCTTTGTGCTCAACCATTCTTCTGTCCCACCCTCCACTGAGGTTGGTATCAGTACTGTCAAGGATAATTTGTTGGGTTCAGAGGCACAGCAGGAAAGGGACTGCTTGGAACAGCCAGGTCTTGGATTGTCCAGTTTTACATGGTACGCACGGTATGAAAATGCGCCGTCTTTAAAAGCAGCTGTTAGGGACCCAGCCGGAGACGGACCCCTCCGGAGCTGCACGGATCCGATCAGACCTGACCAGAGATGTTCCACTCCGGAGTGGTCTGACTCCTTCAGCAGACCCAGCCAGAGAAAAAGCAGGTTCCTAATGAGTTTATGAAGTAACAATGGCTAAATGAAATTGTTTCCGTATGCTTTAAACAAGCACATCCATCTGCAGTGATTTCCATGAGATTGACATGGTCTGTGAGCAGTTTGTCAATTTCTAACACCAATCATCAGCCCATGTCTTTCCGTGACAATACCAAACTTGAAGCAACTATTGAGATTGTCCTGCTTACACAATGCTCAGAGCCAACTCAGATAGACGGCTGGGAGGTTTGGTTACTAAATTGTCATTAGGAAGAAAAGAGTAGTTTGGAAAAACTCGGGTGAATAACTCAAGGGCGTGTGAATTACTCTGGGTGGGTCCGGACCCCTCCGGAGTGGCATGTTTCTCTGGCTGGGTCCCAAAGGGGTGGTTTGAACCATGCCACTCCGGAGCAGTCCGTCTCCGGCTGGGTCCTTAACACAGCTACTAGATGTGGTTTCAAGCGGGTTCAAGACCAGTGGCGCCAAGGTGAATATATGGCGACTTTTGTCTTGACCCAGCAAGAATGGTTCCTTAGAGGTCGCGAGGCTCTTTGGGCCCAGATGAGCAGGCCACATCCAAGTCTTACTTTCACGTCTCCGGACGACTATCCTATCGAGCCAGATGAGGACTGGTGTACCATGACTTGAACGTGACCTACGGCCCAGTATGGCCTATAGGTTCCTCTCTCAGGAAACTGGATTGTGCCGGCAAGTGTGGTATAATCGATGGATAAGAAGATTTGGAATCATGACAAGAGTAGCGAGTATGCTGATCTACGTACAGTTACAACTTAGCAAATAGTATGTTACTATTTGGTTAGTAGTTTCATGCATTGAGTCATCATATACAAATGTGATGCAAACTTCACCATTAAAACATTCCTCTGATCCGTCCTTCCCCACCAAGTCCGAGATGCTCGATGTCAACCCACCTGACTGGACCTCCTTCCTCCAACACTTCTCCTTTCCTTAATGACCCTCCAGTCTCACGTAATTTCCTCACCAGCGCCCGACTTTCAAAAGCGGAAGCTCCTTCTTTGACTCCTACAGTGACATGTAGTACCTGTCTGACGTCATCTGGAAGGTCCAACTCTTCCTTCGTTCCTTCACCTCCCCGGCCATGCTCCTCTTCTTTCCGTTCTTGTTTCGCGCCAGTTTCTACCGGAGTTTTACCATCTAGATCCATTTTTACTTGCTTGATGTTGGGCTCGGTCTCCAAGCTATCCACCGCCAGAGCCATAACCCTATCATTCCAAACCAGATGAGTGAACCTGAATTTGAACATCCTCATTTCCCCTTGTATAATCTTACACACCTCCCATAATCTTCCATGTGGTCCTATTTCGTTCCCTAGTCTTTCCGTTTCATCCGCTACAGTTTTCTCATGTACCAACGTGATATGAGGATTGACCGTGAGAGCCCGTTCGTCTTTCAGACCTTGATACATTTCCCGAGCAAGGACCAAGACATCGCTTTGTTCACTCTGCAAAAAATGGAACAATTGATCCATCAGATTCACCACAGATATCTCTGGAGCTAAAGCGTAGTATCGTGGCGGACGACCGACTTTCGTAGCAGGGGGATGAAACGGTGTTGTGGTTCTATATTCTTTTGCCTTTTGTACGGCCTTCTTCACATCTTCCTCAGTCGGTTGAGCCAGATTCAGCGGAAGTCGGAGATCAGTGATGATCTGTGAAAGTGTTTTCTCAAGTGAAGAATCGATAGGGACGGTGATGAGGAGGTCAAATATGTCTTTAGGGGGTAAAGTGAAGTTACGTATGAATTGCCCAACGACAACTTCGTGTTCCGCACTTGGTGTCATATCTGGACGGAGGGTTTGGTGGTTGTCGCCGCGTTGAATGACCCTTTGAGAACATGTACGAAGAACTCGATGATATGGCTGAGATGTGACGTCCCATAAGATACCGATGAGGTGGATGTCAAATGATTTAAGAAATTTGTGTTTTTCGGTGAAATTGGATAACTCGTCATAATGTTTGTCAATATGGTTGTTGCTGTCATAAGCAATCACATCCGACATTCATTGAGACTCGTCCTCTTCTACACATACAGAGCACACTGATCAAGCGACCAGAAGGGGATATCCTTCCGTGAGTTCCAAGAGGGTGCATGCCCGTCATTTCTTAGCTCACAGAGAGCAGGAGGTAAACCGGGAGTAGAGGCGAGAAAATCCTGAGAGGGATGAACACGGCAAACCCACCGATCCGCATATACAACATCATGAGTTTTCAACAAATCCGCGATATTCTTCAGAAACGTCGGCGCGGTCTTATTACTCCTTACGTCATCGCTTTGTGTATGTGTGAACCCAAACATCTCTTTCAAAGCGACTCCGACCATTGTCTTTCCTAATTCTCATCAGTTATCATCCTCTGACACATATATTAATGAACTCACCACAACCGGGTACAGCCACAGGAACGATTATCCATTTTTTCTTTAGACCTTCTTTAATTCTCGTCTCTGCCTGCTGTTTATCCTTCCGTAACCCTTTCAGCTTGTATTTCCCCTTCTTTGCCAACTCCCACTTCTCTTTCCCTTCACTTTCGGTCCAAGCCAGAAACTTCTCCCGAACTCTGACGACCCCTCTATCATAATCATCAAATAAACTTGGCTCGTCACTCATCATATCTCCTACCCAATCGGCATAAACTGCTTCTTCTCCTCTCGACACTTTCCTGCCGACCTTTCTCCATATGTCCACTTCCGATTGTTTTCTGTTGTCCTCTGAAAGTTTACTAAGCTGAAGAAGAGGTAACATGACCCTTGTGATCTCTCTCCATGTCCGATACAACTTGTAAGGTTCTTCGAATTTGACTTTGAAAAAGAATGGTGTACCAGGACTATATGGAGGCTGACCTTCTTCTTTAGGAGATGATTTGACAGTGCACCGAACGACAAAACCTTCGATTTGTTCTCCTTCCCATGAACCGGACTGAGAGACTTGTTCGGTATATACACGAACGGAGGAAAGGTTGGGTAGGACGATATATTTGGTGGGGATGAAGCCAAATTCCTGTGCCATTCCAGCGACTTGGTCTGGGGGGAGGGAAGAAAAGGTGGCTGTGTTGGTGTTGAGTCCGTGAAGGTGTAGACCGGTCCAGTGAACGGGTGTTGCTATGACATGTTCTTCGAAAGAGTCGTCGCACAGCTTTGGAGTCAGTGTTTACCCCTCAAAATCTACTACCGACTGTACACGCTCAGCAGTCTAAAAGTTCCACGATCTCAAATGGGAAATTTCCGTATGAAGGCAGAAGACAATCTGACCGAAACACAGAGGAGACCAGCTGTTCGAATGCTCTGCTACCCTATGAACGGTGGGCTCGGGTGCGGGGAGGCAGGCAAAATTAGAAACCGCTGAAATACTCACCTCAAGAACAGCAGTAAGATTCCTCTCCCATAATCTCGCCGCTAGTTCAGCTTCCGTCTTTCCACTTTTTTGTAGAGTACGACGAAGCCATTTCCTTCCTTCTTCCGCGTGTACCTTCGTCTGTTGCTCGGATTCTTCGACCTCGACGTTTGGCCTTTGGACTGGGCCCGAGCCGCTTTGAGGGATTTCCGGCGGATTGAGAAATTCCTCCTTCTCCTTCAAAGACAGTGCTCCAACCCCAGTGGCAATCTCATCATCTACTTCCACTGTCGTTCCAAGCGAATGTTTTGAAGCCACCAACAAGTATTCCGGACTGATCGCAGAGATCAGTATGAGACATCCGTTCGATTTCAGAGTGATATAGTACGGTCCTTCCGTATGATCTTGCATGGTTTCCCACTGGTTGTCAGCTCGAAAGGAATTGACAGAATGTCCTCTGTGCAGATCCTATGCTTCTTCGTCGTATTTGACCGATTATTGACATGCATTCGAATCTATCCTCGCCGCAGCTATCAGGCAGGGATGGGGTATATAAACGATCTCGAGGACCCAGCGTAGACAGAACCGGTCATACACGGTATGTCCAATATCTTTTCATCTTCTGGGATCGAGAAGAGAGAAAAGTGATGGTATGGGACATAGAGTGAAGAGAAACTTCGCTGAACATATCAAACGGTAGTAGAACAAAGTATAAGCATCCAACTCACATTTGTCCATGGGACCTCATCTATGTTGAAAAATTTATCATAACCCCTACCCACTATTCTTTCTCTTCCTTTATCTTCTTCTCTGATCGCAGGAGATCCTTCCTCTCCTTCTTCAAGTTCCTCAGTAAACAAACCCCGTGCCATGGTAGGAAAAGGATTATTGATGTTGAAATACATATGTTCGGTCATTTTCCAACTTGTTATTCGTCTAGTTCTCAGGTCTTTCCTCGTCACCTCAGCTCGTCCACTGGTACCGGTAGTGACATTTTCCATACCCTCCTGCTTGTTTCCAATGTCATTACCCATATCTCTTCGAGCAATCTCCATGGCGTCATTACTAGTCTGAATGACATTGACGATAGCTGTTTTCTCCTCCAACACTTCTTCCTCGTCCGTCGGGGTGTTCGTAAATATCGGAGAAATTACATTGATTCGTTCTTTGGACGATGCGGTCTTTTGAGTCGAAAGACATGGTTCTCCGAAGAGACTTTGGGAGGAGGGATTTTCATGAGTATGAGAAGATCTCGTTGAAAGTAGAGGGGAATCTCCAGAAGGAGGGGTAAGTGGGGGATGAGGTGATAGTGTTATAGATTGAGGAGCATAAATAGAAGGAGGATAAAGATGTACGTTCTTCTTGATAGCTTTTGGTTGAGTGGCTGATATATGTTTGAGAGCCGATAAAAGTGTTGGAACTGTGACTTTGAATCTAAATCTCTTTCCCTTTTCAACATTACTCGTATCGTTCTTCTCTACGACTTCCCATGAGGGTTTCGGAGACATAGTGCTTTCGTAATTCGTTTCTTCTCGTCAGACGTTATGATCAATCCTCTGACTAAGTAGTCGAAAGATGGGGTTCAAAACCTTTGTACGGTCAGTCAATCCTCTATCACTACGACATGCGACACATGTAAAGATATGATGATATGCAGGGAGGTAAGATGATGTTGGAATGACCGGAAGTATGGTGAAAAGTGCGAAGATTTCACACTCGATCAGTTGTTGAAACGGAATGCGGGGCTCCGAATTACTATATGACGCTGCAATGCTGCACCCTTTACATATAAGATACCAGAATGCGAAGATATGATAATCATACAGTGAAATTTGCAAGTACATACGATACAACAGGTCCTTTATGAGAATGGAAATGCGAAAGACAGTAAAAGAACAAAAGACAAGAACAGAGAACGAGAATAAGAACAATCATGATTGATAATCACTTCCACCTGATTGATAATTCCTATTCTGATCCGATTGACCTAATTGACCCATCTGTCCCATTTGACCAAGAGGCAATTGCATTGGTATTTGCATTTGTCCTTGACCCGGTTGATTGATACCGAATCCTCCATTGAGTTGAGTCGTACCTAATGATAATTGATCATACACATTGGGTTGTTGTCCCATCTGACCCGATTGACCTGGTGCAGTAGACCCAGAGGATGCTGCTTGCTCCCTTGACATCGCCTCCCCCCTTTGGATCCACGCCAATACCGCCTTGAACTTGGTGGGATCGGCTTGGAGATCAAACTCCGGGGCTAAGTTGAGATTATGTTTCGCTGCCAACTGACGGATCGCCATCATCTGTTGAGGAGTCATTTGAGGTAATGATGGACCTTGTATACCTGGTTGAGGTTGGGTGGGTTGTTGAGATTGTATATTTGACGTAGGTTGGGAGAAATTGGGAGGACGGAAATTAGGTCTCTGAAGACCTGGTTGATGGATTGCAGGTTCGGAGTTTGAAGGACGACGTTGCAAGGAAGGGAATTGTTGGGAGTTCATGTCAGATTGGATAGTTGGGTTTAAGTTGATCTGAGCGTTGACATTTGGTTGAAGGGAGGGATCTGGGTTTACTTGAGAGCCAATGCTACTTTGAACGGAAGATATGGAAGACGACGTTGATAGTTGCGAGGGCTGTGATTGGCGATTGGGCAATGGGACGTTCTTTAGGTCAATTTTCACGTCTACCAAACAAGATAACGACTTACCATACATACGACAGCAAGCATCCTCATAGTCCTTTCTGTACCACCCGGCACCACTAAACTGGATCCGAAGATGACCAAACCTCGATCGGATGTTCCGAAGCTTATGAGGGCCATCTATGCGTCAGTCCGTAACCACTGGGCATATTCTCTGTGAGGGACCAGGCGAACAGTCATGCTGAGTTGTGGACGAAGGGGTATTCGGTGACAAAAGACACAACACCTGGAAAAACAGGGATAGAAGTCGAATCATGGGAGAGTGTGAGGGACAAGTGACTTACGGTACCCCGCTGGGACATGCTCGAAAGAAAATTTTGGTATTTCGTAACATTTTGCGGATCCCCCGTTGTGGGATTCAAGGCGAGAAGAGGTGTGCGGTTCTTTTTGACGAATTCTTGGATCCCGATCAGTGTCATTTGCAAAGGAGCGGTGATCACCAATTCTGCTCGATCAGCAAAACATCGCATACGCGTTGATGGGGCACACCTTTTGGCCATTGATCCATGTGGAAATCAGGTATACTACCGGTGCTCATGAGCATGGCTTCAATTGATAATCGATCTGTCCGTTAACTCCACTCCATCCCTGACGTATCTTTTACTCTCACTTTTATTAGCCGTCCCCCCTGGATATACTATATCCCCAGACCATATTTTCGCCCCGATGGGTCGACCAGTCTGCGTGGGTGGACCTTGGTTTGGTTGATTCGTTTGCCCAGGTTGGGCTGGCAAAGGTTGTTGTGATTGCGAGTTCTGTTGCAATTGTTGTAACTGTTGTAAACGCATGCGAGCGAGCATCTGTTCTTGAAGACTGTTCGATATGTTGGGACCTGATGCATCACCAGCGGTCGCAGAAGCATTGGCAGCAGCAGCTGCTGCTGCTGCTATGGCCGCTGCCGCGGCTGCGGGATTCATAGCTGCCTGACCTTGTCTTTGTTGTTGTTGTAACATGAGCAAATGCTTGAACTGCTGCATGGCCGGATCGTTCATGTCTAATCCTCCCGCTTTGGCAGCCATGAGACTCCTCCAAGCCATTGCTTGTTGTGGTGTCAATGAACCGTTTTGGAGGCCGTTTTGTTGTATGAACCGAAGCATAGCTGCCTGAGCTTTGGCTTGAGCCGTCTTCGGGTTGTTCTGATTGGGATCAACGAGGGTAGATGGAGTAGCAGTGTCTGTGGCTGTACCGACCGCAGTGGGTGAAGGGGAGACCGCTGTATCTATGATATCAGCAGAAGAAGGTAAGAGTAAAAAAAAAGACATACTGGAATCTATTGAGAATCCGGAGAGGCGTACGTCCCATCCTGATGGACAGTCGAACCAGATATCATCTTCGGCAGGTGAAGCCTGTCACTTCAGTCATGGAATAGTAGTCAAGCGATATGAGCAGGACTCACCGATACGCAAAAGTCATGCAACGTTTTGGCCAAACCGGAGGAAGGTGACTGACCTCTCAAGATCAGAGAACAATCCACATCCCTCACTCTACACTTGTCCGATAATTTGGTCCATCCTTGTCCATCGAACATGGTATACCAATGCCGTTTCGAGACCACCTCATCGGAGCTATCGCTGCCCGGAGTCATGTTCATCGTCTCTTCACCGACCGGAGAGAGCGCAACGAGAATCAACGACCTAGGTGGTGGAATGGGCGGTGTAGACGGTGGGGTGAGCATAGGAGCTAAGAGAGTAGTGGCACCTGCAGGAAACAAGGACGCTATCGTTTGTCTCAGAGAGGTGGGGCTATCGGGAAGCTTGGGACGTAATAGTAACTTGTATATCAGCTAGGCCCACATTTTCCTCTAGGCAGTAAAATGAAAGAAACTGACCTCTAATCCTCCTACGACACCGGCGATGAGGCATGCTTCCGAGCGTTTGGAATGTGCATGATTGGGGCCAGACAAGGAATCCAGATCCAGTTGAGATTCATCAATGAACATGTTCCAAGAATCTTCTGCAAGCTTGTCCGCCATACCGGTTGCGAAATGAATTGATAATCTTGGTAAAGATCCTAGGAAGGCAGAAGGAGAGGCGAAATCCTTCTTGATAGGAGTGACAGGAGTGGCAAATGCACCGATGATATCGGGAGGTTCGGAAGGAGCTATGAATAGGGCGATTCGTACCTACCTCCATCAGCTAAGGGGTTGGATGGGATCAAAGGACATGCTGACCTGTTTCTCACCACCATACTTCTCCATTAGACGTTGCACGAGCCTATGAACTAGACCGCCAGGTTCGATGAGCTTGAGGTAGTCATCTTTAGGCAAAGCAGATTCGAATACAAAAGTCGCCAAATGGGGGTTTGATGAAGTCGAAGCCGAGGATGATACTGATGGTCCAGGATGGTCGATATCCATGTTGATTTCTTCCGAGTCTGCTACACCTACGAGCTACCTGCCAGTATTAACAAGAAGAAGACAAGTACGAGGGTATAGGAGGAGGAGGAGGAAGTAGAGTAGACGGTTTTGGGGGGGAAAGGGCAAGTGTCTCCTTACTTACTTACGGCACGTTCGGGTACTTACTCTCGAGGGGCGCGTAGGGATAATCGCGACGGAGCTCGAATTAATCCCGACGGAAATTTGGCCATTTCACCCATTTCCCTACACTACTCACCCAAATCCCTACACTACTCACCCAAATACCTGCACTCTCTCAATATTGCAAATTATGAAGATGTAAGACATGTAGAATGATCCTACAGAGTCCAGGATGCATAAAGTGCACAGAGATTGGGTGTATCATGCATATTGACAGCTGTAGAGCGGTTTTTACACATGTTTCGGACCTGTTTCGGATTATGTGATCCCCCCCCTTTAAACAGGAAATTTCACTTTCGGACCACTTTCGGGCCGAAACGCATTTTCGGAACTGTCAATATGCATGATACACCCAATCTCTGTGCACTTTATGCATCCTGGACTCTGTAGGATCATTCTACATGTCTTACATCTTCATAATTTGCAATATTGAGAGAGTGTAGGGATTTGGGTGAGTAGTGTAGGGATTTGGGTGAGTTGTGACTGGATTTGGGCCAGTTGTGACATGAAATGGGAGAAATGGCCAAATTTCCGTCGGGATTAATTCGAGGTCCGTCGTGATTATCCAGTTTCGCTCTCGAGGGTTTCGTACAACCGTGGGAAAATTGAGCCTCTACCAGGCAGCATGCAGCATCGACCACCAACATGTCATCGGGTTCACCTCTCCTCTGCAGCTCTGCTCCTTTCATACAACACCTCTCGACTCAACTCCTTAGCGGCTGGAACGCAGCTAGCGAAGCTTCACGGGAAGAGGAGCTACGCAGGCACATGCACCTCGGAAGCTCGTAGTCAAGCAACTGCCGTGTCAAAATGGGTGAGTGACATCTCCGAGGGATTAATCTACCTTCAACTCCCGCTGACCCTTCAGACCAAGCCATATGGCGGGGTGAGTCCTCTCGCATGAAAATCTCCTTGAATTGCTGACAACATCAGGGCTCAATGATAAGATGTCAGAACATCTCCACAGCGAAAGCTTCTCAACTGACTCACAGCTATGAACGTCGCAAAGCCGCCGCTCATGACCTCGAAAAGTTGGTTCTCCCTGCACCTTCCCTAAAATCACTCACATACCAGGCAGATCATCGCTGCTGATAAGGCCAAGACGGTGGCTATCATCGAACAGCTATGTAACATGCTCTCGCCTGTTCACTCTGCAACTCATGCACGGAATGGAGGTCAGTGCAATCCTCTCAAACTGTTGCGAACGGCACACTGACCCCTGAGGACTCATCGGACTGGCGGCAGTGGCTATAGCATTGGGTCAAGACGTCGCCCCATTCCTGGGAACTATCATACCTCCTATACTTGTTTGCCTTCAAGATCCTGAAAACCGAGTGCGGTATCACGCCTGCGAGAGCTTGTACAATGTGTAAGTGTTCATTCCTTGCTTGTGCTTGATCGAACTCATGGACAGAGCCAAAGTGTGTAAGGGAGAAATACTCGTGCACTTCAACGAGATTTTTGATGCTCTCAGCAAAGTAAGTCGTATACCAGATATGACTTTTATCGAGCAGCTGACCAGCAGCTGGCGTCTGATTCCGAACAATCGGTCAAAAGTGGGGCCGAACTACTGGATCGTTTGATGAAAGATATCGTCTCTGAATCAGCACCGAACTACGTCTCAATATTCCCAGGAAACGTCAATATCAACCCCAATCTTCCTCCGCCTAAAGATGAAGCGTATCAAACACCAAAGCTACAAGCAACCATGGGTCTCAGCTCAGTGGCGCCATTAGAAAAAGGTCAAAGTCCAGAGACTTTCACTTCTCGAGGAATCGAGCCATCACCCGCGAGATCAGAAGAAGAGAAAAGGGCATTCTCCTTGGCAAGGTTCATCCCATTGTTGGAAGAGAGAATTTTTGTCATTTCACCCGCTACGAGGATGCATTTGGTGTCTTGGCTGATGGTGTTGGACTCGGTACCGGATCTGGAACTGGTGGCCTGGCTTCCTCACTTCTTTGAAGGTTTACTGTAAGTGTATGGGAAGAGAATTTTGGCTAACGGTCTAGTAAATACCTCGCAGACGATAGTGTGGACGTACGATTAGCTACGGAGGCAGTCCTTGGTGAATTTCTGCGCGAGATTCGGGAAATCGCTCTGGTACAGCGAACGGCGGAAGAAGAGAGATCGAGAAGAGAAGCAGAGTCATTACGGAAAAGAGGCAGCAAAGGGACTTTGCAAACGGTCGATGATCCAGATCAGGTTATACTGGACGATCAAGATGAAGAAGACGGCGATGGAGAAGGAGGAGAGGCAGACGAATCTTACGCCTCCCCGGATGGTTGGAGGGATGACTCTGGTCCTCTTGCAAGAGGAGAAGGCATATATATTGATTACGAAAGTTTGGTGGATATCTTGATCGCCAATCTACATTATCAAGGTATGTCCCTCACAACTATCCCCAACACATTTGTCTGATTTTTCAGATGAGTTGATACAGTCAACAGCAATGGAATGGCTGTTGGCCTTTCTTGACTTTGCCCAAGATGTTGTGGTCAGACAAACACCAAAAATCATTCCTGCCATTTTCCCCAATTTGGCCTCCCAACAGTGAGCCCTTTTGCTGCTTTTGTCCTACTACGACTGACGTTCGAGTCGGACTATCAAATTGGCCGCACATGAAATCAATGGATGTCTCTATCGGGTCATTCAGACTCTTCCTTTGCAAGTCCCCGAAATGTCCCCTCCAACCGCCTCCACCGTAGCTCATCCGCAAACATCAATCTCACTTCCTTCCGCCATCGCCCTCTCTTCCCTGGCAGGCTCCCCTCCCATCGCTAGCAATGCCATCAACTCTTCTCCCGCTCAGATACGTAAAGACGGGGTCGAGCCGCCAGTCATCAACGATCCCCTCGAGGCAACGTCTCCGGCGTCCAGACCGGGTCCATCGCAGCCGTCTTCTGCGGGGCCGGCCATCACAAGCATCAAAAGTAAGACATCGCAAGCTGTACCAATACCTGAGCCTGTCACACCGAACAACCCAGAGTTCCCTCCCATTAGAGGTCGAAGTAGGCCTGGATCACCTGTCAATCACTCTACAACCGCACAAGTCGGGACGCCTATGACGCCTGTTGAGGAGATAGTGGATTATGATCCTTTTAGTGTTCGGGAAACGGTTGACGTTTTGACATTACAGTTTGTGAGCGATCATGCGGAAACGAGGATAGCGGCGTTGGAATGGTTATTGATGCTTCATCTGAAAGCTCCTACAAAAGTGAGTCTTCTAGCCTTTTCACTCCTAAGCGGATGAAACGCAGACACTCTCTTTCTATGGACAAAAACCATAACATTATTATGTGTCATGTACGACAAATCGCTGACCACAGATTCTATCAAGAGACAGTGGAACCTTCCCAGCTTTACTAAAGACCCTTTCGGATCCGTCAGACGATGTGGTCAAACATGATCTTCAACTCCTCGCCCAAATATCAGCCTCATCAGAAGATTCATACTTTACGAGTTTCATGAGTAACGTCCTTGAACTTTTCTCCACCGACAGGAGGTTACTGGAGACTAGAGGAAGTTTGATCATACGACAATTATGTTTGCATCTTAATGCAGAGAGGATATTTAGGACTATAGCTGAGATTTTGGAAAAAGATGATGATTTGGATTTTGCAAGTATGATGGTGGTGAAGTTGAACATGATTTTGATCACTTCTCCTGAATTGGCGGATTTCAGAAGGAGGTTGAAGAATCTAGATTCGAGGGTGAGTCTTTGGAGTCCTGAATTATCCATCCCCTGAACGTGAGATGGACGAAATGCCCGGACCTAAGGATGGACAAGTAAAGCTGCCAAGATACGAAGCCTGAGATGGGTAAAATGGGAGTGAATCAGTGGATGATCACAAGAGAGATGTTGGCTGTGAATCAAAGCTGAAAGTCTGGTTGAGATGTCTAGGTGTTGACTCATAGGACGGACAAATGTTGTTCAGCTCGTTATACAGATCTTGGTGTCATAACGCCGTGGCAGTTTTCGCTCTTTGTCTCCTCGCACAGGCGTACGAACATGCTTCTAATTTATTGCAAATATTGTGAGTGCTCCAAGTCATGATCAAAGCTTTGTTCTCTTCTCGAACCTTTTTCTCCTATGTCACTTCAATGGTTTTATACATTCGTCGGCGGTAAGTTTTTTGGAGAAAATCTCGAAGATGTCGACGTGGCGGAGATGAAGCGGCTTATCGGCGACATTTAAGGGGGAAGCATATGAGCATATGTAACTGCGATTCAAATGAGTGAAACATGCCATCATTCACATGGCGGTATGGCTTAATGGTAATGATAAACCCATGCTAATCCCAGTGCCGACCTAGAACTTACCGTCCCCCTCCTTGTTCAAATCGACAAATTAGTCATGTTGATAGAATCACCCGTATTCACAAGTCAGCTTCTCTCGTCTTCAATTGTCCCAAAGCTGATGTGAAGATCTTCGATTACAACTACTTGAACCTGACAAATACCCCTTCCTACCTAAATGTCTCTATGGACTGCTCATGATCCTCCCCCAAAGCAGCGCGTTCGTTTCGCTCAGAGCTAGATTATCGGTGGTGTATTCTTCGGGATATACCAGTTCACAGACTAAGGCTGTTTCTGGAGGAACGTTTTCCCAGGCTGGGACGACTAGGAGTAAATTAGTAGGGAAGGATGAGATCAAATGGATAGAGTTACTTTCTCGTCAGTGCTTCTGTCTTAATTTTCGACTCTCTTCTTACTTCATCTTACCATCCCTATACTCTCCTGATCCTTCTTCACTCTTCCTCACTCCCTACTATTTCGTTTTCCGCCCGCCTGTCTCATCTCGGCAATTCTCTTTCGCTCGGATATTAACTCTCTGCGTCTCCATCGTAATTCACAAACAATCAACGGGTCTTCCATCCTCTCATACGGCAACCGACCATACCGGTTTAAGCATGATATGAAAGACTGAAACATTGTCAAACCAACGAACCAAAGTCCTGACCTACAGACTTTCGAGCAGTTCAAAATAAACATGAAAAAGCTCGTCGACAATTAGAATCCGGTCAAATGACATCACTTTCTTCTGCTCATTTTTCCTCCCCATCACAAACATTCATATCTGGTCCTTCTTCTCATCTTCAACAATCAGCTCCTATAGTATCGAAAAATACATTGAAAAAGAAGATTGGTTCTTCTCGTCAAGGTTCACATGATGGATCTGGACTTGGATCAGGGGGCAAGTCTGTTGTTGGAGCGACAAACGGTCCGAGTCCTTTGAATCCTAGACGAGGGAGGGATTCAACAGGTGGTTCCATAGTGGGATTAGGAGGTGCTGTGGCGAGTATGAATCCGGGTATAGTCAGAGGGGTCAGTCCTCCGGCTGGGAATACGACAAAGAGGAAGATCTTATCTGGGATCAGAAGAGGGAATGGGTGAAGGAAGTGATGTCGATGGGGTGACTCGTGCCTGTCAGATAGACGTACGAAGATACGATGAGGTAAAACGAGGGTGTCAGGAGGGATCGACTGTTTTAACGTACATTCTGGGGAAATCTTTCTAGTTTAGACAATGGAAGATGAGGCTTGTTAGATGCAGTTCAGTTGAGAAGGATGAGATTAAGATAATGCATGTGAAACGAATAGATGTCTTTGTTTTTTTCTTTTTCATACAGTCCATGTGTCGTACTGAATACATTTATGAGCCTATTTACGACTTATCTGCTTTCGCCTGCGAAAGTACATATGATATTAAGATACATGATGATGTGTCTGATGGTTGGTTTGGAGTCATTGCGCTCCTGGCGTTGTCGATACAGAGTAGGTACAGCAGGCATTTGAACAACGCGATGGGGAGAGGGTATGGATTCGAGTAGACGATGTCTGTTGATTGAGAAGAAGGATTTCAAGTAGATGTATGATAATTGTGTTGATCGTCGAAAGAAGTCATGTGAATATATCAAGTGATTCGGAAATCCAGCTCCAAACCTCTTCTCCTCCCGATTCACGCCCCAGAAAAGTTGTCTTCATAAGACTTTTCCATCCCACTTTCTCAAATGCCAAACCTCATATCGGATCAACCTCCCATTTTCTCCCCTTCCCCAAACCTCATCTACAAATTCAAACTCGAACTCGCTTATCACGCCACAATCTTCTCTTTCCCCGAACCATCCAAATATCCATGTTCAAACACACTCATCAACCTCAACCTCAACCCCTACCTTGTCCATTCCATTGAGTACGGTTCTGTGCTCCCCAAGGTACTTGAGCCGATTGGATATATTGTGGTTGAGATGACCTTGATTGAAAAGAAGTATGGGGGTATGATCGGATTGAATATTGAGGTGTATTAGGACGACCTCCTGGCCAAGAAATGACAGGATGTTCTTTACTGTTTATATCAGTTTTGAATTCTTTGCTTCTTTTACGTTACGGAAATATAATTTCCAACACTTCTTTGATGATTGGTGTGTTACTTCTTTTACAGAAATATAATTTCCAACACTTCTTTGATGATTGGTGTAGTACTTCTTGAGAAATATAATTTTCAACACTTCTTTGATGATTGGTGTAGTACTTCTTTTGGGAAATATAATTTTCAACACTGCTTTGATGATTGGTGTATTACTTTATGTTTTACTTGGAAGGGATTGGAAAGATGATGCAATGATGTTTAAGGTCTTTTCTGGGATGGCGGGCTGTTACCTGGGAATGAGAGATGAGTTGGGTTGGTTGATTGCATGATGATACGATGATATGATGATATGAGGAACTGGGTCAAGAGAGGATTGAAAAGAAAAAGGAAGAGAAGAATAGACATGAGAAAAGGAATAGAAAGACTGACGGTTTAGAAATACAACTTCCCATGTTTCCTTTCTCCCTAAAATCACTATCGACTGATACCTGTCTACCGACCGACCCTTTTTCAGTAGAGGATGGATTGTGAGCTGTTGGATCTTGCTCGAGTACGACTTGATTTGGTCGTAAGGTTTATACTTCAAGCCTTGAGTTTATCTCTTCTTCTTGTCGTCTTGTGTCCTTGTGTCTTTCGTGTCGTTGTGTCCTTCGTATCTTCGTATTCTGGCAATGTACCGAATCTAACAGAGATCAAAAAAATACTTGGATGATGTCAAAGTTGACTACTTGTCTCCGTGATCTTAAGAACGAACCAATACACTTCACAGGCTATTTACATCAACTCAAACTCCAAGAATCCAAAACAGGGTCAGTCCCTCTTTCGAATCGTCAACGTCAGTCATGTGGCTTGCGGTGTTGGCGTGTTAGCGGGTTAGCGGGAAGATCAGTTTGAGATTGGTGGGAATGTGGGGGATTTAAGAAACGCCCACGTTTGATCAGCAAAGGTTTCAATCCCCTTTGATTTTGTAGGATTCCCCCATGTCTCAATCTGTGACATCTGACATTAGTGAGATTCTTTGATTGGGTGGTTTCAAATAGATGGGATGATCTCTCTTGTGATTCTCATCTCCGTTCGCCAGACTCGCGACCACTGGCCGTTATGAGGGTCATCCGGTGGTTCGAAAGGTCGATGGCCGATGGGGTCATGGTATTATGAGATTGATGACTTGATAGGTCAGATCGATCTTGAACCTTTCGATGTTTACCCTGATCTAAGTTGAACTCGCTGTGTGGATGATGGATGATGCGTGAAAGAGGTGGATATATACAGATCGACAGGGGTTGAAACGTTTTATTCCTCTTCCGCTTTTCTCCTTGTGATTCGTACTAGGTATTGGGTATGCCAATATATTGTAGGCCTACTCCTGTTCTTCCTCCAAATCGTTTCATCGTCTCACCTCGGATCCCATTATTCGGACGGATGATTAATCTATTGCATAATGAATGAATTTCCATGTCTCACTTGAATTTCGTTATTCGGGATCGACGGCCGGTGTATGTTCGCGAAGAGAAGAGAATCTGGATATTGATTCATCGTTACTTGTTACTTACTTTCTGCGTCGCCTTTCTTTATTCGATACTTTCACCCAAACTTCTCAATACGACGCTCACCATGAGCTCTGCTACCGTGACACAGAATCAGGAACTGCCAGTAAGCGGTCGTTGACTCTCGAAGGTGAAACTGACTTTAGACATGGCTCGACCAAGAGCTAAAGATAAGATACACTTCGATTCAGCGTATGAGCGACACGAAGAGACAGGTGGAGTGGGAGACCAAAGTCTTGGAAGATGTCCGAGTCTTATGTTCCCACAATCTCGACGATGCGTGGCGAGCGGCGTGGATTCGTGTGCAAGGTAGGGTGGGAGGTTGGCTTCGCTGGCTTCCTCCAAGGAAGGAGGATGAAGTGAACATCATCGATGACCGGCTTCGAAAAATCCTCACCTCACAGAATGCCCATGTTCGCTCTGTAGTCATAGGGACCAGCGTGCCGCTCTATCCGTTGGACCGACTAGAAAGAGTGCAGCGCATCACATATCCTCTTCTTAGATGTCTTCTGAGTGTCGAAAGGATGCGAGCTCCGAAGGAGCTGGAAATTCTCCCCGACTGCGTCAATGTGGATCAAGGATCGGATACCGAAGTTAGGTTTGAGGTTTCCAAGAGGGAGGATTTTGGTTTTCTGGAAATAGTCGTGGGATGGTTTCGTTTCGAAGCGAATCCGGTTTTTTTCTCATGCCAAATGTCGACGAAGCATGTCACGGTTTACGACTGCCCCATGTCTTCGAAGGTCAGGACTGTACGTATATCTTTCTTTATAGGAAGCTAGACAGAGATTCTGATTGACAGCTGTTGGAGAAAGTTGTCTGCATGCTTGGGTTGGACAACCAAGAGTGGGGATATCTGTCATCACAAGTCATGGTGAGCGATACCGCGTGGCATGCAAACTTGGACGGACTGACGTGTAGAAATCATATGGCTGTAAACATGAACGGGCGGGATTGATGTGGTATCTTCTTCACCGTCGGTCGAGATATTTCAGGTTGGGTTCATTGAGTCTTCTCGACGGGTCAGGGGTAGCGAAGAATGGAACTTGGTCGGACAAGGGACGAGAAATCGTGTGGAAGGCTGCGGTCAAATGTATTGTGGAGGAGGCAGAATACGCAGGAGAAGTGTGGAAGAGTATTCACAAAAGGATGCTACAGGGTGGGGGCCATGACTTCTTTTGACAGATGAGGATTGTGTGTTGAACATGTGGAAGATGAAATGTTTGAAATTCCCGGTCTTTCGTCTTTGGGTTAAATTCCGAGAGTACCGAGTGTTTATCGTCGCATGGGATGATCAAAGATTTGAGAGATCGGAGTGGTGTGGGACAATGAAATTAGAAAGGTATGGAGTCCCAAGAGTCGACGGATGTGGGGTGCGGGTGCGGGTGAAGGAGTAACGGTGATTGAGATCGTCTAGGATGTGGGATTAGCTGGCGGGATGGCGTTGAGGCGTAAAGCATGGAGATGCGCAATGCGGAGTGTGACCCATGGGGCCACGGAGCATGGAGCACTGCAAGATCATCAATGACAGGTAAGTTAGGATCAAGATCGTAGGACAGTGAATGCGAATGAGTCCGTCAACTCGGCGACAAGATTCATCCAAAATTCTATCAACACCCTTTGAATTATTCACCTATCCCCTAAACACCTTCATATCTAGCCATTCACGATTTTGATTGCCAATGATGTCACTCATGACATATCACTCTCACTCCGATCCTATCTCAAACACTAAAGAGAAAAGGACGACCACCTCTACCCAAAAATGATACGGGTAGGTTAAGTGACTCATGACGACTCAGCCACATGAGTGTGTTGAGCCAGACGTTCGTTCCTCGCCACACGGGCAGCTTCCATCCTATGAGCGGCCTGAGATCGTTTGCCGAAGAAACTGACACGACCTTCTTGCCATTTCATAAAGATGAGAACGGCGATGACTGCGATCCAGAAGAACACGTAGGTGAGGATGGAACCGAGGGTGGCGGTGTTGTTCCAGCCTATTTGGTCAGTGAGTGTTTCTCATCCCCCGAAACTCTGATGACTTTTGTCATTTTGAGAAGGCATAGAGACGACTTTGTAGAGAGAAGAGGGAAGAGAGTGAGAACACGTGAGACTCACCAAAGATGGCGTTAAAGATCTGCCAACCACCGTTTGTCGTAGGACTTCCAGTCTGAACATTAGCCGTCAGTCACCGCACACATGGATATTGATGTGTGAATACTCCACAGGAGTTGAGTGATGCAAGGTATTACTCACCTCGGGATTCCCGTACGTCAAATGCCAAACATTCCCTTTCACCTGGAAAGAACCAGGTCCATCGCCCGTCTCGGCCACATCACCACCAACACCTTTCGCAAAGACGTAATACTGGAAATATCCCACACCTTTGGAAGCGAGACCAGCACCAATGAGGAAAATGAAAGTGGTGGAACCGATGAGGAACCAGTGAAGGGTGGTTGTGGATCCAGTGCGGTAGATGATGTAAGCGACGACGATGCCAGCTATGAGACCGACGATGACGGCGATGGGGATAGATGCTGCGGTGACGTTGAGAGATACCTGAGGTCAGTTTCTGTCCCTTGTTGATGACCAGAGGACTCGTGCAGTCAACGTGAGCGAGGAGACTATGGGGAGTTGAGATGAGGCGAGGAGGAAGAGGCGAGTCAAAAGTGGAGAGGGTGAGCATCATCTGGGCGAAGTGTATACACCTATAAGAACAGAAGGAGAGAAGAGGTAAATAAGATTGTCGGAGGGAGAAGTAGCTCAACTCACTCCACCGACAAAGACGATAGCTTCCAAACCTTCACGCATGACAGTGATCAAAGGTAATAAGAACAAAGCCCATTTACCCCCTCTCCCCTCGTTTCTGTCTTCCTCGTTCAAGGACCCCAAAGCTTTGGCTTGGGATTTGTCGAAAGCTGCGGCAAGCTTGTAACGCCATTTGATACGCGAACGATCCATACGGAGGAAAGCGAGACCCATGACGAAGATGATAATGGCAGCAATGATGGAGAATACACCTTCCCAGATTTGTTCAGTGTTGGCCCACAGGTCGCGGACTTGAGTGTAAAACTGAGCATGTCAGTATTTCTACTTTTTACCACCATTTGGAGAGATAAATTGGCGTTCGAAGATATATGAAATTGGAGAGACTAGAAATGTGGGAGATGAGTCGGATAAGCTATAAAAGAGAGAGAAAGTTGCGGTGATCGCGGGGCGTAGAGGGATGGCGGGATAACGGTGATGATGAGAGAGGGAAAGACGGTGACACAACAAAGATGAGCAAATGTCGGGTTCTGATAGACAAAGCAGGAGTGATCAGAGAAGAGATGACGTACCACCGCAATGAATGCCGCTCCAATGGCAAGAGCGATGAAGAACCCAACCAATACTCCAGCCCAAATTTGAATTCTCATCCGACGTACGATACCCTTAACTCTGGCCTCATCATCGATACTCGAACTCGCATCCATCTCATTTTCCTGAGGTAAAGTCTTGTGATCTTTGCTGTCCTCGAACCCTGGAGTCTGAGGTGGGGAATGATGACCGACATGTTCATTTGATGATACGGGTTTATAAGATAGTCGACCAGTCAACATGAGCTGTTCGACGAAGGAAAGTAAGACCGAGACGATGATACCTGCTTCGATCGTCTCTCCTGAAGTTGTCAGTCCTGCATATTTTACTGCACAACTATTTGTTTCTTATCATCTGCATGAGACTCTATTGAAGATGGCGTTTTCATCATCAATTTGAAGGGGACAAGTGGTAAAATCATGTCCTCATGTTTTCGGACCAGCCATCCGGAATATTCCCGCGAATGGAGACAAGAAGTGGATAAATTACTCACGAAAGACGATGAAGAAGATTGGAACGTTGAACAAATCTCTGGCCATCTTGAATACACTCTCTCACTCTATAGAGATGTAAAAGAGGTGAGATGGAGAAAGTATTGATGGTTAAAAAGGCTCAAGTGAAGAAAGAAGGGGGAATAATAGCGCAATGGTTTACTTATCAGATAGAGAAGTATCCTCCTCACTCTAAAGGGCAGAACAACCGAAGGGACATTTGCAAAAAACAGCCCTGAAAACTCATGGTCCGTCTTGGTCCGATTCACCGACAGGCCAGATGATCAGAAAATCCGTTATGCACTCGCTTCTCCTCTTCTCCTCCTCCACCCTTAGCTCGGTTCACACATATGAAGTAAGGATCTCCAAAGCCACCGGCCGAAAATCTCATATCAGATTAGCGAAGTGACAGCACGAGGCCTGAGCAAAAGTTTTCCTTCTTTCTTTTTGGTCGGAAGTGGTAAAATTCGGTTTTCGCTTTCTCCTCGCGGTTCTTCCGCCTTGCCGCCTCAGCTTGGGGAATCAAATAACGGAATCACGCCAACATCCGGCCGACCCCTCAATACGTTGGAGCTGATCTAATGATCTGATATGTGTGGGGCATGAACCTTCGGCCGATATTAATCTCCTAATCAGATAAACTCAATAGGCAACTACATAGGCTTGCGAGATCACTAGCATGCCTATGAGGGGAAACTTGTTCGAGTTGACTCGTCTCATCGCCAAGACACACCGTCTTCCTGGTGCCAGTATCGCAAACCATCATCGTCCTGTCATCTTACTTCCCATGAAGCGGCAAGAGTGGAAGAGTCTATGATGTCTGTCCTCGCTTCCAACCCACCTACTCAGTCTACTTCAAAGATCCCATTGGCCCGACGTGGAACATTGACGAATAACACGCCCGTTTCCGTCAAACGACCGCCGCCACCGGCCAAGACGAACAGCATCACAAGTCAAGTAACGACGAAAGATACTTCAAGTTCGAATGGGACGGTCTATGCGAAACCCAGCAAGGAATGGGTTCTGCCGGAACGTGCTAAACCTGGTAGAAAGGTCAGCTCGGTCGAACCGGATGACGTGGGTTCTTTCTTCTTTTTGTCGGTACATACCACGTGAAATCCCCATTCCATACTTCATACTTTCAGGCATTCCGAGCATCCAACCCATGAGATCAGTACCATGTCCCTCTTGCATATGTCTAGCTGTACACGATGTTCAGGAAGTGAACCAAAGTTGTTTCTGTCACCCATGGGAACAAAAGCAGTCATAGAAGAATCAAAGAACTGACGTATGTAGAAACGTCAATCCCAAAACCGTCTGTCTCAACGAGCCCACAGAGCACGAAAAACGGATTACATATCCACATTAGAAGAACGATTAAGACAGTACGAAGCCGATGAGATCCATTCCAATGTCCGATTACAAGAAGTCGCTCGTGCTCTCAAAGCCGACAATGAGCGATTGAAAAAGGAGACTCATACTCTTCGAGCCGCTCTTGATGCCCAGAATTCTTCGCAAGAAAATTGGTTAAACGAAAAGTTGATGTTGCAAGGTATCATCAATGCTCTTAGGGAAGAAGTTGACACATTACGATCCGGGATCGACAGTGGTCGAATGTCAAATACTGTTGATCTGCCTCGTATAGAACCGCTTTCTTTATCCATACAAAACCATGTTGTCTCTCCGAATGTCGAAAGGGGAACTCCGAGAGAAATTAGAAGAGAAATTTTAACATGTCCTATTTGTCCCGATCCCGATCCTGATTGTCCATGTCAGCAACCGACGACGACTACGAATACGTCATCTGGAGTATTATTCGGTTCCAGAACTTCGACATCTCCACCTAGTCTATTGTCCAATCATAGTCATTCAAATACCGAATCTCCACCACAAATCGGGACACCATGTGGGTTTTGTCGATCACCAGAAGATTGTCTTTGTGTCGATGTGCAAGAGATAGAAACGAAACCGAATATTGACACGGAATGTGATATTTGTAATGCTCTTGGAGGATGTGTTTGTGCTCCGGAAGAAACAACGCAATCCGTACATCATCATATAACTCACGCGACTCAGAAGCAAACGCCACAAAGTCAAATACACCATGTGACGGACAGTACACCGGTGTTATCCGCTGAAATGGATAGAAATGGGGCGATGAAATTACGACTGAAAACGCGAAATGGACCGAAGACGACTGTATGGGCTCTAGAGCCGGTGGTAGTGAAAGAGGCTGTATGTACTGGGGATCCTTCGAATTGCGAAGCTTGTAAAAACGATTCTTTTGGTACGTACTTCTTTGGCTTATCTTTTCCCCATCATTCATACCTACCGTGTCAGAATTTTCATTCTCGTTACCATCCCGTTCTGTCTCTACCCAACGCGTATCATCTCCGAAAGTCACATTTCTTTCCTTCTCGACACAACATTTTCTGATGGTACAAGACACTGATTTCAGGCCGAGAATTCTGTTCGCACTTGTTCCAAGCCACCTCATCCATTCAACCATGTCCCACCTGTCCAGGCAATTGCATGTCCATCGAATCGTTGCTAAATTCTCACTCGTCCTCCCCTTCCACCTCTGCTCCCCGACGATCAAGTAGACGATTCCCCAATTCAGGTAGGAGGTCTTCAAATACAATTTTCAGCTCTCCTCACTCAAATTCGAACTGGAACACTCCTAAACCAAGCAGATCCAACCAAGGCCGAACTCACATGTCATCACCAAGATCGGATTCGGATACTTATCCTAGTGACGCACCATCACAACTACTGTGTTGTGGTGATCCCGCATTGTGCGGGACACATGGGTCAAAATGTTCAGCCATGCCTATGCCCCCTACGCCGATGACGAATGCACTGGAGAGAGATACGATGAGGTGTGATGAAGCTTGGAAGACTCTAAAGGTGTGTCAATCGTCTTCTGGGTTCTAGGCACTCTACACGTTCTTCAACGATGTCACACTCAATACAGGGAGCAAATGACCTACTGGCATAGCAGTTACCTTGATGAGACGTACTAACTAGGCTCCAGGGCTTTTAGTTAGATGAGGATAGTACGCTGACAATGAGGCACACCCAAATGCAAGTTCGGCAAACTTAGCACTTCTAGCGGACGTAGTAGCAGGTCGTATGAAATGTCTCGGTCCTGAAACACAACCTACATCTATCGAATCAAACTCATCACTCTTAGACCCAACTTTACCCTCTATCGAAACTACCAACCTCGGGTCCCATTCTTCTATCAATCTCATTCCCCACGTCTCATCATCCACCAAGGTAGAATCAGCATTCGTAAACCATGATATCGGTTCACATTCCAATTGGTCCGCTACAAATCCCTCGGGGCGCAAAAGTGGGGCTGACAGCTTGCACACTAGTAATGAGAAGGTGATAATCGCCCCGAAAGCAAAGAAGAGAAGGGTCGAAGTCGAGCTTTCGGCCGTGAGGGAAGCATTGAAGATATTAGATAGAACGCCTACGCCTGGAGTACCAACCTTAAACGTGGAAGAGAAGGGGGAATCAAGTATGGCTGTAGATGGGAGACCGGGCTCGGTGGGAATAGAGAATGGAGGAGTGAAAAGACGAAAGATTGGGGAGTGAGTGGGACTGTGGATTCAATTTTGGTTTTCGTCCCTGGGGAAAAGTGTACGGACGGATGAAGAACGAAGAAGTTCTGGAGGAAGGTAAATGGCTGTGTAGATTTATGTGCAAGTATGAAACAACAGGATCACGCCCTCAACAATTAGCTGTAGAATCTGCATTCGTTGTACATTCATGCAAATGGTCCAATTTCCCCCTTTCACATCTTCACTGACAGACCTATATTCACTCTACATTGTTATATTGTCCGAGGCGCATTTCCACATGATCTTACTCCCGTTCCTGCCTAAAATTCTCTCTCATACGCACCATTCATCTTGAAACCCCCGGTAGATTGACACCGTACAGTATATCCCGTTGGGCCGATACATGGTCAGAGGACCATTATCATCGCGAGTTTCTTTCTGTGACTGCATATATGGTGAATCAAGCCGGAAGATGAAATAAGAATGTGATATGATATGGAGACAAGCTTGGGCTTCAGAATGGCACTTAAAGGAGTTTGAATGTACTTTGTTCAACTGAGGAAATGTCAAAATGTTGAAATGTCGCAGACGAGAGAGGTTGTCTCTCGAAAACTGTCGGAGGTGTGAAATAAATGGGGAAATGAAGGTTTTAGCGTAAGTTGAAGAGATAGAAAGAAAATGTCATGGAGAGATGGGAAAGGGGAAGAGATGAAAATGTTATAGATCGAATAATTCAGGATCATGATAAAATTGAAATAATTCAATTCCCTACATGACCTTTACATAGGTAGCATCTACTTGTTGAACTTGAGGTAAAGCTAAAATGACTTTTCGTCTATAATTAACATCGTTGCTTTGACAAGGATTACCTTCGAGATAAACCGTTGTGAGGTTCGGAAGTGGTGATAGTTGAGTTTCTAAAGCTGAAAGATTTTGGATTTGGTTATTACTTGCCTAATCATCAGACTCCCTTCTATCCAATTTTTCTATTTTGTCTCCTTATGACAATCACCCTTTTCATACTCCATACTTGGTTGTCCTTTTGCTCGAAGATGTTTCCTTTCTTTGCATTTACTGCTGTACTAGACTCTATCACGCAGAGTAATTCTACACGCCTTTAATCTTCATCTCCAGGGACGAGGGGAAATGTGCGTCATAAATCGGAGCAGAAGGTTTGGAAGTGAAAAGGAAGTGATCGCGAAAGAAAGAGTAGAGCAATCAAAAAATGGACTCACCCAGAATTCTTCCAATTGAACAAGATGAGAAATTCCCTCTATCTCTTCAACCATATTATTTCCAATGTCCAGAGTTGTCAACTTTACCTTTCCTGATTAGCTATGATCCGGCGAAGTGACATCTTCATCATCTCCACGATCGCCATTCATAAGTTTATACTCCTAACGATATCCATATGAGAACAATCACTTCACAAAATGATTTTTCGAACTACGCTGATCGTGTTCGACAGCAAGATGAAGAGCGTGAAGATCTCACTCACATTCTTCTCTAAACCTTCAATCTTCTTGATACCATTATGTGACAAATACAGTTCTTCGAGTGATATCAGATTTTCCAGACCTTGTATCTTTGTTATCCTATTTGATTGAAGGGAGAGGATACGGAGGTTTGTGAATGTTGTAAGATTCTTGATATCAGTCAAGATCAATCCCACCACTTGTGATAATGTCGTCTTTCTCTCTTCACGTTCCTGGCCTTTAAAAGGCAAATTAGACAGCGAGAAGTGCAATACGAGTATGTATGATGAGAGGGAGGATTAGATACCATGGCGAAGAAAGGCTTGTGAAGGAGTAAAGGAAAAAACGTTCACCTCTAGAATACGGATCTTATTTTTCCCCAACCATAACTCTTCAAGGAGTACTAATTGATCAAGGTTCTCGATCGCCTAAAAGTCAGCTTAGACCTCCGTACATTTCTTCGTCCTGTAGCATCCACGAACAGCTTCAACACTAATTTATCTATCTGACCTCCCACCACACCCGGTACTTCTGGCATCGGCATACAGAGACTATCTTCAAAAGCAATGGAGGGGCCGGATCAAGAAGTATCAATAGAATTATGTCGACTCACCCGTATCCTATTCCCACCCAACTCCAAACTCTTCAAACTCCCAGCAGCCCAATCTAGACATCCTTCTTCTACGTGGGATATCTTGTTCTGGACGAGATACAAAGTATTGACTTGTTTCATACTCGGTAATGTGGGAGGATGACGGATGTTGTTGAAGCTCAAATCGAGGGAGCTATGATCAGCTCCTCTTCAAGATCACACTGAGCCTCTTCAAGTTCAATCGCTAGTCGGTGATGGAGGCGAAATTGGAGTTTATGAGGGGAACGAAAGCCCGTCGAAACGGTGTCATAGCCAGGGAGGGATTTACGGATGGCGGTATGTGAGCTGGATTGCGATAAAGGAGTGCTACAACTTCTGAGATGTGGAAGGAAGATCGTGATTACGAAAGAATCGTAGAAACAAAAGAGAAAGTATCTGTGTGAGGACTAGACAAAATTATAAATTGACAGTCGAATCAAAGTAAAAACAAATGGGAGAGAAATGGAGGAGAGACGAGAAAGAGAAAATCAAACACTCACGTCACATTCTTGCACCCTTTCAATTCTTCATCCTCCACCACGGGTCCTAAACGATTATCATACAAATCAATCTCTTCCAATTCTTCCAACCCATCCAGAGCCTGTGGCGGCAAGGGGGATATCAGTTCGTTTTGTCTCAAACACAATCTTTTGAGTTGTTTAAACCTTCCCAAATTTAATGAGAGAAGCGTGGGGGTTTTCAATCGGAGATGTTGCAGTTGAAGATCCTATGTGGTCAGTTACAATTCCGTTTTCCCGGAGTTCTTTCAATTCCCAAGGTTTCACATTTATTCAGGAGGATGTTATCGCTGTATATGGAGACTCATCATCATTGATTTATACGGAGGACCATCGTCTCAAGATTGAGCGTTTTCATTGATGACGAATTGAAGAGTATGTGGAGGATGAGAGGATTGTTTGAATAGAAGGTTTGAGACTCACCTCTGTATCATCCCCATAACCTTTCAACCAATCACCTTCTTCTCCTTCCTCTTCACCATCATGATATACTTCATCCTCTGGCTCACTATCTGATAAATAGACGATTTCTGCATCACCCAACCTCGCACGAGGTTTAGGTTTTACTTTCCCATCTGCTTCTTGACCCTCTTCAGTCCTTATAGCATTCTTCATACCTCCTTGTAGCTCCTTCGCTTGTCCTAAACCTTCGACGATTCCTTCCTTGTCATTTGCGTTATTTTTCATCTTGAGACTACTCGCGTTTCCCATACCGTTGACTCCTTTCTCGTCACCACTATCAATGAAATGGCCACTCTCAACACCCTCCACAATTGGCGCGATCACGATAGGAACCTCCGATTTCCTATTCGACCTTTCTTCATCGGTCAAATGATTTGGTTCATCTGTAGGGTCGGACATGTATATACGATAGGTTTGAGATGGAAGTGTAAGGTAAGATGAGTGAGTTGATTGGCGGAAGGAGAAGGGAAGAAGTCGGCCTCATGTCTTTGTCCGTGTGGTTCTCCTCAAAGTGGGGCTCCACAACTCCAACCTCGCAAAGGTCACAAGACAACATGCGTATATGTATGCATCTATAATACAAGTAGAGGGTACCATGGAAGTGATGAGGAGTAGATACAAAAACAGCCAAACAATCACTCTACGACAAGATTACTTGCTATTTGTACTTTTCCATCGACCGAAGAATCTGGAATGAGTCAGTTTTAGGGGAAAGGAGATGGTTGGGGGACTTACCCGTGCCAGACTACACGAAATGGACCTTGATCACCTTCTGAAGCGTCGGCTCGAAAGCTGTGCAATGGCATGATGCTGTAATCAGCTATGGTACATCATCGGGTGATCAATGGTGAGGACGAATGAGGAGGTCAGCAAAAAGGGAGATGAATGGGAGTGAAGGTGGAGCAGTGGTACAGGCCAGAATAGGTCCGACGGGAAGTAGAGAAAAGGCGCAAGAGATAAATTAACAATAACCCACACAACATCTCCTATCCTCAGAGGACGAGTTATACCTGATATTTGTTGAGGAAGAACACCATACCGGACTAGAAGATATCGAAGGACAGCATCGGTACTTCCTTGTCAGCTCGGAAATGTATCATGAGGAGTTGATGACTTACAATACCCCAGGACCTGTCCAATCAAGCTGTACGTACATGAGCATGAAGCACGAGAGTCGCGTCAGAAGATACAAGTCACTTACGATATTTTCTGACCGTTGCGATATTCCCTCCAACCTACTCTTTCTTGCCTTCCTCAACCCTCGACCGAGAACGTCGAGCATAACGGGATGGTTTGGTTTCGCTAATAAAGTCCATTGAACAATTTGTAAACCCCTCGCGAATGTTTGTTGTCTCCAATCCCCACCATCATACAGTACATCATTCTCCAAAGCTATCACCAAAGCGGGTTCTTCGTCCTCATCCATATCCTCATCCTCATGTTCTTCCACTTTCGGTTGAGCTAATCTAGCCAGAGTAGGTAGAGCCGCAACCAGGGGATCAACGACGGCAATATCGTATTCTCTAGTCCATTCTTCAATGGGTTTAATACAAGCTGTATCCGTATCTGTATAAACTCCTCCATTCAAGAGTAAAACGAGATATCTAAATAAATCCGCTTTGACAACGCCCAAATCGTCTTTCAATGATAAAATCTCTTCGACGACATTTTCTCCTCTGGTGAAGGTTCGCTGTAGCCATCGTTCGATCTCATCGTCTGATACGTACATTGACAACCAACCCGGGTTCTGGTCGATCCAAGTTTTGAACTGCGATGGTATTTCAGCAGGAGGTCGAGAATCTGTAGTGTAGATGTATTTCGGTAATTGTTGGGATTTCCCCATTGATAAGAGAGACAAATGATCCAGAACATTTCGGAGTAAGGTAATCTCTATAAGGGCAGAGTTGGTAGGAGCGAAGAAATCGTAATATGTAGTAGTCAGATCGGAAAGATAACCTTCGTATGTTGTGTTACCGAGCGATAAACCTAATACGTCTTGAGCAGATACGACGTCGAATTGATCAGCCTTATGGGAGAGTATTCGATGGGCATCACGAACGACGCTTTCGAGATAATTGTCTTTCTGAAGATGTTCGGAAGATCGGAGGGAGAGGAAAGGAAGAGGAGGTGATAATTGATAAAGGGTCAAGAAGCCGACGGAGAGGATGAAGAGAAGTGATAAATGTCGAATGAAAGGCCGAGTAGGAATTTGAACCATGGTATGGAATGTAAGAGTGTCATTCGATAGACTAGATATGAAATGTTCCTATTTGGTGTTCTCTTTCTGGGTTTTATACGCCCGGTTCCTCTTTTGACCCCTTGGAGCGATATTGTAAGATGATAAAAGATGGGTCGTCGAGGACTTGCCACTCTAGTAGCTAGTGACCGAACGGTCGAAATTGATGAGCACCGGGCGCTGGTGGTAAACCGTGTGATGGATTGAACTTGGGGGGATGAGCAATGAGAATGTTAGTGACTGGGACGGATAAATGACAGGAAAGCATGGTCAGCTGCTGCGTATGGTATATCTACTGCCTGCTGCGCTGCGGTCAACAAAGTGGTGTAAGTACTACTGTGCTCGTACATGTGGAGGGTGAAGAAACAAGACGGAAAAGTGGCGGACCTGCGGAGAACCGGAGAAATAATTGACGGGGTTTTAGCAAGGCACCGTACTATCTTGTCCCACTAATCAGCAATTGAGCAAACTTTATCACAACAACCACTTTCCATCTTCGGAGTTAGAGTAGAGAGTACAATGGACGTGAGGGATGCAATACCAGAGTGAGCCATCTTGAGTTTGTGGAGATGGCAGAGCTGACTTTTAGTCTGTTACCTGTAGAGAGGGAAACGGAGGCTGGACCTTCGACCAGAAGGTTGGATAGACCAAAAGTCCCGTTGACTCTCCTCACAGGGTATTTAGGAGCGGGCAAGTCGACTTTGCTACAGTGAGTTTGGAACAATTCTAGAAATAGGAGGAAAAGAAGAGCTGATGAGGAGGTATATATTAATGGCGGATCATGGGTATAGAATAGCGGTGTGTATGAATGGTCAGTCTTTCAAACTGACTTCACCTTTGATTCCCGATACCTCCGTGTGGAGATCTGCCTGATCGTGCTGCTACGAAGACTACTTCATGAAGCCGGAATGATAGTGAGGATATTGGAGACATGGTAGGATCTGGAAGGTCGGCCAGATAGGAGAACAAGTCATTGAATTACGAGTGAAAAGGACCACCTCTAATCAACAGATTTTGGTGATTCTACAGATATAGAACGTGAGTCGCCTTTTCTTTTGGACATCATGAGATTGCCTTACTACCATTCAACCTCACCATCTGTCTCCCCTCCGCCCCCCTCCTTATCCCCGGCCCTTCTCCCCTCTTCCTTCCCGCTGGTCAATCTCATTACACAACTCTGATCACCAAAAACGCGTATCAATATATTGAAGGAAGTTCTCTCGGCACCTCTACAACTGACATCCGGAGGAAGATCATTGACGGACAGAAAAGAGTTTAACACTCAACGATCCCACTTCTCAAACCCAAATCTCTTCTTTCCTCTCATTACCAAACGGCTGTTTATGTTGTTCAGTGAAAGATATGGGAATAGCCGCTATTGAAGAAATGGTAGCTTCACTTCCTGGTGGTATAGATCGAGTTTTAGTGGAATTAACAGGATTGGCAGATCCTGGCCCTATTGCTAGACGGTTCTGGGAGAATGAAGAGATGGGTGATTTGATTTTAGATGGTGTTGTTTGTGTGGTTGATTGTAGGAATGTCACCAATGTGAGTATTGTCTCTGTTCTTTCCTTTGTGAAATTCCCTTCACTTTGTTTCATTATTCTTTCAAGATACAATTGGTCATCTGATTATCAATCTTTCCCCTGTATCCTCCAATGTCGATATCAATCGATAACATTTTTTTCATTTCGGATCACAAACCCTTCTGTTGTCTGATAAATCTGGATTTTTCCGTTATCTTTTGAAGGACGCTCGTGTTATCGATTTGGAGACATTTGATCATTCTTGGACAATAGTAATGATCGACAAGTTGATGTTGACAAAATAGCAATTAAAACGTTCATCAGAAGGAGAATGTCAAAAGTATGTTTTCTGTTTCCTTCTCTCTAATCATATTCTACTTCCTCATCACCATATCTACTCTGTATCAACCATCTACTCTTAAACGACCATAAGATCATTAATCCCAAACGAATAGATCACCAATCCCAAACGAACAGATCACCAATCCCAAACGAATAGATCACCAATCCCAAACGAATAAATGACCAATCCCCAGCGAATGAATGACTAACTTCAGACAAATAGCATGTGCCGATCTGATTCTATTGAACAAAACAGACCTCGTCCCCTCACCCATCGTCGAAAATGTAAAAACAACAATTCAACATTTAAATCCCACTTTGAAAATCTCCAAAACGGTTAGGTCGGAAGTTGATCTTGAGGAGATATTCAATTTGAGGGGTTATTCAAATGGGATACGTCCAGTTCTTGATGATAATTATGATCACGTCTGTGGAATGGGGTTATGTAAAGAGGAAGGTTGTGACCATGAACACGGGCATGAATATCGGAAAGGACCAAGGGGAGAACATGAATATGAACATGAACATGAACATCGAAAAGGACGAAGGGAAGAAGATAAAAATGGAAATGGACAAGAAAATGAAAGAGGGAGAAAAGAGGAAGAAACAACTCATCAACATGATCATTCGATACATAAAGGAATATCAACCATTTCAATCCCTATCCCTTCTCTTTCCCTCGACCAGATGAAAACACTCAATATCTTTCTTGAAGATTTACTATGGACCAATAAACTTTCAGGATACGATTCTTCCCCAGAGGTATTACGTACAAAGGGGTTGGTAGTTTGTCAAGAGGGAGAATACGTTTTACAAGGTGTTACGGATTTGTTCGAGTTGAAACTTATCACATCGAACACTCTTGTTGAGGAAGATTCCTTGTCACTTGAAGATGACGGAGGTATGGAAGATGCACCGGGAGATGGGCATAAACAGGGAGGTATGGATGGACACGGTCAGGGACAGGGAGATGGAGATGGGGATGGAAAAATCACCGGGAAGATAGTTTTCATAGGTTCTAATCTGGGTGAAGTGAAACAAGCATTCATCAAAGCTTTAGGAATAAACACATGAAGAATGCATAGTGAGAATAAACATGGCTACATTACATTTCACTCTTCTTCTGATTCTTGTGCTTCGAGGAACTGATATTAGTCAATTGACCAAACAACGCACAAAATCGAACGAGGCATATGCGAAGGGGGAAAATCTCTGACAGACAGGAGCTAATGTGAAGTGGAACAAATAGTTCATATTGGGCTTATAAAAATAGAACAAGGCAGAGGAGAGAAAAGGTTGAAAGAAACGAAAGGAAAACGTATGACCTACCTTGACCAACGGTTCGGTAACTTTGATAAAGTGTTGTTTCCCTTGGGGCTTTGCACCTTTACTATGCCAGTATAAAATGGCCTGATCGGAGATGCAATCGGCATTGTAGAGCACTTTCAAAATCTGAGGGAAAGCTTTGATAACGCGAGTGTCGGTGTAGCAGTATACCTGCACGGCATTGATCAAGTTCACTTCGGCTCGTGCGCCGTTACAGAAGGCTTCGAGGACTGGAGCGTAAGTCTGTGGTCAGCAGGGAGCTGGGGTCTTCTCTCGTGAATCCCAATTTGCGAATCTGTTTTCACCTGGTCAGGGCGGCGAAGCAACCCTTGGAGGAGAACTATTGAATAGAAAAGGCAAAGAAAGAAAGGCCAGGATGGAAAAGGTCTCAATCAGAGGCAGCAGGGTCGATGTGAGGATGTTAAACTCACCGTGATATGATGAACCACCATCGAATCACTCTGATCTGCACGGGCTCCGGAGAGATCCAAAGCTCGCATGAGACCGTGCCAGATCCATTCTACAAGATCGGCGTCTGTCACCGGGGCTTCGGCCTGTTGAGTTTTCAAAGTTTCAATCATCTGATAAATTAGCTGCGATAGACATTCCCGAGCTCCACACGACTTGGTCCACCGAGTGAAGTGGATGTTAAGACAGGGAAGTGAGCTAAAGGAAGCAGAGGCCAGATTGACTCACCTGTTCTGATGTCTCCTCCTCATTGACCATCCTCGACACATTTGCAACCGTCTCTTTCTCCGACTCACCGAGGGCAACCTTGGCATACCACTCATTGATCTTTTCCAAACCCTCCTTACTGAAATGTTCCGCAAGATGTCGTTTATCTCTGATCTGGATTGGGAAAACTAAGGCAATATCCTTCAATCCTGATTTACGAAGAGTCGAGCCTAGTACGTCGACGTTCTGTTTAGAGAGGAAAGTCTTGAAGAACGAAGTGAGAAAGTCAAGTGCGATATTATCCTTGACCACATGATCCTTGACCAGACTACTCAAACAACGGGGTGAAATCTGAAGATCCACAATGATGAGCGCCAACGCTTCTGCTAATTTCGTTCTAGCTTCAGGGGACCATCTATGGATATAACCCAAAATACTAGGTAAGAAATTCTCTTCAAGAGGTTTTTGAAGATATTTGTATCGTTGTATGACACGTTTTAAAGTTTCGACAATCATCGGCCCTTCACGTTCCCCTTCTTTAACAATGTATACGGGAGAACGTTTATCATCGAGGTAAGATCCTCCCGGTTGGAGCAAACCACCGAGGAAGAGAACTTCGAAAAGTTGTTCATAGTAACGAAGGAATTCAAGTGTGGCACCTGCTTGAACGAGCTTGGCGACTAGCGAATCGACCGTGATAGGGGTGGGTAAAAGAGAAAGATGAAGTAGTAAGGCGTCACGGAAACCTTTTCCTATCAGTATCGAATTCACATGGAATGGCATATGATAAAGGGGTGAAAGAACCCACTCTCTGGTTCAAACTTTGAGGCAGCTTTGGCTTGTCCTTTACGCTGCTTGATTCTCACACCGGTGAGGATGGGTTTCTTTTCTTGTTGAGCAGTTGCATTACCCGATGGGGCGGAAGAGGTAGGCGTGTGAGACATGCACTCTGTGCTCTGGCTCTAAAAGGTTGTATGCGGGTTGATGAGGGGGAATAGAGGGCAAGGTGAGTGATGGCGAGGACAAGGACGCTACTTGAGTAAAGGGGAGAGGGGAGGAAGGTGCTGCGGTGTTATAAATGTGGCGAAAGAAGAGTGTGGGGTAAAATGCGGGGAAGGTTTGTGAGTCACCGTGCTGCCATAAGATCTCCATGACAGAGTAGTAGTACATACTGTATCTACTGTATCCCCTCGCATAAAGCGGATCATGCTGTCCATCATTTGGGGGTATTCGAGTTGACCAATGTCTCGGGCTCCACTCCGTGCTCCAACGTTATCCCCTATCCTTGACACGTTTCAATGAGTGAATGCCGTGTCCGCAGTTAGCCATGGCCGTGTCGGGTGTATTGACTGTATGAGTGGAAGTGGGTGGACGGTGAGAGTCTCGCGTGCACCTCGAAAGCCGACGTCGTAATCCTCCTCCCTCCTTCCCTCCCCACCTCTATCAAATCCTCATTTAATTCACACACTCATCTGCCCCTTTCTTCCCCACGTACCCTGCATACCTGAAATCACATCTCCTCGTATCACCCACCGTTCGGCTCTCGCTTCTCCTCCTGCTCCTGTCATACCCACACCCGCCCGCCCTGGTCTCAAAAGACCGGGCTCGGCATGATATCATCCTTCTTCCCTCCGACGCCGACTGACTCAATTCGACATCTTCACTTCACACCATGACAGGATTTGTTTATCCTTTTCATTCCAAACCCCTCGTTGAGGTTATCCAGGAGCATGACATCGTCGCTGGGCTTCAGAACGTCCTCTCGAACACCTCGGCGGAAGTGTGGGGTAGGGAGGATGAGTCGTGAGTCGGTAGAGTCTTGCATTACAAAAGGACACTTACCGTCAGCTTCCACACTTCCGCTACAATCTTCAACGGAGCCGTCAAGACTTTCGCGTCCGCTGTGGTCAGGCCTCGTGACGCTAGACATGTTAGCGAGTGGGTCATCTTTTCACACTTTGAAATCGTCATGACTGACTTGTAGAACCGTCAAATTTTGCCGAGAAAAGGGATTACAGCTGAGTGTAAAAGCAGGTGGAACGGGTGTCCATGGTGGGAGTGTGAGTACTGTCTCAATTGTCAATTGATGCACATGCTGATCAGCAAGGTTGCAGGTCATGTCATTCTAGACCTCTGTCTCTTGAACGATATCAGTGTTGACCTCGTCGACACATCTCTCCCGTTATCTGAAACCATCAGCTCTTCATACAAACGACCTTCCATCTGCACCACTTCAGGCGAGTCATACAAACGCTCAGCAGAAGAAGATGTCGACCACCCGTCTAGATCTCGTCAGCGTATAAATAGTCGAGATGGTTCAGCCTCATCCGTTTCCCAACATAGCGGAGACTCCGATACATCAACCTCCTGGACAAACCCGAACGTCATCCGTAATGGTAGTGGTTCTCGATCTGATTCAGGTTCTACTTCAACACCAACCACCTCCACCACATCTTCCGACGTGCCGACACTGCCGCCTGTCCCTCAGCCGCGAATGACCTACGTCAACCCAACTCCTACGACAACCAGTGCGTTTCCTTTCGTCGCATCTTCCTTTGGGGGCGCTCCGTCCACGTCGGCCGTCGCCATGTGGAATTCATTCGGACCACAACGTTTGGTGCTCAACACCAACCCGGATCCTCCCCCACATGTCATTGTCACTTTTGGTGCTGGAGTTCGATCAAAGCAGTTGGACGCATACACTGCTGCCTCTCCCTATGGTGCGTTTCATGTTCCGACATCCGCCTTTCCAGTGGGATCTGGACAATTCTTGACTGGCGGGTTCGGATTTATCGGTCGAAAACACGGTTTAGCGATGGACAACCTCGTGGAAGCCGAATTGGTTCTCGCGGATGGGCGTATAGTCTGGGTGGGGGAGGACACACATTCCGGGGAATGGCTTCCTGATGAAGATCCGCGAGACGTGTGGTATGCTTTGCGTGGCGCGGGATCGATGTTGGGAGTCGTCACTCGGTTCAGGGCCAAGGCGTATTATCTTCCCTCGGTATATGCTGGAAACCTCATTTACGCCTTTGACCGTCAAACAACGCCAGATCTACTGCGTCATTTGAGGGATTGTATCAAGGGAGCTCCCAGGACGGTTTATTGTAATATCATCATCACCGCGGGACCGACAGATAATTCGTCCATCGTGGCTATCCAGCTTTGCTTCAGTGGATCTAGGAGTGAGGGAGAGGTGTTCGTTCAGGCAATAAGTAGTTGGGATGGGGGACAATCAATTTTCCGTGATTTCAGTGAGAGGACGTTTGAGCGTCAGCAGGTTGCAGTGGAGGAGATATTGAAGGGGGGTGCCGGCAGGAAGTGGTGAGTTGAGCCTTATCTTCGTCACAACATATCTCCTGAACGATTTGATAATGAAGAAGACTTATTGACTGATGATAGGTATATCAAAAGCGGAATGCTCAACTCTCTCTCGGATGAAGTTATTGAAGAGACATGTCAGCGATTTGCTGCTGTTCCCGATGGGTGTAGTGAGTACTCGTAATCCTGGTATCTCCACAAAAACATACCCGGCCTCATCGTCTGGGAACACCTGACAGAATGACCAGCTCACGATCAGCCTGGCTGTTTGAATATACCGGTGGAGGAGCAGTTAAAGACGTCAAAGATTCCTGTTGGCCATTATCTCATCGTGAATCGGCATTTACCGTGGCCGCATTACACCAATGGGGCCATTTCGAACCGGCCGCGTTAGATAACAGCTGTGTCTTGACAGCGGAGGTGTGGATAGATGAGGTTATAATTCCTAACTCTCCTGGGGGTCCGTTGCCATGTGTGAGTGTCTCGGTCTTCCTCCTCTCCCTTCATCTCCTATCCCTCCCGTAAAGACCCCCCTCGTCCTTTCCCCTTGACCAGATTCAGAGGCCGTCATATCGAAGCGTTTCTTTTGACCTTTCACATGTCCCCATCACAGCTCCATTTGACATGTCATTCCCAATTCCGGTGCCCGCTCGAATACATCAGGGAGTCGATGTCGGAAGGGCGAGGGCTATTATGGAGCCAGAGCTGACTTCAGTTCCTTCAATCTTCAGCCGAAGCAGACGTCAGGGGAACTTATGGCTCTGCATACGACAGACTAGTTTCCATCAAACGACAATACGACCCGACTGGATTTTTTCGACACGTTTTGTGGCCCCAGACAGAAATCAAAAGTCTGACCAACGGCATGAACGGTAACTGCAAAGCCACGGACGAATCAGGAGAAGGCCTTGGGGCGGAAAGCTTGTAAAGGGACGTATGATTGTTGGTCGGATTTAGGTGTGGAGTAATGGAAGATGTAGAGAAGATCTAGGTGCTATGTGTGAAGATTGCACATTGAGTAAGTATTTGAAACACGCATGAAATTCAGTTGCATCCCGTTGACTTGCATTTGAGTTCCCAGTATCCTGCATTCAACGACCAATGGCCAATATGCTACAGTCGGGAGCAGCTTACTCTTGGAGTAGCACTCGTACTTTAATCGTAAGTACTTACCTTACCGACCCAAACCGCAACCACGTGGAAACAGGTTGATAACGAAATCCCACGTCATTGACTCCCCTTTCCAAGTCCTCCGCACTTCTGCTAATCGACATCTCACTTTCTGACTTTTCTTCCTACATAAACCACCCAACGTTTGTGCATCCTTCAATTGTTCAGGTCAAGTAGAAGCATCAAACTTTATTCAAAATGGCACGAAACTCTGAAAAAGCTCAATCGATGTTATATCGTTTCCGTGAATCTCAAGCTGTGGAATTAGGTTTACAAAATCGTGTCAAAGGTGAAAGAAGACCTAGGATGGCATCTAGTGTAACTAGTTTGAGACAATGTGAAATGTGGAGAGCGGATATATTGAAAGAGGTTTCTAGAAAGGTATCAAAGATACAAGATTGTATGTTTATCTCTTTTTTCTTTCTTCTTTCTTCTCTCTCTTCCACTTCCAACTACAATACTTATCCTTTACAGGATTTCCCAATCATTGTAATGAGATGGAAGTGACTGACCTGTAGCTACATTGACAGATTATCAAGTTCGTGATTTAAACGATGAAATAAATAACCTTATGCGTGAAAAAAGACATTGGGAAACTCAGATCGTGGCTTTAGGAGGAGCGAATTATAAAAGGGGTCAACAAGCTATGGTAGATGATGCAGGGAAAGAAGTACCTGGTACCAGGGGATATAAGTGAGTCAGAAATCTCAAATTATGATGTTTCTCTTTCACGACTATCATATTTCCACAACTTGAGAATTAATCTCAACTCTTTAATGACATTTACTTTCCTAGTGACCAGGTGAACGAGATGGCTGGAGATGTGTATGAAACTGTTAAAGAGGTCTGAGATAATAATGTTGATTTTCAGATACTTCGGTAGAGCAAAAGATCTTCCAGGTGTGAAAGAATTATTTACACGAGGAACGGCTTTAGCATCAGAAGAATCAGCTAGAACGGCTTCTTTCCAAATGTTCAGGAATCAAGGTCCTGCTTATTTTGGGGATTTGGATGAAATGGATGAAGGGTTGTTACTTGATGAGGATACCGCAGCGAGGAAGGGTGAGTGGATTTCTTCTGCTACTTATCCCTCACATCACTTCATTTCCGAACTTTCATGCTTTAGTTCACAATCATCATACCGAAGATGTCATATTCCCCTCTTCCCCTGTTGCTCAATCAGGAGGAAAATACTTTTTGCGAGATCCCACTTGCTGATGTCAGATTGGGAGAAAGCCGTAGCTCATACCGCTTCCCTTCTTTCCATTCCTGAAACAACCGACCTCGTTCCTTATCCCGGTCCATCGAAACCTCCACCCATCATCACGACAGAATCAACCGGCGCAACTGCAGAACCCTCCGTGTTCGTCCCGAAGAAAGGCAAGAAAGGTGTTAAAGGCAAACGCAAAGGTCAAGAGGATGAATCTGCCACCAAGCGTGCGAGGACGGACGGGGAAGAAGCACCCACGTCGGACACCCCGGTCGACCCCGTGACCAGTACCCAACTCGCCATGGCAGCAAATTTCCTCAATGTCCTCGATCCTGAAAGCCTCAAAGCCCCTGTCTTACCTACGGTGGAAGAAATGGGAAACGTCTTACTCGAGGTGCGGAAAAAGGCTCTCAGGGACGAGTATGGTGTGTGACGTGTCGGATGGGCTTAGTGATTTAGTCATGATGCACGCTTGCGCTCCCTTTCCACACACCCTATCCGCAGCAAGCCTTTGAGTGCACCCCTGTAACGGACCAGACAATGATTAGGTAGGACCGCAAACACGGTGCATGCAGAAGTTCAATGTCCTCTGAAAAGAGACTTAAGAGTGTATGCGTGATGTACATAAGTGGTCTACTAGCACGAGAGCATCAAGCGACTGGAGAATATTCCACCAAGGTTGTTTAGACGACGGCGATCAAAGCTCCGACACCGGCAAGGACGAGGGCGGGGAGACCGAAAGAGGATACGCGGTCGGCGGCGCCCGTGTTGCTGGAAGAGGCCGATGGGGCGGACGAACCAGATGCCTTCGAGGTGGAAGCAGACGAAGTGGTGCCAGAGCTGGACATCAGCACAGGTCCGTGACCAAGAATATGGGCAGCGGGAAAGAATAAGGGAAGGAAAGACTCACGCAGAAGTGCGAGCGCTGACAGAGGTGGCAGATGCCGAACCCGAAGATCCACCGACAACAGCAGCGGCAGAAGTAGTCGTGCCGGCGGTACTGATAGGGGAGGCGCTAGCTACGCCAGAGCTGGCTACAGCGGCGGAGGTCGCAGAACCGGATGAGGCGGCGGACGCAGCAGCACCGACACAAGACGAGTCCGAGCTTGTCTGGACCGTGACGGCGGATGAGTATGCGATGTTACCCTGCGCGTCTGTTATCTTGATTGTGATTGCTGTGTTGGCGGCGAGGTTGACTTTCCAAGTGTAAGGACTGGAGGTGATGCCATCTGCGATCTGCTCGATGGCAGGAGCCGAGACTTGACTGGCGGGGATGGCAGCCCTGTAATCGCGTTAACGAGTTTTTGAGGTAAGCGATGGAGGGTAAAGTGGGTGGGTGTGACTCACAGGATGAAGGGGCCTGTACCACCGACCCAGGTGATCTGAGCCGGTTCTGGATTAATCAGCACATTGCACATTCAAATTGGAAGGGGGAAGTCTCACGGCATTGCACGAGCGAAGGCTGTCAAGGGGTATCAAGTTGACAGCAGTTTTGGCGGGTGTAGATTACATAGTATGACAATTGACGATACAGGGTGGATACAGTTAACAAAGAAAGATCGAGGGTCAGCGTTGTCCATTCGACAGTGTGATGGACGACTCACAGGCGTGGCAATGCTGAAACTCTGAGCGAGGGCTCCAAGAGCAGAGAGGGCAGCAATGGCGAAGAAAGATTTCATTTTGTTGGGAAGGTTTTTTTGTGTGTTTATTCGTGTAAACGTGAGAGTCGTGAGGTGTTGAGTGAGTGATTGATATTAAGAAGTATTAGAGAGTGTGTGGTTGTTGTGGGAGAGAGAGAGAGGAAGAGAGAGTAGTAGTGATGGTAGTGAAGAAGAAAAGAAGGGACGATGGGGAGTCTCGCTTTAGTATCCCTATCTCACTTCACGCTCGGTCACTGGTTTTCTTGTTTTCTGCCAATGACGGCTCGTGCGATCGGGCGTGACGAGAAAGAAAATCAGTCTAAAGCACAGCCCATCAACCGACGCTCCCCCACCGGCCATCGATCCACCCAAACGCGTCTCACTTCTTCCCAAAGGCAGACGCATGCGCGTTTCACTCTGCTTTTCCATGAAAATTGACTTCTTTCGTCATTATTCCCTGCGACACGGGAGCGGAAATCGAAAGGGAGAAAGATCGCCGGAAATGCGAACTACGAAAACGAGATGGGAAGAAAAAGTCAAAATTCACGACGTGGATTAAATCCATGAATTGTCGGAATTAAACGTATCAGAGATTTGCCCTGCTTGACTTACTTTCCTCACTCTGACCGAAACCCCCTTTGTTCATCTCACATATCTCTCTTGCCATCTTTACTGTCGGTGGAGGCATCGTGGTGGAGTGTCTGAAGTAGTAGTCAGGAGTTTAGTACTGTATCGGGAAGGAGTAGTATACTAGTTGAAAAATTGTAGGTTTGGTCATCTCTCATTTCGATCGATACAGTATATTGACGTGAAACAAAGCTGACATTTATAGTTGAAGTAAGATGTTGTATGTTTGACAAATTCTAATTCATAAACACGAGAAGGTAGTTGACGCTGATCAAGTCGTGGTGGTGTAACTGCTGTACCTGGCTCTAGGCAAGGATGTTTCAAGTGAGTTCTCAAAGTGTATAATTTAATATGGCCACGCATGCTGACAAATCTCAGATGTGGTAATCGTGAGTAGAGCTTGTTACCATTGATGTAGGGGGAAGAGACGATACTTATATTCCCAAGTTGGTCATATAGCCGAGAATTGTCAAGCTCCCGGTAGATTGTGTTACAATTGTAGGGAACCGGGACATGAATCTACCAACTGTCCTCAACCAAAAACTACCGATGGAAAGCAATGCTATGCTTGTGGTGGGGTTGGTAAGTCCAGACTCCTTTCTTCTCTTCGCATCCATCTATATGAATATGATGATCCCCTTCGTCACTCTCATATCCTATGCTTTCTCCTATCATTCTAAGGTGGGGAACATGGCCGGACATGCACATCTGCTAACCCCAGGCCACGTCAAGGCAGATTGTCCCTCGCTCCGCGGTGCGGTAGCAGGCAATCAGCAACAATGCTACAAGTGTGGTCGTTTCGGTAAGTTCTCACTCCTTTGTCTTTTCTCTACCTCGTTGACAAATAGGCCATTTTGCCAGGGCTTGTCCTAACGCCGCTTTCGGGGGTGGAGGGTTTAGGGGTGGATTCGCCGGTGGACGCGGTGGATTTGCCCCTAGGCCTAGGCCACCTGTCAACACGGATGGTACCCCTGTCAAGTGCTAGTGAGTTGGCTCTACCTTGCACCACTTCAACCCTCTCTCTCTCTCTCCTTTATACATCTCAACATCTCATTTTGTCAATCTCATGAAGCATGCTGTTTCCTCCCTGTCGTCACCAAAGCAGTTCATCCGGAAAGTCGCTAACGCATAGCCGATGTGGCGGGGAGAACCATTTGGCCCGTGACTGCCTCGCACCGAAGGACGACAGTACTAAGAAATGTTACAAATGTCAAGAATCTGGACATATCGCCAAGTGAGCTTTCTCTCTTTTTGCCACCGCTCATGCCATGTCACTGTCTTTCTCCCGTTGCTCCTTCTCCTCTGCCAATAGCGATCCTCCCACGTTATGAAGGAGAACGAGTATGAAAGTATCATGTTATCGTCATGATATTCACGTCACCATGCTGACTCTCAGGGACTGCCCTCAGAACGCTGACGGTCTCGCTGCTGCAGAATAGAGCGCATCTCGTGCTCTTGGGTGATCCTGATCATCTTGTTTGGCGATGTAGAGAGGTGATCGTGAATACGTGTCGGAGATGCATCAAAGGTTTATCAAATAAACGATCAGTGATTAAGCCTTGATTCGCTCACTCATTTGGTGTCATATGTAGTCATCAATATGACGAGTCATTGGCACACTTAATCCACATAATCCCTGCTACCTTGGCACTGACAATCCCGATGCGGCATGCGGTCGTTTGGATAGGTCACCGATCACCGAGCAGCAACCCTTCCACGTATGACTTTTACTTAGTGCTTCCGAGTCATCGGATCTTCCACTCAATGTCGATCGGAAAGATTGATGTGGAAGCAAGATGACACAACTCGAGTTTAATCCTGTAGCGAAAAACTTGATCCTATTCAACAACTTACAATCATTTCGATCTGATATCGATCCCCCTGCACATGAACAATCAATGATGAACACGACTTCAGACGTATGTAGATAGTTGGTATTTGTGAAGACAAGAAGATGCATTCGTGTATTTTAGCAACCTATCGATCCCTCCTGGGGAAATACAAACAATGACAGACAACAAGAGATATAAGAAAGAACAAGGACAACATACTACTAGACAGAAGCTACAAGGATGTCAGAGAGAACACTGCAGGACAAAGGGTACGACAAATGAACAGAGAGAGGTGTTATAGATCTGACGACTACGGGATCGAGATTGATTAGACTGGTTGAGCACCATCGTTGAAACCATATCGACTGTTATAAGTTGGCGCTTGTTGTGAGTGAGTTGGTTTTGGAAGATTGTTTCCTCTGTTTTAATCAACTTTTATTCCAATATCAAGGTTTTATATTTGTCCTCTTCATTTTACCTACTGATTTAAGCAAGAGGAAAATGTAACACGATCCATGAAGAAAGGAGAAGGATATCAGGAAGAAATGGAACGACTGGACTGTAATCTCATTAAGAAAACAAGAAAGAAAATTGGTTCTCGTCCCAACAACATAGACGGGCAGAGAGAAGAAACGCAGGGTCTACTCACGTCTTCTGAAATTGATACTGATCTTGTTAGTGGTGTATTCTAAAGTGATTACATATGAAAGTGTACTCACCATAGGTTTCTTAGGACCGGAAACACAAGGTCCGTCTTCACATAAAGTTGGAACTTGTCCGGAATGTACCACGACGTTAGGGTCTGTATTTCCCGTGACATTACAACGATATAAGACGTTGTACTATTGTCAGTAAATCTTTCTTCTATATCCTCTGATTCCTCTTCCATTTGATTTTTCAACCAAGTCATTCACGAATTTGTAGAGCACATTTACAGCTGGTGTAAGAAAAGTGAAGACTATTCGCATTCTAGCAATGAATGATATCAACAAAAGATTCGGAAAGATGGTAACTGGGACTTGGGAACAGGATCATTCTCGACGTATGCCTCAAATGAGGAAAGTGGAGGAAAAATCGACCACATACCATTTCCGCGCCATATCCTTCATGATCTTGATTGGTATGGAACCAATTCCAAGTGCACAAACATCCACCTGGAGGGCAAGGAGGGAGTACAGGAATTTCATATGTCGTTAATCTCCACCATGGACTTGTAGCGTTGACAGAAATGACAGTCATATTGTCCGGACCGAGGGAATCGACGTCAGAAGTGTAAGAAATGGCTAGTGCCGAACCGCCTAACCAAGAAATGTTGGGGGTGGGTGTGAATTCAGCGCCTCTTGGTACATGAAGAACGGCGAGATCCTGATTATCAGTCATTTTCCGCTTGAATCAAAACATCAGGTCTACTTCCTGCCCTTGATATCCATCACCTGGTCATACATGTTTGGAACGGGTCTGAAACTGATACTTCAATGTGTGTAGTAAGGTATCCAAGATCCTACGCAGAGATGGAGGGGAGCATATGAAATTGGAAAAAAAGGATGAAAGACGCACGGGGCAAGCATACTCTTCCTGAGGCACGGTAACGTCAGGTCGACGAAGTCTTGAGTAGAAACGATTACAAGCCAAATCACAACCTCACCGTCAGTCATCGTCTTAAATATGGACCAAGAGCCCGATGCCGCGGACTTGAACGAGAAGAAGCTGATAATCTAACTAGAACGGGACAAGTATGTCCTTCCATGAGAAAGGAGAAACAGTTTTGAATGTGGAGTATGAAAGAGAATCACTATTGGAAAGGACGAAAGATGAAAGACAGAAAATGACTGACCATCAAAAGTACCTCCTGAAGGAAGTTCCATAAAGTTTCCCGGAGCTGGAGGATAATCCTTCATGCCATGAGCGAACCATTCGTCTACTGTGAGATCATCGCTCTGTCGGAGAGGTACGACAGGTTTGTTGTTATTCCAATTCTGTTGGGTATCTATCAATCAGCTTAGCTCTCATTGTCTGTCTCCTGGAATTCATACATAGGTCCCTTTTGGAAGAGTAGGGTAGTATCATTACTTGTGTCTTGACGATTGTCTATGTAGAATGTATACGTAGTCAAGAGTTACCAGTGGTGTGTGTATCTCAATTATGAGATGAATTAGAAAAAAAAACAATAATAAACTCACCCGTCGCTTGACCAGGATAATTCAAACCAAACATTCCTATGTTCCAACATGCAATACTACCATCAACATCATTCTTCTCATTGTAAAGTAACTCACTGTGCAGTGACATGATGAAGAAATGTCAACCCTAGAAGAATACCAAATGTCATTTCTCGATTAATATCTCTGGATCAAAAAATAAAAAATTAAAAAAATTGTCTGTATGTATCTCCCTTTACTTGATAATATCTTCCGGTTTCCTGAGTGGGTATTACTTTCGTCCTAAGTCTTAGTCTAGAAAGTTCTGGAAGTTCGATGAGTTGAATCCCAAGAATGACTTGAAAATAAATTAAAGGCCGCGGCGACGGATTTTATAGATAAAAGTTGACGGATGAAACTATCAGTGACTAACCGAGTGACGTCGGCAGACATCAATTTACCGAATCGTGTCGTGCGTGATACGTAGAATTGATGGTGCTGAGACAATAATTATGACGATGATATATTTTCTTGAACTGTCCGACAAGATCGGAACCGGGTACCAGTTGTAGTGAAGCGAGATGTAGGTGAGGAATCCGAATGATGATATGAGAGGTGAGAGGTGAGGGTATAAGGTGGAGGTGAGAAGTGCGAAATGTGAGATTTGAGGTTTGAGGTTTTAGATGATAGGTTTCAGATAAGAGTGAGAAAAGAAATAAGCAGTAAATAGATTGATCTACAGTTTGATGATTGAAAATGACAGAAGAGACAGTAAGTGTATCATGTGATGAGGGTAATATCATAGGTAACACAAGGAACGAGGGTTAAGAATAGGACGATGATGAAAAATATCAAGGTCATGTGTGATTCGAGCCTAATAAAATATGAGATCATCAATCATCAGTTATTAATAAGCTCCGACACGACACAATGCGGTTTCACCGGCTAGTGAGACAGAAGGATAGTGGAGAGGTGGAAAAGTCACCAGGAAAAAAGAACACGATGTGTGTAGAAAGGATGTTGAGATTGTCCGTCTCAAACAACGGCAAAGACGGGGAAGAGGGGTGGATCTGAAAGGATGTCCAATAATCTCTGGAATCAGTTGGTGAGACTTCTTCCTCTGACGTGTAAAGGGACGACCAATACATACGATCCGATTCGCTACTTGTCCGCTGTGGATATCAATGAGGATGATCGGGCTGAAAGACGTCAGAAGTTGAAATTTGGAACAAGATATAAAAGTCAGAAGTTAGATCTCATCCATATCATTCCATCCTCATGCTATATACGATACATAATGTCTACTCTTACCGTACCATCTCACGAAAGGTGGAACGAGCCTCCACCATCTTGCATTGCTCGTTTCAATTGCGCAGCGAGAATTTCCTTGGTCGTATAATCAGGCATCTTGAGGTACTATCCATCAGCATCGGTGTCGTTGTCTTTGGTCTCATCGTCATTGAATCACCCTCGGATAAGAAAGGTTCAAAGCGATGCGAAGGAGCAAAAGCGCCAATCCTCCCCTCGATGAAGAGATGCATAAGCGGTGATGGGAGAAGAGTGGAGAGATATGATCAAGGGGGAATGACTGCATGAGGAGAGAACAGGACAAACGCCGTGACGAAACCTTCCCCGGGTAAGAGTGGTTCAAAGCGGTGTGATGGACATTCGACTCGATGAAGAGATCAATAAGCGGTGATGGGAAAACCAAACAGAAGTATATGATCGCAGTGGAGTGTAGTAGAAGAGACGAAGAGAGAGACAATATGACCCACCTGTGCACACGTCATCACACTCGGTAAATAATCATCCGCTCTGAACGGCGCTTCGTGGGGTTTACGTACTACCGTGAAAGGAGGTTGGAGACCTCTGAAACCTCCAATGGGCAATTTAGGCGCTCCGGTGATGCTGCCAATCAGTTTGTTTCTCGCATCTTTGTATATTCGGGACTTGTTGATATAATTGAAGACGTGGACAATTGTTCCGTCCGACGTCATGAGGATCATGATCGAGGGAGTTGCGATAAAGTATGAGATGAGGGCACAGATTCTAAAGAAGACGAGGATGTCCCAGTTACAAGACATGATCAAGGATGAAAGATAGATGTATTGTAGAGATTAGAATAACCCAAAAATGCAGTGGTGACAAGATATGAGAATATTGCCAAGAAAAGTAAGGCGCGATTGTACGAGCCGGTGAATATTCAACTCACAACTGAAGGAAATGTCTCCTCTCATCTTTATCATACCCACTCATCACCTCCAACAAATTCTGTACCGCCCTACTATCCAAATTGTACCCATGATCAGCTTTGATAGCCTGTTCCAGAGTCTCCCTACTCCAATCTTCATCAGCATTCCCAAACAGCACACCGAGTTCTTCAGGCGAGAATATAGCCATATCTTGTATGGGGAAAATCATTGAGAAACCTTCTTGGAAGGCTTTCACCTGATCATGTATACCCGATCCCAGTGTCAAATCCAACACTTTATCGATGTATTCTTCCAAGTTGGAATCGTCCACATCAACAAAAGCTCCCCTAGGTCTCAGATCGATCGCGTAACCGGGGAGGGTAAAGTCGAGGGATAAATCAGTAAGTTTGGCTCCACCGACAGTCAGAGCGGAAAGTTTGTTACGTCTGCTAGAAGCTGGTAATGCTAAAGCTTCGATTTCCTTTCTAGCGATGAGATAGCTCTGTAAACGTTCCAATGATCGGGCAAGAGCGGGATCGACAAGTTTGAGATTGGAGATACTCTTTTTAACGGTTTTACCGAGGATGAGTTTGAGGAATAATTTGTTCAGATTCACATCGATGATTCGGGAGTCCAACAATGCTCGACCGACGAAGAGTCCAAGGGTCTTGAACCATGACAGACGACTGCCTGCGACACTTGAGGCTGGTTCACCGGGACCGACAGGAGCGGGGAATAATCCACGCGGATGGAAAACATAAGGACCAGGTTTGGCTTCGTCTTCATCTCGCCAGATTTGCAACGCACGTCGAGCGAACTCGCGAGAAGCGATAGAATAGAATTCGAGAGTCGGACCAAGACCAGTACCGATTTCATCAAAGTATTCAACTTCCAAGATCCCCGAGGCAGTGCCGTACAACTCCATGACTTTGACGCATGACTCGAGGAGTTGAGCTCGAGAGATACGGACTTTTTGTCGACTGATGCGGGAGAAAGGATTAAAGTCTTCCCGACGATTGGAGGAACGAGTCTGAGCGGCGGACCGAGAAAGGAGACGTTGATACCCGAATGAAGTGGCTTGCAGAAAGGCATAACGAGTCTCGAAGGGGAAGAGGAATGCAAAGTGTTTAGGCAGTTCGCTGGCCCAATCCGGAAGACAATTACTAATTGTTAGTCACGGTGCATTTCTCCAAGATCACCCCGACCGTCACAAACAAAGCTGAGGTCGGAAGAAGAACAGAATCTCGAGTCATTCCAGCCATGATAGACAAGGTGGAGGAGGAAGGAGAGCGAATTATCTCCAACATCACAGTCAGAGTAGAGCGAGGAACGAGTGTGATATTCCAAGGTAATTCGGTCATCACACTCAAAGTGTGGCGAGGAAGCAGTGTAATGATCAAGTCATCCCGCCCATCACAGTCAAAGTAAGGCGAGACAGAAGTGTTTCAGTAGGGAGAGGCGAGAGTATAGGCAATGGCATGTCAAAAACCCACCTTGCAATGATCATGACCTCTTCCATTTGACGAGTGAGCTTTGCGGTAAGTTTATTATTGATAAACAAGTTCTCATCCACCACATCCATTCTTCCTGACGCATCTCGGTTCTCGGCGCAGAGATTATGCAATACTCGTAGCAATCGGAGTAGCTTGCTAGTCGGTGTAGAAGGATCTAAAGCACCTGGCATCGTACTCGCCACAGAAGCAGGAGATGGTGCATCCAATGAGAATTCTGACATTAGCACAAACCAATGTAGTTCGTAAAGAGGAAAGACTTACTGATCATTGCCGGACCTTCAACTTTACGGAATTTGAATGTGACGGGTGCACCATAAGTACTACCTCCAAAGGGAATGCCAGGAACATTATGTTGATGCTTATGAACAATACCATATATCGTTTCGTTCGGGGCGAGATCAATACCATTAAAGCTGAATCTGAGATGGAAATTAACCGGAGGGGCTTTGACTGCACCTGCGTATGAAGGCATACGAGCTGGTGCAGAAGGTCCAGGTGCAACTTGTAAAGGTGTTCCGATACGAGTGCCTTCAGGTGTTTTCGCTTCTACCTTTGATCCATCTGGTGCTACTGACATGTTGACCACTCTTTCGACAGGACGATTGATTTCTTCCTCCATATCTTCGTCGAAAACATCTGCGTCAAAATCTTCTTCTTCCGAATACTCGTCAAAGTCGACCAACGGCATCTCTGGGACGTTGCTAGGTTCGGGAGCGCTTGACGATAGAGGAGCAACGGGACTAGCTGGTTCAGGTGGGTTGGCACCTTGTGGTTGTCCGCTGAGACGTGCACTTCTCCTACGTTGTGGAGGAGCTGGATTAGTGGGATTGGCAGGGGCAGGGGGAGCAAGTCGAGAAGTTTCAGGAGCGGAAGATGGAGCTGCTTGAACTTGTGTCAAACCTGTCATTCCTGCGGCTTGAAGAGATTCTAGAAGACGTGCTTGGGAAGATCCACCAGGTCTGGGTATAGGCATACCAGATGCGTAGCTGGCGAACATACCACCTAGACCACCTAGACCACCGCCCGACATGAAATGACCATCGGCAATACGAGGACGTAGATAGTCATGAAGCGCTTGCAAGGGAGCGACAGCTTGAATTGTGACACTGATATTGCTGACTGCCTTGGGAATGTCTTGACCTTCTTCGGCTTGTAAACGAATACGCATGGTCCGACCCAATCCACTGGACGATCGGGAGGAATCAGAAAGACCACCGAAAGCAGTCTCTACTTCGAAAGTCTCCAGTCTACCCAGACTCTCATGTAAACGTTTCACCAACAAAGTAAGTGGTCCAGATGAATCGGTGGAGAAGATTTCGTATAGAAGAGCACGTCTCTGAGAGGAAGAAACCGTACCGTCCACATCGACAAAATCGAGCAAACCGTCGACCAGACCAGATTTAAGCAATTCGAACGAAGAGAGAGCTTGGGAGGGGTCTGAGAATTGTTCAGCTATGTGACGAAGAGAGTCTCGTAGATCCGCTTCGGTGGCATTGGCGTCGGCGAGGAGTTTAACTCTCGTGCCGAGATCGTCAAGCAAAACAGAAGCAGCTTTCTTGTGATCTCCTCCCACATCGAATACTTTTTTGGCGATGAGAACGCGAGCTCGTAGAATGTTGGTATCATTGGGGTTAACCGAAGGCGTCTTGGATCTGGCAGCATGGGACAACTCGAGAAGAGAGGACAAATTCGATCCGAGAAGAGGCTTCAGATCTTCGGATATCGAAATAGGCTGAGATGGATCTTCAGGTTCAATCTTGACTGTGGTTTCGTCTGAAGGGACTGGTTTTGGGGTGAGATCTTGCGCGGCGAGGGTTTCGATCTCAAAGACTACACCTTCGCGGAGGAAAGAAGTTTGATACACTTCGGGAAGCTTGGTGACGAGAAGTTCTACCAATTGTAAAGCTTGGAGCACATAAACGGGATTGTCTTTGGAAGAGATGATCGCACCAAGGAAACTCGCCATGGGCACGGTCTAAAGTCAGCAACATCACTCTTGACGTTCGATCATACACTCACCTGTAAAGCGGCCTTAAGATCATCACTATCAACAAAAGCTACAGCTTTGACCAATCCGTTCAAAACTTTGGTCCGCACCCTAGTCGCAACCGATGCGGCATATACATCCACCAGAACAGGAATCATAGCTTTGATGAACTTGGCCACAATCGCAGAGTTATCCCTGAGCAAAGTGACCCGTTGCTCCTGCTGTTGCTCTGCATCTTTCTTGGCTTTGATCATGGCGTCACGAACAGCTCGGGATGCTGCTCCAGGAGGAGTAACACGTCCTGTAGGCGTCGCAGGGATGGTGAGAGTCGCTGGTTCGGTGGTAGGCGGCGGGACGGCGAGAGCTGGAGGTGCTGGCTGAGCGTCGGGAAGGGTAAGAGGGACAGGAGTAACATCAGGAAGTGGAACGGATGTTTGAGTAGGAGTGCTAGGCTCTGCCGGGGATTCCGCAGGTGTATGACCAGATGTTCGTCTCGTCAACCTCTCTGACCTCCTCGCTTTCTTCACTTTAGCAAGATACTTTTCACCGTATGCTCTGTAATCAAACACCCCATCACGAGGTGGAGGGGGCATGAGTTCGCAGATGAGAGCGAGCGATTCTTCCACTTGGTCTTTGGGACGATGAGCGAGATTCTGCAAAACAGCCATATCGGCAACGCCTCCATACAGGCCCTGACCGTCGGATGTACCGCCTTGCTCGTCGCCATCGTGGGCGGGTGGGAGAACGCCCGTGAGGATTTGATAGACCGTATTGGTCATTCCAGCTTGCAAGAATGCAAGGGAGACTTTGGCAGATCCTCGTGCGGCAGAAGTGAGGGCTTTGAGTAGATGAGTGTAAGTTGAGGGTGTGAGAAGAGGAGAGCCACCGGAAGGCATGAGAAGAGCGTTGATAGCGGCCACAGTGGGTACATCGAGGAGACCGTCAAGAAGGTCAGGACGATGACGATAAGATTCGATGGTTCGGACGACGGCTAAAGTGGCTTGCTCTACGAGACGCTGATCCGCTTGGGTGAGAGTTTCGCGAAGGATGGGGAAGACGTCACGGATCATGTTATGATGCTCGGGGGAGATGTTGCGACAACAATTGGCTGCGGCTGTGACGGCGGTACGTTGGACGGCGGTGGAGAAGAAGGGGAGAAAGTTGAGTAATGAGCCAAGACCACCTTCACGGACGATGGCGGAGGGGTTGTCAAGGGAAAGTTTCTCCAGGGTCTGCCCATTAGCTCGATCCTGATTGGAGCGCAAGTCTTCACGAGTACACCGAAAGAGACAGCACAAGGAGCAAGATACTACACTTTGCCAGATGAACGTGTATAAGGGCAGAAAATGAGGATTGTGATGGACGAAGGACAGGAACAAATGTCTTTATGAAGAAGAGAACTCTACTCACACTGAGGGTCTGTTCCGCCAACTCCACAAACGACATCTCGTTCAACTTAGAGCACAAAATAGGGATAGCACCGAGGTTGACGAGCATATGACCCGACATGGGTAACGCTTCGAGAAGATGTGCCAAACATCTACAAGCGACCAATTGACATTCTATCTCATCTTCGTTTCCATGAATCGGAGCCGCTGCTCCGGCACTCATGGATAAGGCAGCTGCCAGTTGAGCATCTTCATCCATTTCTTCCGGTGGGCGTTCATTCTCCTTTGGTCCGTTCTCGTCAATGTTAGGTTTACCGCCTAGAATGGCGATAAATTCTACGGCAAAAGCATTTGTGGAGAAGGCTCCACCGAGAGTATCTTCGTTACTGACTAAAAGGATTTCGCTGCATTCACGTAAAGCGGTGAGACGGACAGCTGGAGCTGGAGATCGAAGCTCGTTTTTCAACCTTTTGAAACGAGTCGAGAGACCCGACATGATACCTCCAAAAGTCCTAAACTCGCCACCGAACAAAGCGGCAGCAGTGGCTTCGTCGAGGTGCATTCCGCTTTCTCCTGCTAGTCGAGCGAGACGATCGTAGACGTTGATACCCCCGATACCGGCCCCAGCCCCAGCACCGCCTGGAGGTCCGGGATGTTCTTCTTCTTCATCTTCTTCACCACTGTGTTCTTCTTCCTCTTCTTCTGAACCTTCCATGTTGTCATCTTGATTGTGTGAAGAAGAACCGGGTTCATCGAGCCAGCCGTCCATCGGATCGTCTACTGCTAATCTCGCTGATGGTTATTATGCTGTTTGCGATATGATCACAGTAAACTTACAAGCTCCTTTCCTGACTCTGTCCAAGTCGGAAGACGTGCCCACAGGTCGTTTAGATTTGCTTGACAATCAGCGATCCGTCCCCATCACTTGGAACTGACACACCCGCATCATTTGACAGTCGGAAGCACAGAGACGGCGCGTGAGAGACAGGGGTACAGCGGGATCATTCGACTGACGGATGTACGGGAGTCAACAAACGAGGGGCGAACAAAGTGGCGAAGAAATAGGGCGAAACCTTCAACAGGTGCTCAAAAGAGGCGAACGGGAGGCGCTTTGTGTACAGGTGACACAAAAAGGTGTTTTTAGTGGTATAAGTGAACAAAACACTTACGCCTTCTTCGGCATCGTCTTGGCTTTCTTTCCCTTGCTCACAGAACTTTCAACGCCTTTTTCTTTTTCGTCTTTCGATCGCAGATCGTATGTCTTTCGTGGACGTTTAGGAGAAGGTACTTCTGAACCTGATGGACCTGATGAACCAGATGGACCGGCTTTAGGTGATGATACTGGAGCTGCTCGTTTCTTGCCTTTGATATCGGATCTGACAGTCAGGTGGTTCGTTTTCTCACTTGATGAAAATATATTCGCGAATGTGCCAAATCCAAGAAATACAATGGGGGAATATGAATAAGGTGATATAAGAAGACGATAGAAGCGGTACTCGGTGTGAGGGTTTAGGATCTGAGAGTAGGGAGAAGGAAACCGTGTGAAAAAGCGGAGAACGTGATGGGATGATGAGGGTGTCGCTGAACTATGACCGTTCAATGATATGTGATATGATTAGATAGTGTTGGAATGATGATCGTGAATTGTGGCGAAAAGAGTCAAAAAGATGAAAGAAAAGGTGGAATGTATGAAACTTCGAGACGATACCAAAGATGATATCTCCTTTCATTCTTTATACTAATCCCGCGAAACCGCAGAAAGAGCTAGTGTTTCCAAGTGTAAAATCTACACTCATATAATTCATGCACTCATGTGAGGGTGAAAGTGGATGAACACGAACAAGACGTTTTTGCATCCTCATAGGAAATGATCCTCATACTTGAAATAAGAATTCGAGTGAAAGGCAGTGAAGCGATCTAAGCAACAGAAAACGAGGTGATACCGATTTGAAAGAAGGGGAAAAAGAAAGAGACCAAAAGAGTAATGTAATGAGATATGGAAAAAACTCACTTTGATCCAATTTCCTCTTTTACCTTTCCTTTACCTTTACCTTCTGGATCGTTCAAAGATTTAGGATCGTTCAAAGATCTAGAATCGTTCAAAGCTGATAAAGATAATCTAGCAGATCTTCTTACTTGTATTTCAGGATTATGTTCAGAACCAGAACCAGAACCTGAAGCTGAAGCAGAGACAGAAGTGGAATGTGAAGGATGTTGGATTTTCTTATTCTTACGTGTGAGTGATGATGATGGTTGGGCGTCGTCGTTCATTTGTAAGTTTGGGGAAAGGGGTTGTTTTTTATATATATTTGAATGGAATTTGAGATCATGAGATGGATGTTTAGGTCTGGTGAGTGGTTAGATGGTAGAGGAGAGTTGAGAAGGTAGAAGAGAGGTAGGTGTGTTTGTGTGAAGGAGAGAGAGAAAAGAGAGAAAGAGAAGTGGTGGGGATGATTTGGATGGATTGGGTGGGATAGGGGGATACCAAAGAGACAAGGGGAAGCATTTTCCAAAGTGAGGTGCTTCCCATTCAGCATTCGGAGCTCGCCGCATCGCCACTTGACTCGTACTTCTGCACTAGCTTAGGTGGCCTCTACTCAGACACGTTCTCATGGTCAGAGGGGTTTGAACCATATAGGCCTCGTGTATCCCGCTGTACCGCTGTATGCCGTATGCCGTGTGCTACGTGCTACGTCAAACTACTGAAGACCACACAGAAGCAGATCTACACATGGAACGTACGACGACATATCATAGCAAGATGGAATGTGGCACGACTTGTGACCTCCTTCAAACCCAAGATTACGTACCCTATCATCTCATGGCTATCATTCATCAACAAGGAAAAAGATACACTAGCTATTCTCATCCTCAGAACCCAGGTCTGTATACCTATCCATCAGCGTCACCCAACTAAAACATTTCTGCAACAAACATAAACCTAACCCTATAACCCTGTAAGGGAACGGCCAAGGATCCAACACGACTTGGAAACTATTCTCCAGAAAGAACAGATGAAATCACTCACCACAATCCTTCCACTCTTCAAATCATCACACCTATAACTCACTTCCTCCGGTAATCCTCTTTCGACTTGCCACACTCTGATCTTATTATGTCTCTTCTCGTCGAATTCTATCACCACACCAACGAGGGGTTCCTCGACACTGCCCACTGCTTGAGAATACGATTGTAGACCTTTTTTGCCTTTGAGCTTTGCATCGTAGAAAGCGGCGATGTCTCCTGGTCGGGGCTGATGGTCAGTTGAGGCTAACAACTTCGAGAACCTCAGATGAGGAGATTATGTAATTGATCGAGACATGAGTATAAAGTGGTCCAAGAGATGATCTGGACACAAAAGACGTGTAAGACTTTACAGACGCAAAAGAGGTCGCATGGGAAAGAAGACAACGGATTGTTCACGAGACAATCCGGGTATGAAAGACGCATAGGATAGTGCCGAAGAACACCGGTGAGATGGAGAAAAATGTGTGTATAAGCTGAGAACAACGCAACTCACCTCATCATATCGTCGTAGAACAGAAGAAACTTCTTGTTCGTAAATCACCAAACCCCATTGGTGTAGAGGTGGTGCAAGTCCTGCACGTTCCATGGCGAGAAGAACGAACCCAGCTGGGCTTCCGTCCTGCTCATCAGCTACATCCTGTCCATCTTTTACTGGCAGTCGATACAGAGATCAGGAGGATGTACATGACGAATATCACAAAGAACCCTGTACGATATATGACAGGATGGCCCAGCTCACGTAGCACAAGATGGGGATGTTTAGGACGGTGGTTTATGAGGGTGATGACTCATATGGAAAAAACAGCCACAAGGACACGAGACGAGTGTAGTCCTTGATACGATATTGAAACCGGAGGAATGAGTAAGAGAAAGGATTTTACTCACCCCATAATTTCCCCGTCTACCTTGTTCGAATAACCCTCTGGCCGCCCCTGCTAATCTCCCACCAAAGGTCTTACTGGCCTCTTGTAACTCCGCATACCCAGGTCTATTCACAGACATTGACCCTCTTGTCTGTACAGGACTAGAACCTTGGGCACCTTGACCACCTTGACTACCTTGACGTGTATGTGCATGATGACCCATACCAAGCGTATCACTCTCAACTCTTGAATGAGTTCTGACCGGTGACATTGGACTAGAGGGGTAGACAAACGATCCTGATTTCCTTGACTCTGATGGATTTGAAGTAGGTCGATGTGGTGGGACAGGAGGAGGAGGATCATCGAATGAAGATTCAGGCTCTAAAGAAAGAGGTTGGAAAGTATCTTCAGGTATTGTGAGTATAGGCGCTTGTCCACTGAACCTTCTAGAAGCTTGAGTACTGGAATTGGACATGGATCTTCTGTGTTCTTTGGTTAGGATTGGGGGTGGAGAAGTAGGCGAATCTTCTTCGTCCTGAGGTGGAGGTGGAGGAGGGAGTGAAGGTCTAGAAGAAGGAGTAGGGACAGGTGGTCTGCTAGGAACAGGAGGAGCATCATCTGACACATTTTCATCTGCGATTACAGGTTCGAGGGACATATGTGGTCGGTTGGGTGGAATAGGAGGTGGTGTATCGGTCATCTCAGACTCTTGTTCTAATCCTCGTGTATCCTCAAATTCGGCAGAGGGAGACGTAGGAGAAACAGGAGCATGACTGAACATTCCGAATCCTAATGTCCCACCTGCTTTCAGTCGAGCTAAAGTCGCCCTCTTCCTCGCTGCTTCTTGCTCTGGAGTTTCTTCCTCTTCCTCTTTACCTACTGGAGGAGATGGATCGATGGGAGAGTCTGGGAGATTGGTAGTTGGAGATCCACCACTTGTCTTCTGCTGGTCATCTACCAGGGTTTTCTGTCGAATAGGAGGAGGAACACCGAATTTGATGCCTCCCATCTTGGCCATTCGAGCCGCCATGGCAGATGCTCGACTCTTGCCCTCATCATCTGCGGAAGGAGATTGGTTGGATTGACTGGGTGACTGTGGGGAAGGAGACGATTCCTCCTGAACAACTTCATATTAGCCTGGTTGGAAGGTGGGAAAAGAGCACGTACAAGGTCGAACCGGAGATTGAGGTACTACTGGTACTGGAAATAAAGCCGTACGAACGGGTGGCAGAGACGGCTTTCTTGCAGGCGGAGGAGGGGGGACTTCTTCTTCTTCCTCCACCTCCTCCCTCACCAAACCAATATCTTCTCCCTCATCCTCATCCTCCTCCTCGTCTTCGCTTGGGGGAATCAGAGGATTTCCAACAGGAGGAGAGGGCAGAGGAGCCTGAGGAGGAGCGGGATGCATCGACCTATCCATAGATCTTCTTGATACCGGTGGCGCCGCCTCCGCATCGTGTTCATGCTTGAGCTCCACTTCATCTTTAGGTACATCGATCAAGCTCATCCTAGGTGGCGGAGGGGGAGGTGGAGTATCTTCTTCTCCCTCTTCCTCCTCGTCGATCGGAGACTCCTGAGCAGGAGGATGAAGAGGGACCATTCTGGGCTCTTCGTCTAATATCAAACCTCCTTTCTGAGCTTCTTCTATAATAGCGTCTTTTTCCTGACCTCCCTCTTCTATACCTTCCTCTACTTCTTGATTCTCTATGGGATTGGCATCGATGATACTCCCCGGTCCTTGCATCTCCGCCGCCACGCCTACCCCACGATCTTTGATATTGCCGAAATCAGTAGGTGCGTCTTTTTCGACTTGAGCGTCATCCGACTGGATAGGAGCAAGAGCGATACCAGCAGCCATTCCTCCTTCAGCACCACCTGTCTGTCGTCCTAATTCCCCGGCTTCTTCTTCCCATGCCAACTGCTCGTCAGACTTTGACAAAGGTTTTTCTTCATCTTCCACCATGACCTGAGGTGGGGGGTCGCTCCTTGCGTTTATCGCTTCTTCTGAGAGATCATCTTGAGGAAGCGTGGGAATGCGCTGAAGAACCTGAGGAGGGGGTATGGACGGTGCGGGGGTGTCTTGACTATCTTGGACGGACTGAACGGGTCCGCTAGGTACGATTGCACCCTGACTAGCCGATGCTTCAGTCTTCTCTTGTGATGGACTGGCAGAAGGACTAGCCCTCAGTGTTGGCTTCTTGATGGGTTTCGGAGGAGGTAACGCCATAGCCATTGGACCTCTTGTGCCTAGCTTTGCCATCCTCGCAGCAATAGCTGCTCTCCTCGCCCTCTCTTGTTCCTCCTCACTCGGTTCTTCCGCTTCAGCAAGTCCATCCTCTTCATCAGGAGTTTGAGCCTTTCCCTCTTCTTCTTCTTCCCCTTGAGGTTCTGGTGGCGGTGGAGGACGTTTCCATACTTTACCGGTAGAGGCCGGTGGTGAAGGTGTGACTTCAGGAGTTCCAAAAGCTCCTGCTCCTTGTAAAGCCGCCATACGTTCCTTGAGTGACATACCCTTGATGACAGAGCTAGTTGCGTCGTTTGCTGACATTCCCGAACCCGAACCCTCGTCTTTCTCTTGATGTTCGGAAGTAGGACGTGGAGGATGCTCGGCGGGGGTGACTCTGCTTTGTGTTGGCTCTTCGGATTTGGTGGAAAGCTGTTCTTTCGCTTCTTGTTCTTTACGCAAAGCTTGACGTTGACTCCACGTCAATCCCCCGGATACCGGCTTGGGTTTTATAGGAGGCGGGGCAGCTTTCGATTGAGCTTGAGCAGCAGCGTTGAAGAAAGCTAAACGTTCTTTCAATGTTTGTCGAGGAGGAGAGTTCTCCGTTGCTGGAAGAGATGAGGTTTCCGGTTTATCTGTGATGGTTGATGGGGGGATTACCGGGCTAGAAACGGAGGAAGGGGGGAGAGGTATTGATTTCAATACTGGAGAAGGGGGAGCTGGTGGATCAAGAGATGGTTCCTCATTTCCCTCTTGATTGATAGCTTCGAGCCTCGAGGCAGACACATGGGAGGAAGTCGGAGAGGGGTCATCTTCAGTGGATGTTGGCTCGGGTATGACAAAGTCCTGGAAGATCAGCTCGGTAGATCAAAGTAGAGCACAGGTTGACATGGGGAGGACGATAAAGACTTACCTTTGGGAATCCACCTGATTTCACCCCGTCCATAGTCTCACCAACCAACCAATCTTCATCGTCGGGATTAGGTCCGGTGACACGTATACTGCGGATATCAGTGTGAAGAACGGACGGATTTACGAGGTGCAAGACTGACATGACATCTTTTTCAAAAGATAAGTCGGTTTCATGTGGTGATTTGTATCTGATCCTAGCGGTCAGCAGGTACTTACTGGACCTGGAATGTGAGAAGTCAAAGGAAGAGGGGTGAAGCCCCTTAACAGCGGGAAGAAGGAGAAAGACTCACGTCGTCCGGGCGAGGTATGGAAACGACATGGTGTTGATGGATGCCGTGGTAGTGTGAACCACGAGTGTGAGAGTAGGTCTCAGCTGTTGTTGCTGGTTGGGTGTTACAGGTCGAGTAAGATACTGTAGTTAGCGAAGGAGGAGGGATGGATGTGCGGAATGCGGTGCGCAGTGCGGTTAGGGTGCGGGGCCCGAGCGTAAGTCGGATCGCAGTGACATCATGCGTACGAGTAGAGTACATTCCATGGCCCATGGGCAACAGAGTGAACAGCGTATCAGCCAGTGCGGGTATATTCTGACATATCGTCGTTGCATACTACATGCTACGGGTCATCACTGCATGCAAAAGGCAGGCAGATCGTAGAGTTGAAGCTGGCACGATATAGCTCAAATCTCAAATCTCTTTGTCCACTTGCTTAACCCTCATGACAAGGACGTTCATCTCCCCTACCGTCAATGGTCTTGGGGGTACTCCAAGAGACTTATATACACCTCTCATAGCTCCCGAATGTGAAGTTACGCTCAAATCTACCTCATCAGTAATTACATTCTCAGACAAAGGATTCTGTCAGTACTCACAAGTAGCATCCCCACTCAATTCGATAGCTTCTGCTATACCTTTTCCTAATCTCTCCACTAATTCATCTTCCGTTTCCCTTATATCCCCACCTCTGTACCCTTCCTCCTCACGTTGTTCAAAACTACGCCATAAAGGATCGATGTTTTGTAATCCTTCGAAAGAGATATTGGGGTATTCGTGTGATAATTCCTCGGTAGGTAATCGAGCGTCACATTGATGAGCATGAAGATGTTCTCTCAGATTCTATCGTCAATCTCAATATAACTTGCCACATCTCGTACCATGGAACGAATCAAGGATTGATTTGACTCACTTCTATAGCTCTTATAGGAACTTTATGATCAACCACAGAAACATCTTCATCCAATCGATATTCCCATTTATCATCGAATAGAAAACCCCATTCTATTCCACTAGTCTCTATTGCTCTTCTTAATGGACTAACGTACCATACCTGAGGTATTGGTAAGCCCCTAGAGACCTCTTCTTGCAGGGTCAAACGTAAATTGTTGGCTTGTGATCTTCCCAGCGATGTGAGTTTAGGATCAAGAACTGGGAAACGCATGTGAGCAGGACCTAGAGGGGGAGGATAGATGATGTCGTCTTCTTCCCTATGAATGTAATTGGCTTCAATGACATTATGTTCGGCTGTGTGTCAGTCTGAAGATACAGGTAAAGAGATATGAAAGGAGTGCTAGTGGTAGTATGTACTTACCTTGACCATGTCGGGCGGCGTAGATGACTTTCAAAGTATATCCCTCTAATTCCGCTTGTTCCTTGAGACCTGATTCTGGTCAGCGATAAGTCACTCATGATATCGGACTGACCTTGGATATGTTGACGAAAGGCTGCCCAATTTGCAAAACGCCCGTCGAGCCCTAAACGACTTTTGATCTGTGCCAGTTAGTGTGGAAGTATGTATGTATCATCAGAGGGCGCCGCAAGTAAGGAACTGGGCACTCACATCTTTATCCCATGTGGTATAAGTGAAAAGGCCTTCGAGGTATTGATACTGATAAGGCATTTTGTGTTGTACAGTATATGTGGCTATTGGGCTGAGGAGATATCTACCACAAAGAGACTTGACTCATTTCGGACAAAGGGTATATCTCAGGCAAGGCACGGATCTCGATCTTGGCGAAATGATGCTTGTCTTCTTTACTACTTCTTGCCACTGATCTTTCCATCTCATCAGCTTGACATTTTGCCTATGTTGCCTACATCTTCATACCAGTTTTACATATGGCACCTCTAACAACCTCTATACTCTTATCACACCCTTTATATCGTCTTGTCTAACATGATGACTCGGTTGACGGCGGCCGATAAGCGATGAAGAAGTGCCTGACCAACCTGGCAGGCAGTCGAGCTAGTTCGTGTTCACCCACGCACGTGTGTTCTCTCATTTGACTGTTACAGCCAACCATCTGCCTTGCTAGTAGTGCCGAGCCTACCCTTTTTTCCTGTTCCACCTGACACATATGTAGAGAAGAGTATCTTCTCTCTTCCAACTGCATTTCTTCTTTTTCGCTGGATCTACAAGGTATCGCAGTGATCTGTGTATCGATCAAAGGATATCAGAATCACCGCCCAATTTACCCCTTTCGGGCATCACTCTATACGTCGATCGGTGCACACGACCTACTGTATCATTACGTACCCTTACTTATACCCTCTCCTATCCTCTTGACAATTTACCCTTCTCTTTTCTTCGATTGAGGATATGAAATTCGGTCGTCGTATTAAAGTGAGTGCTTCATCTCTACTCACGCGATATGCTGCTCACACTCAGGACTCTAGGTACGCCGAATGGGCAGATCAATATATCGCCTATGGTGCTTTGAAAAAACAAATCAAAGCTACTGTCCCATGGAGTGATACGGCCGAAGCTGATTTCATCCAAGCATTACATCGAGAATTGGAGAAATGTCAAACTTTCCAAACTCAAAAAGCAGAAGAGCTGTTGAGACGTATCAACGCTTTGGAAAAAGAGGTCATCGGTTTAGTTGCTAAAGCGGGGGATAGTATCGATGAAGAGGAGGATGAAGATGAAGAGGATGATTTGATTCATGAAGTGACACCGGGGGATTTAGAGAGACATGTGAGGGATCATAGGGATCATGATGAAGGTAGTGACGATGACGATGTTGGATCGGAAAGTGGGATTAGTTTCGATTCGTTGGAAGAACGTTTCAGAGAGTTGGAAGAGGAAGTTGCGGTTTTAGTGGCCGACGTACATGATCTGTCCCTTTTCACCAAACTCAACTTTACTGGGTTTATCAAGATTGTCAAGAAACATGATGTGAGTAAGCCTACCGATAGGGGTGGTGAAGAGGCTGATTTGAAAGAAAATCACAGGATTCGCTTTGAAACCTGTGTTCACGAAAGATTTCTTAGAAACTCATCCGTTTTATAAAATGAATTATGACGTTTTGGTCGTAAAACTATCCAAATTATTCGATCTTGTTCGAACGAGGGGCCATCCAATTGAGGGGGATTCTACGGCGGGAGGAAGTCAGAATGCATTCACGAGGAGTACGACGAAATACTGGGTGAGTCTGGAGGATGGATTTGTGAAGGGTCTTTGTGCTCATTCTAAGGTACATGATGAGAATATCGTTCCTCTCAAATTGGCCATCATGAAACATCTACCTGTTTTAGGTGAGTTTGTCATTCAAGTGTTCGAATCAGGACTGATACCTCAGTTTTCGATCCGAATAAAGAATTTAACGTCAAAGATTCCGCCATTACCTCTATTTATTTCGATAATCAAGAGTTAGAGTTGTACCTCGGTCGATTGGAAAAGACCGAAGGTGCAGAAGCTATCCGAATGCGTTGGTATGGTGATGTAGACGGGACAAACGTGAGCTCGTCCTCATGCCATTCTTGCTTTTGCCTAATCAGCTTACAATTTAGATATTCGTTGAAAGAAAGACTCATCGAGAAGATTGGACAGGAGAAAAATCAGTAAAAGAACGTTTTGTCATTAAAGAAGATAAATTAAACGATTTCCTCGCTGGTACCTATACGATGGACGAAGAATTCGATCGTTTAGTTAAAATTGGCAAGAAAACTGAAAAAGAAGTTGAATCAATGAAACAATTATCAAACGAGATTCAATACGCCATCATAACTCGAAACCTTCGACCTGTCATGAGGACTTTTTATAATCGTACTGCTTTTCAATTACCTGGAAACGCTACTGTTCGGATTTCTTTAGATACGGAGTTGACAATGGTACGAGAAGATAATTTTGATGGTATAGATCGTACACATGGTAATTGGCGTCGAACGGATTTAAATCTAGATCATCCATTCCCAACTATAAAACCGAACGAAAAAGAATTATTCCCATATGGTGTTTTAGAAGTGAAGTTAGCTATAAAAGTAGGTGAAGAAGCGCCACAATGGATAAGAGATTTGATAGATTCACATTTAGTTGAAGCTGTACCTAAATTTTCAAAATTCATTCATGGTTGTGCAAGTTTATTACCTGAAAGAGTTGATTTGATACCTTTTTGGTTACCTCAAATGGATCAAGATATTCGAAAACCAGTTTCTTCACGATCAAAAGTTTTGATCGAAAGACCTCATTCTATTGGACATTCTTATAATTCTTCTTCAAACACGATCTCGAATACGATTTCACCTTCACCTTCACCACATTTACAATCTCAATCAGGATCACAAAATACTTATCATGAACCTGTTTCAGAAGGAGAAGAAGATGATGAATATTTAATCCATTCGGCTAAAAATGAAGATCAACATTTACGACTTCCACCTGATGCTGCTGCTCAAGCCAGAGCAGCGAGAGATTTTAGGGAACAGAAATTGAGGGATGAAGCACATGCTCAAGTTGAAGCTGTTCAAGTTGGATCATCATCTTTTTCGAAGAAATCATTAGGAAATGGAGGGGGTTATGCTAAAGGGTTGAGGATCGATCCTTTAGCTGCTAGTGATAAGTTCGATAGGGATGTTTCTTTATTGGATGAGAGGAGTTTGAAAAAGTTGAATGAAGCTGCTGAGAGACAAGAAGGACATGTGGTAGAAAGGGAAGGAGAGGGAGAGGGAGAAGGAGAAGGAGAAGACGAAGTGGATGAAGAAGATGATGAAGATGGTAATAGAGTGATTTATGTGGATAATTTCAGAGCTCCACAAGGAAAGAAAATAGCTGTTCCGATAAGGATTGAACCGAAAGTCGTTTTTGCCGCCGAGAGGACGTTTTTAAAGGTCAGTTCTTAGATTTTCCTTCATCCTCATAACTCACAATCCTCTTCTCCACACAAGATCATACCTCAGCTCCCCACCCCCCCCCCCCTATCGTAGCTCCTTCCTCCCAACACGGATCGTAAGCAAAACAGAAGTGTACCACTGGTACAGTGAAAAAGTGATGGTTCTTTCGAAAGAATGACCTCGAAGAACCACGAGAAGGGTGGACCAACACACCAGAGATTGAATGATTCACGGGAAGGAGGGGGTGGGGTGGGGGGGAGGTGACGTACAGAGAAGAGAGAATCGTTCAAAGCTAACTTTTCAGTGGTCTCATTTCGCCATCCTACTCTCAGCAGTATCAATAACTTTATTAAATTTCATACCCCCAACAGACCTCATAGGAATCTTCTCAGCAACATGTTTCACTTTCACTTCTCTACTAGCTATCGTCTACAGTGGGGGAATGTACACATATAGGATTATAAAAATAAGAAAGAGAGAAGCAGTGGATTATCATGATAAATGGGGACCTACGATTTTATGTTTAGCTTTGGTTGGAAGTATTTTAGTTAATTTGATTTTAAGGTTGAAGGAATTGTAGTGGAGGGTTTTTTTTATTCTTCTCATTTCTACTGTATATCATAACTTTTCCTCTCTTCTCTTCCCTTTAACTTCGTTCAACCCTTTGTGTGTTTTTCTTTCTTGTTTCAATCGGTTCATTCTACTTTCCCTTTTATTTTATCTCAATTCATCGACTACTCCACCTTGGTACCTTTGTCATTCAAAGTGTAACCCATATTGTTCATGCAAATTGGACAACACCTTCCTCCACATACCTATACCACTCACTCACTCACTCACTGGGCACGAAAACACGGACAAAAGTACAGTTCAGCAAATCGTCTTGAAAACACGGATAAAAGTGAAGATTAGCAAATTGTCAATTGGTCAACTTTGAACTTGTTATCATGGTAATATTTTCATAGCATACAAATCATGCATATGCATAATCATAATCACAATCGCTTGATGATTTCTTCTGTGACTTCCGTAGTGGTGGCTTTCCCACCCAAATCAGGGGTGAGGACTTTACCTTGAAGTAGTACGGAATCTACCGCTGTGTTGATCTTCGCTGCGGGGGTGGTGTACCCCATCGAGGCTAGTAAGAGTGATGCGGAGCTGATGTTAGTGATAACCAATTCGGGTTTTGGAGATGTCCAGATCTGGGGAGTTTAATGTGTTTGAGAAGGAGAAAGGTACGATTTGTCACGGGATGAAGAAGTATAGGTTAGATAGATAGATAACATGGAATAAGAAGATGGCATTGAAATAAGAAGATGACATGAGAATAAAAAGATAACATGAGAACAGCAAGATAAGACAGGAAAGAGATGATGATTATCAGAACTTACCGGATAGAAGCGATAGGATTAGCCATACCCTTTCCTTCGATATCTGGAGCGGACCCGTGTACGCTGATAGTCAGTCCTACTTCGTGTCAATCGGTTGCAAGTCAGGAGAGTAATCCTGTGTGAGAGAAGGCATGGAACTTGTCATTCTTATCACCTGGGAGCGATGGAGTGGATTCTTCAGTGGGATAGGGTCATCGGAGACTCAGGTCCGTGGTAAGAATGTAACGTCATAATTTCGGCGAAAGAGGAGGTAGACAGTATCAGATGGGTAGTCAACTCACGGTTCTCCCATGACGAAATCATCACCAGCATTGATAGAAGGTACTAAACCCAAAGATCCTACCAACGCAGCAGCTCCATCCCTACGAATCAGCCATAACTCAAACGTACCAAATAGACATACGAAATTATATCTCCATAAAGATTCGGAGCAACAACCACATCAAAAATTCTATCAAATTAACAACCTTCCCTCCAAAAAACACAAAAAGTACTCACTCGGGCTCTCTGAACATTCTATAAACCATAGAATCAACTAATTGTTCTTCCATCAAAACCCCTTTAAACCTCTCATCCATCTCTTTAACCTTTCTAACAGTTTCACGAAACAATCCATCCGTAACACTTAAAACATTACTTTTATGAACTATAGTAACTTTTGAAGGTCCTTCCCACCAACCTTCCCAATTCTTCACTTTACGTTCTTCAGCTCTACGTAAAGCTATTTCAAAAGCCATTTTCCCAATTCTAGAACTTGCACGTTCACTGATTTGTCTAGTTGCGAATGATACTTTACCTTGAGGTGAATCATGTATTTCTTCTTTTTTGATATATAAACATTCTGTATTTTCACGTACTATGACCATGTTTATCTTAGGACCTGTCAATCCTGAGACTGAAGATACTGGTCGAACATTTGCGTAAAGGTCTAAATGTTTACGTAGAGCTACTATGGGAGATGAATATCCTTGAACTTTATGAGATGGAGAAGAGACGGAACCGAACATTGCACCGTCACATTCTTCTTTGAGTACTCTGGTTGTTAGCAGAGAAGATTGTAAAGGTATTTCTTTGCTTTACGAGTCATCAAGTGAAGTGTATAGTAAGGAGAAGTTATATAGTGTCATGAAAATGGGTTAGGGAAGCTTTTTAGATGGACATTTGAAGTGGGTAAGCTGGAAGTATGTAGGGATGGTGGAATGCGAGGATAGCAACTCACCGTATGGTTTCCTCCGGTAAAGCCTTTCCATTCTTGTTAAACTCTTCCCATCCCGCTAGAAGGGGTATGAATTCTGGTCTGGGAATTGAAGAACCGAGAGCTTCTAAAACTCTTTGAGCGCACTATTGTTTCAGAATTCTTCATTGCATTATTATTCATCACCCGACAGGATAAAGTTGATATTTTATCCCGAAGGGTAGACTCACAGGGATGACCTCTTTCCCAATCCCATCTGCTGGGATCATACCCAATTTCAAGCTGGATCGTATGGCAGCCGCTGCCATCTTGCTACTCTTGTCTTTTGCGGGTACTAAGTGTAAGTAAAGTACTCGTACTCGTACTCGAGACAGCTATCAGCAATTGACAGTCAGAAGACAAATGTCAAAAAGTCAACAGTCAGTTGAAAAGTTGAGAAGGGAACTTTTTTTCGGTCCATTCGGATCCGAATTCCGAACCAACAAACCAACCAAAACTCTGACCACTTGTTTAACTATTCTTCCACTCTATACCTCACTCAAGCTTTGTTATCATCAGTACTACTACTCTGACATAGTGGGTGAAGAGTCAACTCAAAATGACAGTAGAACCTCCTCTTCAAACCGAACCTCCCATTCGAAATTCTCTCCTGAAAAACCTTACCACCCAAACCACACTCCTCACTCAACTTTTCACCCAATTGGGAACATCCACTCCACAAACAGCAACCGTTCAAAACATTCATGCTCAATTATGTTCATCGACCGATGATCTAGCTAGGTTGACGAGAGATTTGGAGAAACATCAACAGGTGTGGAATTCCGTTCTGATAGCTCAAGAACGTGTGGAGGGATTGGAGAAAAAAGTAAGGGAGATATGTAAGGAGTTGGAAAAGGGCAGTAGGGAATTAGATGAAATGGTTTGGAGTGCAAAGGTTAACGTGGAGAATATAAAGATGAGTGAGAAGAGTGAGTGTGCTACTTTCTTTTTTTCATTGAAACCCCTTCTCCATGATCCTGTACGTTCTTATCACCTCTTTGACATTTCCACCAAATAAGAGATGCCCCTCACCATGAGGGAAGATGAAATATTCGTACACATATTGTGAAGGATATGAAATATGTCGTTTCATGTTTTGTCAGAGAACACTGGTAAATTGACGAATAGACCCTTTAAACATTCCAGACCTTCTAGCACACGCACAAGCATTATCGAAAACTTCTAGCGCACCAATATCATCTTTACTCACACCTTCCGATAAAGCTCAATATCCTCCTTGGCCAACAGAAGCAGCAATGAGAATGGGGTTGTTATTCCAATTACAAGGAAGTATGACTCAAGGTCAAACTGGAGAAATCACAGAGGGTGAGTCGTCTTCCCTTCCATCTCTTCCTCCCTCAATCAACTTAATATCACTCATACCAGTCTCTATCATTCCTAATGATAATCCCTCTCTGCTCTTTCTTGCGGGACTTTATACTTCTCTCAGAGTCGATTCCATCACATTCAACGTGTAGTCATGTGGTGATCATTGAGGAGATAGGGTGTGAGGGAATAAGGCGAGGGTGAAGATATCAGTATTTAGGAATGTCATGCTGATGATCAGAAATCCCAACACAAAGTATGGAAATTGAACAACCTACTTTACCTCAAGAAGAAGGAAGGAGTTATGATCCTGATGCTGTTTACAATCTCGATTTGGATTCTGATTCTGATTAAACCATATCATTCTCCATCCTACTCTCGACATATCCTCTCAACCATCATCTACCTAAACCATCGTGGACAAATAAGCGTTATTCGTCAACCGGTCAACTGGACGTCCGATCGTACAATATGCTGTAGTCCCACTTGATCGCTACTGTCTCTTCACCAAGTGGTACCGGTTCGACCTTGGACTCTCGATACTCTTACCACGCCCAGCGTCGCGAAAACCCACAAGCAGGACTGTTTATTCCTTCGAAACATACGCGGACTACATATCTACACGGCTTATCGCTTCGACAGTATTCAGCATCACTACATATCTTCCCCCCTCTATCTCTAGTGAAACAACTCAGCGTCTTTCGGTCTGACAAAGGTATCTATCGTGCATCGTATGTAACTCAGGAATGATCAATTGTAGCAACCATGATGCATGCAATGTCTCAAGAGATCCAATCTCTTTCTATCTAAGAAATATCATTTACCCCCCTCCCTTTCCCCACCACAGCACAAGATCCCGCATGGCCCAAACGTTCGGATGAAATTACAACCGAGACTGACGTTGATATATACGATTCTGGACAACCAATACCAACCTCTGATGAATATGTAACATAGACCACAAATCCTTCTTCCTCACTTCTATCGTCTTTACCGGAATTTCCCCTTTTCGGTCCTTCACTTTTTCCCCCTGCCAACACTCTATCTCCACTCCTCGATCTGACTTTCCAATCTTGTGGTGTAGAGGTCGAAATGACCACAGTCCAAAGTTATGATGTCTAAAATATCACACTGCCATCCCCATATATCCATCTTCTTCTTCCTTCGCACTGAAGACATCCCCCTCACTTGATTTCAAATGTCTATCATCAAAACTTCCTCTAACAGGTGATAATCCACCTGATAAAGGAACAGACCTTCTCCTAACTGAAGTACTATCAAAACCTAAAGAACTTCTCGCACTGGGTGATAAATGTTTTTGAGGAGATTGTGATCTTTCAATCTCCATCATGGAACTTGACATTCTTTGTAAATCCATTGAATTCCTAGACATTCTATCTATCTCCGCTGAAGCTAGATTAAAAGTATCTATCGCCGATGGTGAAGTATAAGAAATTTGAGATAAAGGAGTTTCCACCGGTCTTAATCCATCTGTTGTGATAGGTGTTTGTTCTTCTTTTGAAAAAGGTGGTGGGACTGTAGGTTGTGAAAGATGGAATGAATCGTTTGTTGTATGATTATCATTTTCTAAAGGATTTGATTGATTGTGATATGTGGGAGAAGTCTGAGAATTGAAATTTGGATTTGAAGGTGAAGGTGGATAAGAAAATGGATTTCTTTCTGATCCTGAAAATAAAGGAGATCTAGGTGGATAATCACGTTGAGGTGAAGAAAGATTTGCAGGTTGATATGAACCTCTTGGAGAATCACCACTAAAAGTACGTTTTAAAACCGTCCCTATTATCGTATTTGTATTTGTGTTTGAATCGATTTTCGTTTTCGTTTTCGTTTCAGGTCGGTTTTTATCTCTACGTCTTTTTAATCCTAATTGTCTTTTTAAATCTCCTTTTATCCAAGCTTCTCTTACTATATCTTTATCTAATGGATAATAAGATTGTCGGATTGATCTGATTAACCATCTAGGACCAACAGCAACGAAAACTGTGAATATAACCGTTGCCCAAAATGTAAATGTCGAATAAACTATTTCGACAGTTCCAGCGAATGGAATATCTGTTATGACGCTATAAATGGGTAAAAAGATATAAAGAAGTAATGTTGATCCTATATAAACGATAAACATTATGATGGTCCAATATCTTGTATTTATACCAACGTACATGTTGGCAGCTAAAACACCACAAGCTGATATCGTCGCACCTAAACTAGATAGAGATAAAGTATCACGACCAGAAGAAGAATATGAAATACCGGTATAAGTTACGAGATAAGGTAAAAAGAAAATGACGGCTGATTGATATAATCCGTCCAACATATAAAGCCAAAATCGAGTTCGAGTATATTCTAAACTTTGAATACCACGTTTGTAAAGTTGAGGAAAAGCTAATGATGCGATGGCGTTTGTATCTTGATCAAAAGCTCCCATGATACCTACGGGAAGAGAAGTGAAGACTGTGTTGTAGAGTAAAAGAATGGTGTAATCGAATACGTAGGTACCGTCGAATCCGCAGAAGAGTTGATACCAGAACATTGCCAGAGTCCAGATGATGTTTTTGTAGAAGAAGCTGTGTGTCAGTGGTTCGTCGTAATGATCTTTGATCATGATCCGAGGATCACCCCGACCTCCTATGGACATGAAAACGATCTGAGCGTTTGGAATGGATAAGAGCATAAGCGTAAAGGTATAGGAGAGATAGCAGGAGTACAAGAATGTGATCATCGGCGTGACAACGAGTCTGAGCTCATGAGAATGCCAATTGAAGATCAGAAGGGGGTTGGGGGAAGAGGGGGATGGCAGAGGAGAGAAGGGAAGAGGAGATGGGGAGAGAGGGAAGAGAAGAGAGGGGAGCAGGATAGAGGTAGAGGAAGAATCAAGCCAAAACTCACTTCGCGTGCATATCGGCAATCCGAACATAAGACCATCTCCCATGAACCAACAATAATTTAGTTAAAAACCTAAATTGACCAAAAGCGTAATCCGCAGACATTGCAGCTTGAGAACCTTCCAAACCGAATAATCCAACACCTATATTAGCTTCTTGAATCATAGCGACATCATTCGCACCATCTCCAATTGATAAAGTCATAGCTTTACAACCTTCTTTTACCAATCTTACAGTTAAAGCTTTTTGACTAGGTGAAACTCTACAACAAATAACAGCAGCACATTGTTTACAAAGTTCTAAGAAAAGTTTCTTTAAACTTTCATGTAAAGCGAATCTGAGAGAATCACCATCGATAACAACTGCGAAATTTCCTGTTAAATCCATTTTTTGTCGATTTCGATTTTTGGAAATATGAGAAGGGTTTGCGGATAAAGGTGGTATCATTGAAGCTATTTTATTTAAACCAGCTTCGATTTGCATCCTTGCACCAGGTTCAGAATCCGCTGAAATGATCATGACTTCCATATCGTTCGTTAAGAGGTTACAAGAATAACCAATTTCGATTGCGGTTTGTAATTTATCACCTGTTAAGATCCAAAGTTTTATACCTGCTTGATGAAGTGTCGCAATAGCATCAGGTACACCTTCTTGTAATTTATCTTCTAATGCTGTCGCTCCTAATATAGTGAGAGAATGTTCGATTAATTCACATGCTTTATCGATTTCAGAATCACGATCTTCTACTGATGCACATGCTGTATCGTACGTTTCCGCCCATTCGTTGAATTCGTTTTCGTCCAAATATCGTTGTGCTACTAATAAAGTTCTTAATCCACCATTGGCGAAGGTCTCTAAATCTCGGAGAGTTTCGCTTTTCAATCTTTCATCATGATCTGCAGCAAGTCGTTGGAATATAACACTATCGGCTCCTTTGGTGAAGAGAACAATACGATTTTGAGGATCTCGCACAATGACACTCATCCGTTTTCGACTACTATTGAATTCTAATACTCTTAAAGGTGTCCATTTTTCAATATGACCAAGAACTTCGATATCGATTCGATTAGGATTACGATTGACAAAAGGGAAACCGACATCTCTGGCTGCTCCCACTAGAGCAGCTTCATCGGGTGATTCAGCTTTGTAATCGATTATGGTGGGTTTATCAGGATCAGGAGCGTCGGATAATACCGTGTGACATATAGCCAAAGCGCGCCAAAAAGCAATGAGATGAGGTCGAAGTGGATCAGAAGGATTTGAAAGACTGGATGCCATATCGGGGGAGATTAAAGTTAATTTGTCTTCACGAAGATATCGATTATGTATCGAGCTTTTCATTATGCGTACCATTTTTTCTTTCGCAGCGGTCAACATTGGTTCTTGATCTTCCATAGCTTCGGTGATATTCTCTCCGGTACGTTTTGCAGCACCTAACATGGCTTCCGTCATACCTTCTCCAAACGTGATACCTCGTATAGAACATTTCTTGAATTCCATAATGTTTTGAGTGAGAGTTCCGGTCTTATCCGAGAAAACGTATTCGATCTGTCCCAAGTCATCTGAGATATTCCATGTTTTAGGAACGCAGGGAGTATCGTATGCTGCGTAATACATGTCGACATCTTGATAAATGAAATAAGCTTGAATGGTCTTGACGACTTCGATGGTGATGTATAGAGAAATGGGAACGATATTTTGAAAGACTATGAGACACGAGCTGAGATCAGATGAAGTTTTCTTCACACGTTGACTTACAAAAAGATGACAAGTGCGTCCAAGTAGATATTGTCAGAAGGTTCAGCACCGATTTCATAGTATTTAGCTGAGCTTTGATCGAAGGAGGCGTAGTAACCGCCTGAACATTAGCTGAAATTCGATTTCCTGACGGTTCGCTAGCTGACGACTCACGTAACAGAGCAGTGACCAAACAAAGAAGCATTAAGACGACAAAGTTCATGACGACGTTGCTGGGAGTTAGTCATCACCGTGTAGATTCATCACTGTAGCTTACAAATCTGAGCGTCAGCTTCAGTCAGATCTGGAGGAGGAAGGCAGCTCACTTGTTTCTTTCTCGATTTTACTCCGTTTGGAAGGTGTCTCTCCACCATTCAACATAATCTTCGTGTCCGCTCCTGTAAAAATAACCATCCCAATGATCCATTTCGTATTTCTCAAAGAACATCCTCTCAATAACATTTCATTAATAGTTACCGCCTCACTCCTCACTCCTCCTTCTTTTCCTTCGTTGACAGGAGTATATCGAAGAACGCCATTGTAATTGTATAAATTGGCATGAGGAGGTTCACTCTCAATGATAAATCTAGCATGTTCTAAATCTTCTTCGGAGTTGATCCTCGCCGTGGCTTTCAAAGCTTTACGTACTTTCAGATTCGTTTCTCCGTCAAGATTTTTAGTTTCGACGAAACATAAATCATCAGGATTTGAAGTTGATAAAACGATTATATCCGCTGGAACTTGTTCGTTATCCCTCAATAAAACTAAATCGCCAACTTCTAGTTTTTTCCATAATGTTCTTTCCCATTGTGCTGAACCTGATCCTGGGAAAGACCAATCGATCACTCCTCCACTTCTCCTTGACATCATACTGGGTACGGATTGAGTTTTTATCAATCTTCCTAAGGAATAATCTGGAGGGTCGGTCATATTTGATGAAAGTGATATCTGCTTATCAGCAATGAAACATGTAAATAAAATGTTTGATCATGGAAAGTGGTTGAGGAAAACTTACAGAAGGTGTTATATTATCCAACGGTATTGTTCCTTTATCCATCACGGTGACATTTGATAATTCTTCTTCTTCATCAATATTCTTGATTTGATCCATTATTATCTGTTGACCAGCTTTAGCCTCTGTATCTCTTAATTTCCTTACACCTTTACTTGCTTTTCCAGGTGCAGTCCCGATACCTAATATTCTTTCCAAAAACGATCTAGGATCTCTAGGTTGATTGACATTCCTCCATCCTCCGAGTTTTGTAGTAGCTGAATTATTCACTTCATCATCTAATCTAGACCTACGCCAATCTTCTATCCCATCTTTGATAGCTGTGATACTCAAAATGAAAATCAAAGGTAACATTCCTATTTGCGCATTGGGAGCTCCAAAGATGGAGAATAATTGTAAAATGACCAAAGTGAGGAAATAGATATTGGCAACTCTTCGAAATTGTTCAAATAAATTTTTAGGAAGAAAAGTGACAATTGTATATTTCGAAGTCCTAACTTTATTTCTAACATAACGAATTATAGGATCTCCTATAGAATTGACTAAATGTTGTGGAAGTGGTAAATTGACATAAACCGTTCTTCTTTGTGGTATTTTATGTTTTCTTTCTTTTAAAGAATTGATAACATTCGTTTTGGTATGATTTGATTCTTCTTTTATAGGATTTAATGGTGTGGTAGAAGTACTAGTTCCGAAATCGTTAATTGTTGAGGACCTTTCTTTTGAACTTTTCCCACTGACAGAACGAGTTGATGGGATTTCAGAAACGGGTCGTTTTTTACTTCCCATAGTAGAAGCTTTTCTTTTGATTCCAGAAAATAATCTTCTTTTCCTTTTTCTTTGATCTGCCATAGCTTCGGAACGTATACTCTCAGCTAAGACAGAATGGGCCGTACGAACTGTTCGAAGACGTAAAGCTGGATCGATGGAAGAGGGGTCGAAAACATCTTGTTCTTCTTCCGCATCTAGTAACTCTCTGAGATTACTGGTAGATGATGAAGGTTCGAATTGACTTGAAGGTGGGTAAGAGGTTGTGGTAGTCATGATGCTTCTTTGTGATGGAGGACGTGGGTTGTCTATAGAGGTCAATCACCATCAACCAGTATCACCCATTATTCGAAGCAATACCAACACAACAAGCTATCTGGTTCTGAAGATGATTTCTGGGAAATGACAAGATGAAAAGATGAAAAACGAACCTATCATCTTTCCCACCTGACTGAGATTGATGGCTTTCCCCCTCTCGTTTTCCCCTCAATACGCCGTACGCCGAACACTGACCGAGTCTGTCGTCAAGTAACCGCAACCGCGTCCTGATGAGTCGTGATCCTTCGTTCCTTCGTATCGCGTTTTGTTTCTGAGGCTTGAGCCACTAGTGACTAGTCACTGGCGTATAAAGTTGGTTTTTTTCAAATGATCCGAAATGAAGATTGAGATTGTGAAACAGTCTGAAAGGTCGTGATGACTCGTAGTGACAAAGTCAGATGTTCTTAATGAGAGTAGGGGCGCATGATGTATTTTCCTTTCTGGTTTCGTTTTTCTATTTCGTAAAATGGTTTTTCTTCCTTACATATAATCGTGCCAAGCAAAACTTGGAATAAGGATGATAGGAGCAAGAGGGTTATGAGGTGTCAAGGGGAAGGAAAGAGAAAAGGTGAATAAAAAAGAAAGAGATGGTAATTTGTCAGGGATGATTTGGTGAAAGGTTGGACGCGAGAGATCCTTTGATCTTTTTCCTTGAGCCCGACGGTCCGGCGGCAAATTCGATACCTGTATGTATGTATCGAATGGGATGTTATATGAGCAGTTGACAGTTGACAGTTGACAGATGAGATGGATGATGTATGATTGTAGAGATGTGTATCCGAATATCCGAAATGCTATGCTATTCTACATTCGGGGTGCCGGTGCGTTTTACTTTGTACGGGCCGAGGAGTCAAAGTCACGCTCATGGCCGAAATTCAATCTTGAATCGGCCTTCACTCGGGCACAAAAGGAGACATGGGATGTGTACAATTTGCCAAGTCGGCCAAGCAATGACAAAGCATAGACTGTATGACTGTATAACTACTGCATGGTGCATGGTGCATGAGGAACAGTGATGAGACCTGAAAATGTAGATGTTATGCATTCATGTTCCATACACCTCTGCAACAGAGGTCATATCTACTACTTCTTTTTCCTTCTCTTCAACCCACAAAGATCTTGTGATAGGTCGAATTGGCATTTTATGATCCTCGACACCATCCTTTATCTTCTCCATTTCTATCTCCTTCTCTATCTCCATCGTTGGAGGTCGTACTCGAACTTCAACTTGAGCTTGAGCTTGGGATTTTAGACTCTCGAGATATTTCAAAAAATACTTTCCTCCCTTCCATCCTTTTCTCTCCATATCAATCATATCAACTACCTTACCCTGTTTGATATCAACCAAAATCCTTGCTCCCAAAACACCTTTATCATATCTTTTCCCATTCTCCAACTTTCCCGCTTCACGCCATGACCTTTCTACCTCGTCCGCCTCTGCATACCTTTCCTCAAGGGCGAGACTAATCATGAGTCTTCCCACCGTTCCTGATTTGATCACGGTATTCAAAGTAGCTTTGAAAATCGCCAAAGCGGATTCAAGGTGTCCGGTATCGAGCAAAAGACGGATGAGTAGTGAAATACTTCGTTGGCCTGGTCGAATGTTGCGGGATAACATTTCTTTGTAGAGGATGATAGCCCTTCCGAGACGTTTTTGTCTATCTAGAGGATCATACAAATCACGATGTACGATGATTGAGAATAAACAGTGTTCGTATATCTTTTCAACATCACCAGAACATAAACGTAAGACTTGCAATAAATTTTGTTGACGTGACGGTCGACTGGATTGAGAAAGTTTTCGAGCGATATTTTCTGCGGCTGTAAGGGGTAAAGGTTTATCTTGTAAAATTCTTAATGATAGGTTGAGAGCTAAGACAGTGTCTTCCATATTCTTCGTAGATGTCAAACCTTTTACCAGAGCTTCTACCAAGGGATTGACGTCTTCTTTGGTCCAGAGATAATCTTTTAGATGACGGTCAAGTAAAATAGCTCGAGAAGGGGAAGTGGATCCGGCAATGATGCGGATTATGAAGAGAGCTTCACGAGAAGAGATCTTCATTCCGTCCGCTTGAAGATCGGCATAGAGTCGAGAGGCGAAATGCAGATGTGGACGAGGAGGACTTAAAGCGTGATGAAAGAGAGATTTCCAAAGATATACATTAGATTTGGTCCATTGGAAAGGAGGATTGGATATTCTGGCTTGAGAGTAGAGACGTCGACCGAGAATGTAAGCTTCGGATGAGGGAAGAGATGATATACATGTACGGAGAGCTTGGAAGATTAGATGAGGTTCGAGATGTTCCAATTGATGACTTTCATGAAGAAGTTGGAGAAAAGGAAGAAAGTGGTTTCTCAGTGTTGGTGATGAAGAAAGTTGCAGTCGTTGGGAAGAAGAGAAAATGCTGTGGATGAGAATATAGCATTCTGCCTTTTGTCCAAGAAGAAAAGAAAGGGAAGATAGTACATTCGGTAAGTCTTCTTGAACACTGTTGATAGTCATAGATTTCACTACCTTCAATGTTCGGCGCATGACAGATGGAATGGAGTTACGATCGACAGTAGCTAATTTCTCCTGTGGACTTCGATTTCGACTGATGGCTTGTTCCAGACATGTTCGTATTCCGGACATTGATGTAGAAAGGGCATTGAGGTTGTCCACGAGCTTCCGAAGGCTGTCCGAGTCAGATTGATCGAGGAATCTTTCCATGACCCCCAGAACTGACCTCTCCTCAATTTCGATATTTTTTGTCCAACATTGTGAGACAATCTGTAGTGATTGATCCACAGGAAGATATTTGATTATACGCATGATTATCTGTTCACTTCCTTCCGCTCCGTCTCTTTGGATTATTTCCAAAACCTCATTCCCTACCTCATCTCGTTTATCCGGTGAACTCTGCGCCCATCGAGCTTGTACTTCCAACCAACCTAATCTCACCTCTTCAGGAACCGACCTTAAATTCATATCGAGATCTTTGATAGTGTTCCATAAATTTCTTTCATATCCCAAATCTTTGGAGATCTTTGGAGAAGGAGGAGTGAGAATCACTGTCAAAGCAACATGAAGTGTATTCATCAAATTATCTCTCCCAAGATCAGACAATTGCATACCGCATTTCCCAGCGAAATTGATCAAACGTCTACTTCGATTTTGTCGTCTTTGGAGATCAGGTTCGGTGAGTTGGTGAGAGAGGAGAGAACGGTATGTATGATCAGGTATGTATCGTCGGAGAGACGGATCAAGAGCGAGGAATGTGAGCCAAGAATCGTTGGGTGAGAATTGAAGAGATTGAGAGAGAGCTTCGCAGTGTCGTTGGAAGGGTAGAGAATCGGGAGAGTAGGGTAACTTGGGTGGGAGAGGAAGACGTAGAGGCTGTATAGGGGGATCTGAGGGTTTCTTCTCAGGAGAATTCCTTCCTGTGGTTTCTCTCGTAGCTGCTCGTCTTGGCGGTTTTGTTGCTCCTTCTTTGTCAAGATTGTTGGGATGAGTGAGGATACGATCGGGGTTGGGAGTGAAGAATGAGTCTTTCTCGCGATTTCTGTGACAACATTGACAAGAGAACCAACGGGAACATGAGGGACCTATGGGTATGACGGGAGGGAGTAGGAGAGGAGTCGAGGTTGGTCGAGTGATGAGTCGTGAGAAAGCCCGAAGGCTACGCATTTCTCATCTATAGTTTTGGCATGTACTGACTGTTAGTTCAGCAATCTAATCTGGGATTCAGACTGACCAATGTGCTTTGTTTGCCCTCATGACTGTCTATCTATTCAAGAGACGTCAACTCAGCCAACTTTTTCAACTGTGAATCCCACTCAATGGCGAAGCGGCGATGACCGCTTTCCTTGTCTGCGCTCGGACCCCCACCCTTCACCACCGGCAACCAGTTTCCTTCTTCTCTTCTTCTCCTCCTCTCTTCTCTTCTACTCACTACTGGAACACATTACACCTTCGTCTAACTTTGTCACAGTCGTAACAGTAGAATAGAAAAGAATAATACGTACTGTACTAATATCGTGAGCCTATTTTCGACAGGTTCCTCAGAGCTGACAGCTGACTTGGGAGACACCATGCTCACTCCCCGACCTGACCGTCGGCGTCTTCTCGCCACTCCAGTCCTCATGTCCCCGGGATTCATCATCCCTCCTTACCCTGATACTCAAGATATGAATGATCCATCCAGATTCGAAGAGATCATAACTACTCCTTCTCCTTCACTTGACGTTCGTTCAGTGATTTCTCACAATTCTTCTCATCAAGATATCAATAACAACTCGTACAAATACCTTCCTCATGAGACTCAAGGGAATCCAGAGATGGGAAAGCAAAGCCAATTTGTAGTCCGTTCTACTTCTCATCTCAATAGATTCAAACCGATTCAAGAACATCTTCAAGTCCAACCGTACACAAGAAACAATACATATGATCATCATACTGATATCGGTCTGACCACTCATCGTGATAACATTTCTCATCACCTTCATCCTGGACAGGTAATCCGTCATAGCAAACTCAATCAAGTTTACATTCCTAATGATTCTCCCCGCAGTGCTCGAGGTCATCATCACTCTGTCGAGAACCCGCCCTCCACAAATTCGACTTCGATTAAAGCACAGGTTCACCGTGACACGCAACAAAATAGGACCAACAAGCGCTCATTGGTACAGCCCTCTAGCATCGAGTCCCCTGCAGGGAGGCAAATCCTGAAGAAAGATAGACTCGTGGGTCACCGTGAAGATACTCCTAAGCCTAAAGTCGACTCGCATATCCACATTGAAACGTTTGACGATGAGAGCAAACAACCCACGCAAAAGCCTGGTTCATCTCCTGGTCCACTTGGCACTGATCGAGTGACTCGTCGTCGTGTACCTACCACTTACGTCGGAGATTTCGAAGAAGAGTCGGAGGTGAGTATTTCCCTTTTGTATGATGATGCTGATTTATAGACCGACGTACCCAATGTGATCTTTCAGATGCCGAAGGCTTTTGAGAAGGCCATGTCTCTTCTGGTTGAGCTTGATGTTGAGGCTTTGTGGAATAAGGCCAGTGAGGATGTGGGGGGGAGGAGCGATGCAAATTTACAAAGTGTCCAAAGTGAGTCCATCTCTCAAGAAAGGGTGATGCTAAAGAGACAGACCTCCTGACCCGTCATGGAGAACTCTTTGATCGGATCGGGTCTTATTATAATGACACAACTCTAGGTATGTGACCAAGTTCATAGACTGTCTGTTTATATCCGATCTAACTGGCAGAGATGAATGCATTGAATGATATCAAGGACCAGGCATTGAAAGAGAGGGTAGCAAGGACCGACATGTACGCCGATGCTGGGGAACAATTGGCGGAGAAGTTGGTGGGGATTCAGAATGCTACTCGTCAAGTGCCGAGTAAACGCCGACGTGTAGATAGGGGAGTATCTCTAATGTCATTCAATAACGAGTGAGTGGTGGAACAAAGTGTGCTCTGTGTGTATATAATAAGATTCGTTCATGTCACTTTCCATGCAAACCATGTCTCTGTGTCATCAACTGGGAAGGCGGACATCGCCGCTCATTTTCCCTTTGACCGAAAAACGCGAACCTCTCTCTCAAGCGGACCCATAAGGCCCTTCTTCTCCTCTTCTTTACCATAACATCTATACAACTCTCATCATATTCGTCCAAGAAGCTTGAGAGTTCTCAAGAGAATCAACTAGTGGTGCGAAAGTCTCTCACTAGCAACTGTTCCATCGTCAAAGAAAGTATCCTCTACCACACTTCATGACTATCCCAACGACCGCGTGACTCGATGCCTCCTCTTCCTCCTCCTCTTTCACCTTCACTCCCATCCGGCTCACGTCCCCCTCCCACTGGTCCGAAAGCTTTTCGTGGAGCCAATGGAAATGGTACAGGTAACAACGCACAAAATGCTACTGCAGGACCATCGACAGTTCGTGTTCCAATATCCTTTGCCTTCCCTCGCCCTACCTCTCTTCCAACCAAACCCGCCCTTTCTAATCAAAAGCATCTTCCCATATTTGATAATCTCAATCATAAATCCTCGGAATCATCGAAAAAAACAAACGGATCATCGTCAAAAGATACTTCTTTTGAGGATGAGTCCAACGTACAAGTATCAAGAAGAAAATCTAAATCACCCATCAAACAAACTGAAAGTTTGAAGACGTTACATGATACTATTGGTACTCGTAAACCTATATCTATCGCATTACCATCAAAACCTAATTCACTTTTGAATGGAAAACTCAGAGCTAGACCCCCACATTTGGATCATTTCGATAGAGATGGACCTAGACAACCTTCACCACCCCCCGATAGACCTCCAACGCCCCCTCCTCCTAAGGGAAGATTACCACCACCACCACCTCTGCCTGATGAAGATGATCGTCCTCCTACACCACCACCTCCTGATTTGCTCCCTCCTCCACCTTCTTCACCTCCCATCTCACCAGGTAGTTCACCACCACCTCTCCCTCCATCAGCTGAACCTCCTGCTCCTCCTGCTTCACCGCCTACATCACTCTGGAAGTCATCTTCACTTCGTAATGAAATCAAGTCTAGCAAGTCTGACAGAAAAGAAGAAGTTGTTCCTCCGGCTTTCCATTTCCGTGATCTTCATTCACGACGGTCTCCATCTACCAGCAGCTCAAACTTGGATGTCAGTTCCAGAAGATCCTCTTCCCTCAAAAAACACCCATCCCCTCAACCTCCAGAACAGATGTACGAACCTCCCCCATCTGTGCGTCAACGATCAGGTTTAGGTAATTTCATCACTTTAGAAGGGAAGGGGAAAGAATCTGTTAAACGATACGATGGCGAGGGTTTGACACAAGTAGAAGATCCGCGCCTCAAGTTATCTGCAGATCAGAGACAAAGAGGTAGAGGGTACATGAAACATCGTGCCAACTTTCACGAGATTCGTTATGATGTGAGTCAAGAGTGTCATGTTCGTGGCTGACGACAGTGGGACGAACATTCCACAGGCTCCAAACCTCCCCCTCCACCTACCGCGGTTCTTATCACCGGTTTAAACCCCCTGACCACGGTCGATCAGATATCCAAATTCCTTCGAGTTCATGGGAGGATCAAGGATATGGAAGCGAAGATGGACACGAAATCGGGGATGCAGCTTGGTCTCTGCTGGGTTCAATTTTCCGGTCCGGTCCCGGGCAAGACAGGGTCAGCGCATGATGTGGCTAATAATGTCGTCAAGGTTTGTGATGGGCAACGTGTGGGATTGGTCGGAAATGAAAAGATCAAAGTGGTGTTAGATGGTAGGGGTTTGAGAACTCAACAAGCTGTGAAAGAGGAAATGGAAAGAAGATATGCTAAACCCAAACTTCCTCCTCCTCCTCCACCACCAACATTACCACCACCCCCATCTGCACCCCGTTCTCAACCCCCTCTCATACCTTCCACACCGGCCAGTGGTACTGCCACTCCAAGTTCGGAAGTACCTACAGCTCCTCTCAATTCATCTTATAGACCAAAACCTAATTTTGTCAATGGTTCAAATCGACGATTCACCCCAAACTTCCCTTCCATCCCCTCAGCCCCTCCTCCGCGAAATTATCCATCATTGAACCGATCTATTCCCATTCCATCTTTTGTTAACCTCCCTAGACCACCTGGACTTCCACCTCGGCCCATGCCAGTCAGTCAAATCCATAACTCTTTCATCGCTGCTCCTTTCGCCCCACGAGGCAGGGTGCAAGATATGCGCGATTCTTCTTCTCCTGCCCGACGACGTCGTTCTCGTTCCAGATCACACTCGTTCTGCTCGACATGTGATTCATACACCGACAGCGAGGATGATCGACCGATGTATCGTGTCCGTTCACGTTCTCCTGTCGGTAGGGGACGTGTCAAAGCCCCGCTGGGTCCGAGTAGAGATGACGAATTGAAAGCTGAACGAGTCACTCAAGCTGTGAAAGAGAATGGATTACCACATATCTTCCTGGATGCGAAACAATTGCCTTCGTCTTTAATAAGAGAAGAACATTTACGAGACCATTTCAGGACTTTCAAACCTACCCAAATCTTGTCGAGCTTTAAGGGATGGTATATCTTATTCGGAGATGACAAATCGGCTCATAGGGCGAAGTTTGTTTTGGATCAATCTGCCATTCAAGGGCATCGTATATCACCGATTGTTGAAACACCTGTATCAGCCAACAAACCTGATGGGCTTGATGAAGCTCATGTGGAGAAAGATTGGAGGTTTTTGACTATAACCAAAAAGAATCGACCCATTCCTGTCCGACCTCCCAGTCCAAAACGCAAGAGATCACCATCATTCTCCAGCGACTCTGATATATCCGAAGCTCCACCTGAACCTATTGTTCCCATCTCCACGACAACTCCATCCCTTCCAGACGAACCAACAGAGCCTATCGATAAAACTCCTGTCAAAGCGGGAACTAAAAGAACTTCCAAAGCAAAGTCCAAACCTGGTAAGAAAGCACGTATCGACTCACCCATCATCGAAGCAGAAACCATTGAACCTGAACCTGGTCTTACTCCTATAATCGAAGTGAAACCTAAAACGAAGAAACCAAAGAAAGTCATCACTGCCGCTGATAAACTTCTCGAATCAGGTGTTATACAAGATGAAGAAGATGTATATTGGTTAGGACAAGCATTATTACTTTCCAATGAAGAATCACCACCTATATTCCCAGAAGATTCAGAAGGAGTTGAAAATTTGAATGAACATCATCCTCTTTATCATATTTCTGGATCATGGCGAGCAGAAGGTTTTAAGAAAATACCACAAATCCAAAAATCTTCTTATTTACCACAAAGAAATAGAGCTGCGGTCTCAACAGAAGAAGCAGGTGGAGGTGGGATCAATACGATTACATCTGGAAGAACTGCAAGAGTTACAGGAAGACGTTTAGCACATGATATGGAATCACATAGGAAAACTTTATATGGGAATAATAATAATAATAACAACGATAAATCTGCAACTGCAGAATCAGATCTTTTCGCTTTTAATCAATTAAGAATTAGGAAAAAACAATTGAGGTTTGCAAGATCCGCTATTGAAGGTTATGGTTTATACGCCATGGAAACTATACAACCTGGTGAAATGGTTTGTGAATATGTTGGAGAGATCTGCAGATCTGCAGTTGCTGAGATTAGAGAACAAAGATATTTGAGACAAGGTATAGGGAGTAGTTATTTATTTAGGATCGACAATGATTTAGTTTGTGACGCTACTTTTAAAGGTAGTGTGAGTAGGTTGATTAATCATTCTTGTGATCCTAGTGCCAGTGCTAAGATTATTTCTATCAATGGTCAATCGAAAGTGAGTCCAAAGTTTCATTTCTACCACCTCTGAAAGTTTTTAACAATTTTCACTACTTTCCTCATTTTTCAATCATCCATCCCACCATTATTTTCAAACCTTCTCTTTGCTTATTCGATACTTTGTTCAAACTTTTCCAAATTTCATCTCTGACCCTCATCATACATTCTCACCTAGGATAGTTAACCACCCCACACTTCTCATCTCGGCTGATTTACCCCCACCGCACTTCATCTTTTCCCTCATCGTCATCTTCAGAAAGATTTCCCATCATTATCATTCCTCACTAGACGTCTCAGTATTAACAGATTTGATAGAAGAAAGGAAGGAAACTCTCATCCTAACATGCAGATTGTCATTTACGCCAAACGAACCCTTCATCCAGGTGAAGAAATACTATACGATTATAAATTCCCATTGGAATCCGACCCGGCTTTACGTGTACCATGTTTGTGCGGAGCTGCTACATGTCGTGGATGGCTCAATTAAACGTGCAAAAGTGCATTAGTATGAATATTGGGAACAACAAGATTATTCTTGATACGAATGAAATGTACAAGTACAGTAGAAAAGATTATGCATCATAGCATTTTTTCCCCTTAGATTGTTGTACATTCCTTTGAAATACTCCCAAGATATAACTTAGATTCCATTTTCACAGGTTTGCGACAAGTTGATAAAGTGTCAAATTAAAGATGACAAGATAACAAGATGATAAGATGACAAGACACGTATGGTACGAGACGTGATGACTTTCAGAGTTCGCCCGAAACCATTGATATCTTGAGTGGATCTATGTAGGTAGATAGTTGTCCGACTGTCCAAGTGACTGGGTAGATGGTTTATGTAGTAGATAACCAAGTGTGGTAATGTGAATAAACCTGAGAAGTATACTTCATTCAACACCCAACAACTCTTTCCTAGCTTCATCAACCACTCGGGTGATAGTAGCTTTATCACAAGGTTTAGTCAACCATAAATCCATTCCACTCTCCACCAACCCATGTTTCTTCTCTGCATCACTGGCCAGAGCAGTGACGGCGATAATCTTTGATCTTCCTCTTGAAGGTGAAGATTTCTCAAGAAGACGCATTTCAAGAGCGGCTGTATAACCGTCCATCTTTGGCATGTTGATATCCATCAAAACTGCATGTTAGAGGATCTGCGATACTGTTTTGGATCGAGATTCATTCGGGAAAATCTGTTATGGTAGACAAGTGACCGATGGTGGGTGGGTGGGTGTGGTATCATAGTAGAACATTTCGACGTGATGGGATCATCGTAGAATATCAAATGACATAGATGGGCGGAGAGTGGAGGACAAGAGGAGAGAGAGACATAAAAAGACGAAAGACTAACTAATGGAAGGAGAAGTAAAAGTCTTGAACAATTCTAAAGCTGCCAATCCATCTTCCGCTTCGACCACTTCGATCGCCTGATGATCAGTCTTCCGTCAGACTGTATGTTGCCGAAAGGAAATGACGGGTCATGTCTCGTTACATAACGTCTCTTCCCACAAAACAGGGTGCGATTCGTCTAGTCGACCCATCCACAACACACGAGCAAAGGAGAGAGGAAGGATGCCATTCGGGAGAGATTGAGATACAACACACAGGAAAAGATCAGGAAAGAAAGGTTGAGATGTAAAGAGATGAAGATATGGGCGACCCAGCCACAACACACGAGAAAAGGGGGGAGAGACAGGATGTGAATTGGGAGAGATTGACATACAGCACACAGGAAAAGATCAGGAATGAAAGGTTGAGATGTAAAGAGATGAAGATACGGTCGGAGAGAAAAGCATACCAATTTCGTAGATAAAATCTTTACTAAAATCTTCCTATTTATCCTATTATCTTCCACCACCAAAACTTTTATAACCTCCGGTTCGACTAAAGTTTCCGGTGAAGTTAAATCCGTTTCTTCACCTAAATGACTATGTTCAGTATCTGCAGTTTCCGTCGTTCCATTCGTCTCTGTAGTATCTTCTGTCCCTATTGTCGAAGGTGTACTAGTACTCGGAGTAGTAGGTCTACGTCTAGAAGAAAAGTAATCACCAAGTGAAAGATTCGCAACTGCTTCTTCTATAGTGATACCTTTAGGTTTCCAATTTAATCCTAAACCTTGCACTAAATCATGTACGAAACTACATTTAGGACTTGTAGATGAATCAGATGCGGAGGTAGCGAAATGAGCTCTTAATCTTTGAGTGATTGGACTAGGTGAAATAATATCAGAATCTAATGATGGGTTGGTACGATGTTCTACAGCTAGTCTTGAAGGTGTTGGAAGTAAAGTTTCACGTATGATTGATGGAGTGGCAGGTTTATGTAATCGACGTATATGTTTATGTAAAGATCTAGCTGCAGTAACGGCTGAAGGATGTGGTTCATGATCTGTTCCAACTAAGATGACAACGTCGGTTGTATGTATTTCAGATAATGTATCGGCGAACCCTGGTAATTCTTCTTTTCTACCGTCTACGATGACAAGATCGGCAGATGATAGGTCGGTTATGATACATCCAAGTTTTGTGTATTGTCGAAAGAGTGAAGCACCTACACGAGGTAAACCCCATGGACAAGAATCAGGAGTGTCGAATCCGACTAAAGCGACTTTACGACCGGTGAAAGGATGTTCCAGTTTGAAAGTCTGTTGAGTGGGATGAGGAGAGTTAGAAGGTGTAGAAGAGATCGAAGAATTGAATCGGGGTACAGGTACTTCTATCTGTACCATGGTACCTTTACCTGGACTGGAAGAAATTTCCATGTGGCCACCTAAAAGATCGATGATTCTCCAAGCGAGATGAACACTGAGACCCGAACCAGTGGCGAAAGAATCTTCTTTAGCCCATGGTTCACCTAACTTTTGACGAACGAATTCTTCATCCATCCCACGACCGGTGTCTACGATTTTGATACCGATGTTCTTGGTCGCTGACAGCTCTTCGTAGCCTTCTGGTGTTTCGCAATTGTTCACATAATCGACATAAATCTCCACACAGCCGGCTCCTTCGATGAATTTGTACGCGTTGGTAAGAAGTTTGCTAAGGGCACGACGAAGTGCTCCACCGGTATCCTCGGTGAGTTCATCACCAAGACCAAGAGGAATGATTTCGAATATTGTCTCCACGTTACTGGCCGGTTGCCCATTAGCCCGCCGTGCTCGTCGATCTTCGTCCGCAGCATCATGAATGACTTCTTCCATCATGACCTGCAATGATTTGATCGGTCCAGAGGGGGAATTGAGCAAGGTGGGGGAATCACCACGCACGGCGTCTTTCGCTTTGAGGTCAAGGAAGGACAGGATATTGTCGACAATGCCATGTAATGTTTTACCAGAAGTATCGATGGCGTCAAGGTATGGTAATAGATCTCGAATCTGTTGGATGCATACTGGTTTGCCAGTAGCTGCTGGAGTTTCCGCTAGATCATTCATCGATGCACGAAGCAATTGAGTGATGGCCAAAATTTGGTGCATGGGCGTTCGCAGTTCACTATCATCAGCATAGCCACGATATTTACTCATCGACACTCACTGAGCTTGGAGATTACTGTATGAGATTTGCGACTCTTCCATGTTCCTAATTGATCTCACTGCCAAGACACCACTGGTGAGACTCGACAACAACCATGCAAAGGGTACGGCTTTAGCGGTATGACCTAACATTGAAGGCGGTTTATTCCACGAAACGAAGGAAAGGAATTTGAGAGCACCGTTGTAAGTGGGCCAGCAGACCGCCAAGGTTATCTGGGCCTGATCCGGAACGAGAGCCATTACGCGGTGTGAGAGCTCGTCATCTTCTTCGTCGTCCCTGTAAAACCAGAATCGTCTCGACTTCAAAGAAGCCTTGATCACATCGGCAAACGTCCCCTCGACACCAGGTTGGTCTAGATGTAATTGTGCCGAACCCGATTGACCGAGCAGCTGTAAACCTCGGTCACTGCTTCGTGGAACGTGCATAATTATAGGATCAACATGTGCAGGCCATGGCTTTCCGTTGAGCCAATCACCGACCAGTTGTTCTTTCGTTTCACGTTTTTTTGGCAAAGGGTCGGATCCGGCACAACGAATGAAAAGTTGGAAATCGGCTGCGGAGAGTACGGCGACATGATCAGCCTCAAGAAGGTTCTTTAAAGTGTTGGCAGCATCAGCGTAAAGCTCCTTGTCGGATTGCTGCATTTTTCTTTTGGCTGCTTGGCTATCTTTGGGTCCGGTCTTGATAGCTGTATGGGACATGGGTTCTCCGCAAGGATTTCGGGGAAGTTCGAAGCCACGAGGAGCGATAATGCTTGAGCTTTTGTGGGATTTTTCTTTCCTTTTAGGTTTGGCATATTCCGGAACGACAGAACGGCGGAGATAATTTATTGATTCTTGGTACATCGAGCTCAACCTTTTGGCAGACATTTCAGATTGAAGTGTGATGAGTTGGTACATGAGCATATTGGCAAGATTGAGCAACATGTCCGATTCGCGTTGATCGAAATTGTCCCAAGGTTCCGGATCATGGATTGCAAGTGTTCCAATGTCGACAAATTGATTACGAAGATGATATCTCAGAGGAACGGCGGCGTAGAATCTGCATTGTTGTTTGACAACGAATGGGTTCTTGGCATGTCGCCAATCTTTTGAAACGTCTGCTATGACGTGTACCTCTTCTTTGGGACAAAGCAAAACGTGAGCGGAGAGTGTAGATCCTATAGCCGCTGCGGTGGGTGGTTCGTTTGGATCTGGTCCATAGGTAATCTCAGCATCGTCGTAGATGATTCGGACGAAAGAACCTTTGGTGTTAAACATTTTACCTGCCATATCGGCATATTTTGCCAATACTTGTTTGAGGGCGTCTCCCTCTTCTGTCAGCCCCAAATGACGTCTTTATGTCAGTCATTGATCTCATGGTCATTTCGAGGACTTACAAAGCCTTTCTCCTCCTGGCTTTGATGTATTTTCTCGGTGGAGGACCAGGAAGCCAACCCTCCTTCTCCCAGAATTGTCGCATCCGATATCTGTCCTCGGCTCCAGGACGGTCGACATCGGAATCTAGTAGACCAAGTGGAGGGAGATCATTGGGGCTAGTTTGGAGTGGGGCGATATTGTTGGTGTCTCGGATGGAAGGAGAGGCGTTTGAATCTTGCATAATGTAAGATATGGGAGCGTGAGCAGAGGCGTCAGGAGGTGGTACGGTGTCACCTATTCTCAGCATTTGGGTGGGAGCGTTGACGGGGGCATCGGGTGTCGGTACGGTGTCTCCTATTTTGCACATGACCGGGGCGTGTACGGGTCCATCGACGGGCGGAACGGTGTCTCCCACTTTACACATTGCGGGGGCTAACGCCTTACCTTCTGGCCCATTGACTAAATCCCCTATTTTACACATGACAGGTGAGTGTACAGGTCCTTCGAGGGGTGGTACGGTGTCTCCTATCTTGCACATTGCTGGGGCTAACGGCTTCCCCTCTGGACTTTCCACGGTATCTCCAACTTTACACATTACCGGTGCCAAAGCCTTTCCCTCTGGACCTTCCACAGTATCCCCAACTTTACACATGGTTGGAGCATGTACAGGTCCATCCAAAGCCGGTACCGTGTCCCCGACTTTACACATGGTTGGAGCATGTACTTCCCCTTCCAAAGCCGGTACCGTATCTCCAATTTTACACATCACCTCTTTTTTCTCATTTCCAACTTCGACATCCCCATCAAAAACTTTTCCCGTCTCATCACCTTTCTTATATATCGGAATAGAAGTCGATACTGGTATTGACACAGGAGGAGAAGTAGAACCAAGATCGTCAAAAGCATCAAGTGTGTCGTCTGTGTAAATCAATAAATTGGTTGGGCTTGCGTATGCCGAAGTAGGCCAAGGATGTGTTGATTCATTTTCGTTTTCATTATCTGTTGCATAACTAATCATAAGTTTTCAATTCCTTCCCTTAGGATTCCTTCTCCTTTGAATGGGAGGTATTGGGTGTATATTGTGTTTGTAGGATGAATGGTATGTTATTGTGTTTGTAGGATGAATGGTATGTATGTATGTATGTATGTTCCATGATGTTCTTTCCCTTTTTTTGATGGTGGGAAAATATGATTAATTCTGATGGTCGTCCTTGGAGGATGACAATATACAGGGTGTAGAGCAGAGTGATAGGGAGATGGAATGAAGTTCGTTTGAATAAATGTGTGTGGAGAGGTAAGAGGAACTTGGAGATGGTGAAAGATACTAAAGTAGTTAATATGTCACTCACTGACGAAGAGCATGTTCCCATTCTTGCTCTGTCCGAGGAGGATTTTCGTACCTCTTTATCACCGTCATTCCGTGTATGTATCTGACCGATGAGGGTATTGAAATGGAGAGGAACGATTGGAGTGTGTTGACTAGAAAAGCATAAGATGAACGAGAAGAGATGGATAGACAAGGATGTGAATGTGATAGAGTAACTTAGGTTGTGAGAGAGATTGATAATTTGCAAATCTATGCCAAAAGGGGGGGGGGGCAATGCATGAGTAAGTTAGTTAGTCCTCGGCTGTCGGATCTAACGGCGGTCATCGGTCTCGGCCACAACCACAACCTTTCTTAACCGGCAACACTACTACACTTCCTCACTTTCTCAATCCATGCATCCAATCTAACTCGCTCTACCTACAACCATCCCAGCGTAAATCACAAAAATAGGAATTGTAAATAACCGACAGATGGGCATGCAAAAATATACGCCATGGGGTATCGAATAAGACTTTCTCTTCTTTCCTTTCCAACATTTTCTTATTTCACCATCACTCAGTAACTGGATGAAAATCACGACCAAACCTAAACAGTCAGTCTGAGTTTTAGTAGTTTTGTGATATCTGACATACCTTGAGCAAACTATCCCAACTTCCAGTACAAAGAGCAATACCATCACCACTGACACCCAAACATGAAATCCGATTATCATGCCCTGCCAAAACACCGATACGTTCCCCTTTGAGCGTATCCCATACATTACAATTGTAATCGTCATATCCTGCGAAAAGGACACGTCCGGAGATCGAGAATGCCACAGAGGTGATACCGCAGAGAATGTTATCATGGGCGTATGTGTTCAATTCACGGTCGGCTCGAAGATCGAAGAGTTTGCAAGAAGCATCGTCGGAACCTGTAGCGAACGCGTCACCATTTGGGAAGAATCTGAGCATGAGCGCGTGGTCGGACGGAGAAACACAGCTGATAGAAGACCATGCCATGATCTGTCAAACGTTATATATCTGATAAGCAGTGTAAGGGGAACAAAGGAGGCCATAGATCACCGAGGGAAACTCACTGAACAGCATTGATATCACTCTCATGACCTGTAAACGTTTGGACAGCTTTACCTGTACGTATATCCCACACTTTGGCAGTGGCATCGCAAGCCCCTGATACGAATAAATTGGCGTTCGGCGATAATGACAAACTGTTTTCAGTCAGCATTATATCCCACATAATCATCCCATTCATCCCCCCCCCCCCCGGGCAGATCATCACATTTCCATCTCTTAGAAGACTTTCACTCACCTCATCACATCCCCCGTATGATCATTAAACTCCATCGTCCTCACACCCTGTTCAACATCCCACAACATACAAGTCATATCCCCTGAAGCAGTGATTATTTGTCTGTCGTTGATGAATCTGCAGCAACTCAAATATCCCGAATGAGCGCTCAATTCACGAGCAACTTTGACTTGTCCGGTCGCAGCTGCCTGACCACCTGGTCCAGACCCTCGGAGTGAATAGATGGAACATATGTTGTCAAGACCACCACAAGCGACAAAATTCCCACTGGGCGCATAAGCACAAGTCATAACCCAAGATGATCGGAGTGGGATGGCATGGACTTTGTTGGTGGTGTATGCGTCCCAAACGATGAGTTTACCGTCTTGAGAAGCGGAGACGATATGTCTTTTGTCCGCTGCCCAATGAAGAGCGTAGACTTTGGCGAGATGACCTTTGAGTGTTCGTCTGGGTTTCATGGACATTCGGGGTAAGGGAGGTGTGTCGTTGGCCATTGCTCGGACTGGGGTGTCAGTGAGGGACGATTTCAATCACAAATTCTAAAGGCGAGTCATGCGGACGAACCATGCACGGAACGTGGTCATTTTAAAGGTATGATGATGTTGGTGTCAAGTAGATGACGAGGGATGTTTCTACAAGATGGGAAGTGACAAATGTCACAGGGCACGAAATCAGATGGGAAACAGGAGAAGAACAGGAGAAAAGAGACGTAGAACATACGACTTGTATCCGCCGTTTGATCTTTAGCAGCTTTAATCTTATCCTTGAGTTGATCCGCTTCTCTTCTCGCAGCCGCGATCTTCTCTTGTATCTCGGATTGTGACATTTTAGAAACTACTTTGCCAAACGTTATCGAAAGTCGGATGAATCAGCCAGTAAAGGATGTCCAGTATCAGCTGTTGACTTCCCCTTTCGCCATATGAATCACTCACGTATGAATCAACGTGTAATTAAGAAAGAAAGAAGATCTGCCGGATGGACAGAGGGTATCGAGGGGACGAAAGAGAAGGAGAGAGAGATGAAGTGAAAAAATGAAGAGAAGTGATTATTTGATGGAATAAAGGGAGCAGGGGGGGGGTTGGTGAACGATTGAGGAATGAATGGTCTTGGACCTCCTCGGGTCGGGTGCCAAAGGCGTCCTCAAGGTGGTGGTCCGAGCGTTGACTGATGGTGGGGCGAGTACGCGATAGGCGATAGGCAATAAGGGGATGGAGTGAAGGGACGGTTTGGATGCAGGACAGATGTGGAGGGAGTTGGGAATAAGGGTGAAACGAGAGTAAGGGTAAGGGTAAGTAAGAGGAGAATTGAGGAATGAGTAATGAAGGGGAAGGAATGAAAGTTTGGGACGAAAGGGAGAGGGAAAGGAGGGAACAAGAGTTGTTGCGGCGAAAAGCGATCAAATAGTTTGACTGAGAGTATAAGCGGATGACCACATGAAGTGGGAAGTGAAGGCTCACAAGTTTCTTCCACTTATCCCTTGCCCTTTATTGGCGGGTCTATTCACCTCGAACGGGTGTACGAACTGGGTCGGTCGGGTGGTGAGACTTTGCACTCGCTGACCAGTCGACGAGATGAGGGGGAGGTATTGAGACGGTGGAAGAGGGGTGAGTTGATATTCTCGTACGGAATGATGACAAGCTCGGATCCAACTTTGTATCCACGTGGAAGAAAACTTGATAAGTCAGCTATGTCTTATGCTCACTTACAATCTTCACAAGTACCGACCACAAGTTGACAAATGACTCACTGATCACTGATGATTACCTAACCCACTCTCACGGTTGTTGAAGATGTGTTGTCAAATGATCAGGTTGGGGATGAATGATAAACAGGTTTCGGGGATCCGGAGATCTGAGATCCGGTTATTGAACCTACGTAGAAGTGAGATCTTTGAATGTACAAATAAATGTCCAAGTGATCAAGTAACGAGATAAATCCAACTCCAGCTCATCCACAGATCTTCAGTCGTTTTATCCTCTGATTCGATGGTCGATGGTCGATGGTCGATGGTCGAAATGGAAATGTCGATTCCAGAGTTTCACCAACGATGACTTACTATTCAATTGTACTGATCTATGACGCCGTATATCATATACAACCTCTCTTTCTTGTCGAAACGGTTTGTGGCGGCCAGGGACCACGTGGTTGTCAATGTCGGGGTGTGGTTGTAGGGCTTAAGAGAGGAGAAGGGAAGGATAAAAAGGAATAGAGTAAGGTGAGAGGAAAGGAAAGTAGGGGAAGCGGAAGAATGGTGAGAGAAGAGGGAAAGCAGGTTAAAGATGAATAAGGGGAATATTATGTCTCGGAAAGACGTTTCAACTCCCAGTTCTTTGGTTATAGTCTTGTATTTTCTCTATCACAGCCTACGGCTTACGGTTGAGTGGGGTAAAGAGTGGTCGTTTATGCCGAGACAAGGGGAGAGGAGGGATGAAGGAATGGGGATAAGGTTTGAAAGAGGAGTTTATTGTTCGGTTTGGTTTCCCTGATTGAATGACTTTCTTCCGACCGTTGTCCACGCTTACATGGTTGAGTGGTACAAAATACCTGCGTACGAGTGTACCCGTAGCACTTTGGGTGATTGAAGAGGAAGGAAATATCGTTGAAGAAACACGACCATTGTGAAAAAAGATGTAAAATTGTCCAATGCATGACACGTAGATGAGTGATACATTCAAAAAAGTCCTTGCCATGACCCACATCCGACATTCCACTTTCCCACATTCCACTTTCCACATCTATAAATTATGCTCCAACCCGAATTCCGACCAAGATAGATAACATCATTATAATCCCAGACACACCCAATTTCCCAGCTGAAGAAATAGAATCCGAACTCGTACTCGGTCTACTCGAAGGACTCGAAGATATACTACTCGTGGAAGTTGAAGTAAGACTCGGACTTCCAGTCGAAGAAAGAGATGAAGAAGAAGATGTAGAAGTTATTGAAGATGAAGTTGAAGTTGAAATAGAAGAAGTTATTGATAAAGTTGAATTTCCAGCGATAGCTTGACTGATTACAGTACCCGTATCTCCTTCTGAATTTTGATACCATGACATACCGAAAGCGTCGGCCACTGTCATAACTTTCCAACCGTTTTGTTGCATTACTGGATATTCAGCCATGAATACACCTACCGTATTATCGTTTAATTCATGTTCTAATACTAATAAACCGGTCGATTTGTTTGAAGAAGTTAACCATCCTGACATTGTACTTTCGACTGAAGGTATAGTGTAAGAAGGATCATTTCCTATTGCCCAATCACCGGTATCTTGATTCCAAACGACTGTTTCGAGTCCGAATACTTGTTTGGCTATGGTTCGTACACGATTATCTACGTCTCCGAAAGGTGGACGCCAATCTGATTGGATCAGTCTTATGGTTTTTGGATAAGTGAGACATGTCCCCCTTTAACCCCCACTTCCCCCGCTTTGACCCTCGTGAATGGGCATACATTGTAACATTGTCTTATCATGTTATGTGAAAGTGGAGCTAGAGAGGTGAAGAAAAGTTTAGAATAGATTTATGGTGATTAAGTTGGAGGCTTTCTGATGACGTGATGACTAAGAGCAAAGGGTAAAGGGCGAAAGTCGTTATGCATGTGGACAGAGAGGAAGATGGGCAAGAGTTGATCAACGATGATTGACTCACACTTTGGTACACGCCCTCCTGTAAGGTCCGAAATGATCTGCATCGTCCATCCCAATTCTCCCAAAACTCCTTCGTTGGAAAGTGTCGTCACTGATATCAGCTTGTTCCCTTTTGATTCAACTGTTTATCCTCCCTTCTTCCTCTTTGCTTCGATCTTTCCCCCGTGCCCTCTATTGGTCCCCCTCATGGGAATTGCTCTTTCGGGCGAAAAAGCAATCCAATGACGCAACTATCCTCTCTTCCTTGATTCGGATATCTGAGGAAAGACAGAGAGGAATTAACTCACTATAAGGATGTGACCAAGTATGTACAGCAATATGACCACCAGCAGTAAAAGCATCTTGCATCTGCGTAGGTGCTCCCAATATATTCCCACCGATCATGAAATGAGTAGCTTTGTTCGATATATTATTCTGCGCCAAAAAAGTATTCAATTGTGGACTCGAACTCGTTGGACCATCATCAAAACTCAATGCGAAGGTATTGGCCGGTGGGTTGTATAAATCATCAGAGGTCGTACATTCATAAGTGAAAGAACAAATGGTAGAATCTTGTCCTGGTTCGTTATTTGTATAAGTGGGATAACCGTTGTTGGGGTTGGAAACTCCGACATTTGGAAGAGTTATTGAAGCTAGTTTTTGAGTCCAGGCGGAGGGTAAAGATGAAGGTGGAGGTGTACCGAGTGCAGGGTAATTGGATGCAAAGTCTGGTGCGTTGTTAGCTGATTAGTCTCTTCTCAACACATTTGCAATCGAATAACATCCTACTGTACTTAATTCCCTTCTTAAACGACTTTGTTACCGTTTTACCTCATCATCCAAGGCATGCGTCTCATTGACACATGAGCATAACTTATCTAATATACTATACCGAAAGCATCACCACATTCGGTATTTGACGATCCTTCTATTTCAGGGTAAAGGAGAGAAGGGGGAAAAGACTCACCTCCGGAATTAGGATCAGGTGCTCTTTTGACAAACAACGAATTGACCGTCGAATCTATAGGTTGAAACCATCTTTCATCGACCGGATGGGCCAAAGTGGGTATTAAAAGAACGGCAAGTTGGATCAGCGGCAACATTTTCGTGTGTGGAGAGGTGAGGATGGGTAGAGAGGAGGTATTATAAAGTATACGATGACGCAGGCAAGTGATGTACTTGTAGTACGAGTACGAATAGTCTGGGAAAGAAAATGGGGGAAGCTGTGCTATGACCACCTAAGTCGTGGCGCAAAGTACAACGAGGGGGGCCGAAGTGTATCTCCGGTTCAGTTTCTGATGTATCACTTAGCGTGTGAATTATCTACTTGTATATCGTGTATCGCCAAAGAAGAGAAAATGAGAAAAGGGAAGGGGAAAGTTGAACAGTACAAGTACAAATTTTGCATATGTACAGTCAGTTCGATATGTTTATACTTCTACTTGAACCCTTGAGGGAAAGACGACGCCGAGTCCGAGGCAGACGTCCACTTGGGGCACACCCCTATTTCACTTGGGGCACACCCCTCCAGAAACCTAATCGGGAGTAACTATTTGTTTTGTATTATTTATTATTAAATATCCCCTCGCA